ACTGTGAACCGCATTGAGTCGCCTGTCAAAGGCTGAAATATGCGGTATAAAAGTGAAGCAAATAAATAAATATTCCTAGCTCAATCAAGGGCACATTTGATTGTGAAAATTGAAATTTAAGAGTGTGTAAACGTAATGTATGTGTGGACAAAAATGATTTTATATGACATTTTATTGTGACTGTGGTGTCCATTGTTCTAGGTGTACGAATGCCTTCATCAGCATATCAAACGGAGACCAGTTCCACTTACCTTGCAGGCTCGTGCACTGACCCACGAGGTGAGACTTCTGGGCTACTTTGTAGGAACAGTTTTCATGGTTCCTCATGTTTTGTTTAGTGTTAGGAGTTTCAGAAAAGTAGCTCAATTGTGAGTCATTTAGTTTAGCTTTAATAATCATCATCATCATCATCATCTTTATATCCCACCACCATCTCCCCAAAGGGATTCAGGGCAACTTACAAAAGCACATAATAGTGCAGTAAAAATACACAAGATATAATAAAATCAGTAACAATGACAATTTAAATAAAACCACATACAGAAAACAGCATATAAAACCCCTTCAAAAATAAATAAGAAATTCAATAAAACGCAGCCATAACTGCGGGTTTAAAATAGACCATATCAATATCAATCGTAAAGTGCCAGGAAAGAGATAAAACATTTGGTCCTCAAATTTTAATATTTGAAGTTTTAATCTTATTCGAAGCCATAGAATCATAGAGTTGGAAGAGACCTCATGGGCCATCCAGTCCAACCCCCTGCCAAGAAGCAGGAAAATTGCATTCAAAGTACCCCTGGCAGATGGCCTTCCAGCCTCTGTTTAAAAGCTTCCAAAGAAGGAGCCTCTACCACACTCTGGGGCAGAGAGTTCCACTGCTGAACAGCTCTCACAGTCAGGAAGTTCTTCCTAATGTTCTCCCTGTTTAAAAATCTATGTTTTCAGGGTTTGTTTGTTTTTTTGGTGGGGGCTAGTCTAATTTCTATGGGGCTAGTCTAATTTCTCTGGGGAGGGCATTCCAAAGCTGGGGGCTGGGCCACCACCAAGAAGGCCCCTTTTCTCGTACCCACCAACTGCACTTGAGATGGAGGTGGAATCGAGAGGAAGGTCTCCCCAGCAGATCTTAGAGCTGGTTCATAGGGGGAAATGCAAAGATAGGATGGAACCAAACCATGTAGGGCTTTTAGGCAATGACCTGCACTTTGAATTGGGCCCAGAAACTTGTTGGCATCCAGTGGAGCTGCTGTAAGAGGAGCATGGTACGATCCCTGTAGCTAGCCCCAATTAATAATCTGGCTACTGATCTTTGTACTAACTACAATTTTCGAGCCGTCTTCAAAGGCAGCCCAACGTAGAATGCATTGCAATAATCTATTCTAGATGTAAGTAAGGTGTGGACCACTCTGGCCAAGTCAGACTTTTCAAAGTACGGTCTCAGCTGGCACACAAGTTTGAACTGTGCAAAGGCCCTCCCAGCCACTGCCGACACCTGAGCTCCAAGCATCAATGATGAGTCCAGGAGGACCCCCAGACTGTGGATCTTTTGATAAACTGTACTCTTTTGTATCCTCCCTATTTAGAGAAATTTGATGAGTTATCTATTTAAGAAAATGATGATGGAAAAGCTGGGCCCACTGCATGTTTTTCAACACAATAGCCTCCTTTGTTTTTCCTCAGGTGGTGGATTTGTTACGTGGAGTTCAGCAACATCCAGAGGTCAAAGAGCTAAGACGACTTCTACGAGGTCCACATTTCAAGGCAAGTGATGTCTCCCTGAAATTGGTCAGCATTGGGGGAGAAAGAGACATTTTAGATTATACAGCATTTTAATGTTTTTTAATGTATTACATTTCTATCCTGCATTCCTTTCAGTTAATTTCAAAATTGTATCCATGGCTCTCCTCTACATTTTATATTCCCAATAATCCTGTGAGGTAGGCCAAACTGACCCTAGATGACCCAGTATCACTGAAAAATGACAGTTGATCTAGACCACTGCTTCTTAAGCCGTGGGTCGTTGGGTTCCCTTAGTTCAATGTTGAGGTCACAAAAATTGTGATTTTTTTTTTAACGAACGAACAATTTTTATTGATTAGCCAGTTGGCCTTATCAAAAACAGACAGTGCAAACACAACATACAACATACATCTAGTCTTCTTAAAATAAAATACAAATATACAGGTATTTGTCAGCTTGAAACCAATGTAGCTTAGCCGTAAATATATGCATCAACTATCCTCGTCTCCCCTACACTGCACTCCAGTCTGATCTATGTACTCCTTAGTTCCCTTAGTTCATTGTTGGGGTTACAAAAATTGTGAAATAGTGAAATGTTTCTGAATGCCAACTAGACATTTATGTGACTCTCTTAACAACAACTTGTGTTTCCACTGGACTCTGCAAAAAAAAAAAATACTACTTCAGCTGTACATCATAAAAAAAGAAAATCAGCCTGTTTTGCAAGCTTTGCAAAATTCTGATTTATTATCAATAAATGTTTGCTTGTTATACCCTGTTTTAGAAACCTAGATACCTGGGTGTCATAAAATAATTTCTCAGCAGAAAGGGATCATAAGTGGAAAATGTTTAAGAAGCCCTGACATCAGCTACTGTTGATTTAATCCCATTGAAATCAATGAGAGGCAGTAGTGTCAGCACTTTGGAATGAGATTGAAGTAACTGTGCTCACAAAGTCCATATATAATAAAATAATATGGAAAATCTAGCTTGGTGGTGCTACCGGGAGTAAAGAACCCTCTTTGGGGATAGAGCCAAGCTAGCTGACTTGACCAAGAAGCCACTCAGAAGAGATGCAGAAGTCACAACCAGAAAGTAGGCATAGCTGGACAGTAAATGCTTCCACTCCTTTGAATGTCAAGGAGAGAGTTTTGTCATCCGTCATACCAAATAAGAACTGCTCTATGGATATGGCTTTTAATTCTAGATATGGCTCTTAAACTATAGATTTAATAATCATAATAACAATAATAACAACAATAATAACAACAACAACATTATTTATTGATCACCCTCTCTCCCTGAGGGGATTTGGCTTTAAACCTGTTTAATTGTAGTTGTGGAGCCCCCAGTGGCACAGTGGGTTAAAGCGCTGAGCCGCTGAGTTTGTTGACCGAAAGGTCGCAGGTTCGAATACAGGGAGCAGCGTGAGCTTCCGCTGTCAGCCCCAGCTTCTGCCAGTGCCAACCTAGCAGTTTGAAAACATGCAAATGTGAGTAGCTCAATAGGTAACGCTCCGGTGGGAAGGTAATGGCGCTCCATGCAGTCATGCTGGCCACATGACCTTGGAGGTGTCTACGGACAATGCTGGTTCTTCAACTTAGAAATGGAGATGAGCACCACACCCCAGAGTTGAACATGACTGGACTTCATGTCAGAGGAATACCTTTACCTTTACTATGGTTGTGGAAAATGTTTTATTGGTTTTTATTATTTGTTTTATGATAGAATGCTTATTTTGATAATTTTTTTGTTCAATTTATTGCTTATTTTTGAAGCATCAAATGGCTACCTTCACGTTGTAAGCCTCCCTGAGTCCGCGTGAGATGGGACGGGATATAAATAAAGTTTGTTTGTTTGATTGATTGATTGATCTGCTCTCCACTCCCCAGGAGTATTATTTTCTCCTGACAGCATCCCAGTTCAAAAAGCTTGAGTGTGGTGTTCTGAAGCATTTAATCCAATTGCAGCATTGTTAATCCAGCCTTGAGGGAAGCTCTATTCAATTTCCAGATATTGAAATTAAGTACATAGGAAAAGCAGGGAGCATTTTGCCTGATACCTCTTTTGACTTAGAGCTCTCATCATCCCATCCAGCAGTGCAGTTGTTGCCCAGAATATCTGGAGAGCCAGGAGTTTCCACATCTGGATCGCAAAATATTTTTAGTTAACTGCCTTTTAATTTGAGATACACAGAGCTGCATAACAGTACATGGATTTAGCTGTTAAACAATCAGGATTGATTCACAGAATCGATAGAACTTGATATCCAAAGACTTATCATATGTAAGTCTCATTGATTCAACACATTTACTCTAGCTGGGACTAGCAATTGGATTTAGTCATAGAAAAGAAAGAAAGGAATAATTGCTTTTCGATGTAAATGTTGAAATCAGAGCAATCTCCAAATATAGAGATTGCTACATTTCTTACTGAAGCAAATACTTTCTTTTATTTATTTTGGGTCAAAAGCATTGCATAAATAAGTATAGAACTTATAAAAATAGAGGAAACACAAGCGATTAAATATTTTTTTTTACCAAAAACAGGCAACAGCGACTGCATTGTCTGTAACTTTGAACAATTATTCCACTGTGCATGAGGCAGGGCATTGTGGGCAAGCATACAGATGTTGAGTTGTTTGTTCTGCTCCACAGTCACACAAGGTAGAGGATTCTTCTAGTTCAGTGGTTCTCAGCCTGTGGGTCCCCAGATGTTTTGGCCTTCAACTCCCAGAAATCCTAACACTGGGTAAACTGGCTGGGATTTCTGAGAGTTGTGGGCCAAAACATCTGGGACCCACAGGTTGAGAATCACTGTTCTAGGTAGTGCCATTTTGCCAGGTTGTCTTTTGATCTGCCCACTCCACTTCTGAGTCTGCTCAGGAACTTCCAAGTTGCCCATTCTTGGTTTGCCCCTGAAAGAAGACCCTCACGGGGGGCCATCCAATTGGGATTTCCTGGTTTAGCTGCCCAGAGGGCATACTCTTGCTGTTGCTAGAGGAAAGTTATGTAACACATACCTATTATATCTGATATTTGACAACCATGTATCCCTTCAAGTTTTAGCTCAAGCAACATTTCAGTCACTTTCTGCTGATTCTTCATTTTTAAAATAGTGATAGTTGGGTTGAGTGCTGAGAACAAGTTAGGCCATGCAACACATGGTATATGCATCTATTGCATAGAATGGAAACAAACAACAACAAAGAGCAGGTGTCTCTTAGTTGGATCTCCTCTTGTTCTGTTGTATGTATGTAATTTGTAAGTACTTAACATTCAAAGATGAGCTCAACATTGCTTACTTCTAGTTCCCTTTCATTCTCTCCTCCCCCTTCCTCTCCCCTTGCAGGCCTTACTTTCAGCTCATGATACTGTGGCTCAGAAGGATTATGAACCCGTTCTTCCACCTCTGCCAGATAACATCCCTGAGAACGAGGAGGCTATGAGGATAGTCTGCCTAGTGAAAAACAAGCAACCTCTTGTAATGTTGCATTTTAATTCCAAATTTTGGGAATCCCTTTTATTGATTGTTTTTAAGATTAGATAAATGATACATAAATCAGGGTTTCACACTTGAGTTATTCTTTTGTCATGCGGCAGTTTAAAAAGCCAATGGGATTTTGGCCTGCATCAATAGGAGCATAGTGTCTAGATCCAGGGAAGTAATGCTACCCCTCTATTCCACTTTGGTTAGACCACACCTGGAATATTGTGTCCAATTCTGGGCACCACAATTCAAGAGAGATATGGACAAGCTGGAATATGTCCAAACGAGGGCGACCAAAATGATCAAGGGTCTGGAGAACAAGCCCTCTGAGGAGCAGCTTAAAGAACTGGGCATATTTAGCCTGCAGAAGAGAAGGCTGAGAGGAGACATTTTGACCATGGATAAATATGTGGGGGAAAGCCATAGGGAGGAGGGAACAAGCTTGTTTTCTGCTGCCCTGGAAACAAGGACGTGGAACAATGGCTTCAAACTACAGGAAAAGAGAGTTCAGCAGTGGAACTCTCTGCCCCAGAGTGTGGTGGATGCTTCTTCTTTGGAGGCTTTTAAACAGAGGCTGGATGGCCATCTGTCAGGGAATCTTGCGATTTTCCTGCTTCATAGCAGGGGGTTGGACTGGATGGCCCATGAGGTCTCTTCCAACTCTATGATTCTATGGTACTTTTGCAAATTAATCTTTGCTTTGAACATACGTAAAAGAAGTAGAGTATGACAAGTATGATCTTTATGAATGAAAAATTTCATTTTAATTAACTGGGGTCCTCCAGATGTTATAAAACTGCACTCACACCACTATAATCAGTGGGGAGTGATGCTTGGAGTTGTAGTCCAATAAGCTCCAAGGCCACAGATTTTGTATTCTGCTTAATAATAATAATAATATTATTTGCTTGCCTGGAAATACAATCCATTTAAGTCAGTGAGACCTATGTTTGAATAGATATATAGAGAATTGTGATTTAGGAGAAGCTCAGCAGTTTTCAATGACAGGAGAAACATTCAGGATTTTCAAGTCGTATTTTCCACTACCCCTTATTCTAAAAAGTTGTTATGTGTCTTTAGCTTTGAGCTGTAGTAGAGAAGGGTTTTTTTACTGTAAACATGGAGTTAGAGATGTAAAGTAGGGATGAGGAACACATGGTTTTTATATTTTTATTTCTTTAAATGATTTATAATCTGTTTTGGCTATTTACAATTTCAGAACAATATGAATCTTAATCATAAACCAAGTATTTTGAAAATGGCTAAAAACAATTTTAAAAGCTATGTTTGTCATCAAATGATACAGTTTTGACTATCGATAGAAAACATGATATTAATGGAATCAGCTAGAGATCTTTTGGGAGGTCTTGCGTGATCAAGGCACATTACAGACATGGCTTTGTCTTGTGTATCCACCTATGCTATCTGTTGGGGTAATGTGATAGCAATAGCCAATAAGGGCCTCCTTTGATTGAAGATCTAAGATTATGAGCAATTTCTATGATCCCTGATTGCTGGCTGTATTGGCAAAGGCTGATAAAAGTTGTAACCCAGCAACATTTGAAGTTCCCCATTTGGGGATATTAATTAAACCAGTTTATGCAGTAATAACTAGTGTATATTTCTCCCTTTAGAAAAAGGAATGCCGTATATACTCCAGTATAAACCGAGTTTTTCAGTATATTTTCAGCCCTCCTCGGCTTATATTTGGGTTAGCTTATACTTGAGTATATACAGGGTTTTTTCCCATGTCAGGAGTGACTTGAGAAACTACACACACACACACACACACACATACATACATACATGTATGCATATATGGATCTACTGTATATGTGTATATATGTGTGTGTGTACTGTATACACAGTAATTTTATTGGTATCTATTTTTATTTTTATTTTTGAAATTTACCAGTAGGTGCTGCATTTCCCACCCTCAGCTTATACTCGAGTTAATAGATGTTCCCAGTGTTTTGTGATAAAATAAAGTGCCGCGGCTTATATTTGGGTCGGCTAATACTCAAGTATATATGGTATATTTTTGGGATGCATTTTGTTCCTATTATTTCCCATTTGTTTCATTCAGTGAGTACTTTCCCCCTTCCTAACTACCCCCATTCCAACAGGGTGCAACTATTAAACGCCACGAGCTAACAGGAGATATTACAGTAGCAAGAGTGATCCATGGTGGACTGGCAGATAGAAGTGGTAAGATTAACTGAACACACTTGGTAGCAGTGGGGTGGGAGGCGGGACACAGGCTGCATGTCAGTGGTGGGATGGGGAGGAAGGCAGAGGTGATGGAGCCACAGCACAAGGCAGCCAAACTTCTTTGTGTCTGGATATGATGGGATTTGTAGTCTGGAGGTCACTGGATTGGGGAAGGTTGGGATGGTCAAATCCCATCCTATGGGTGGGGAAATGCATGAGGAAATTGGTATACTGCACCCATGCATATTGCACACTAGAGGATGTGGAAGTGTAATTTCTGGCAACTATTTTCTGTATTTTCCATCTGATTTTGGAAACTTAAAAGGTTGTGAGTATCTGAGAGCCTTTGGGGTAGGTGATGAAACTGCTACATTTATGGACTGATTTGACTGTGTTTGGGGAAAAGGTGCCAAAAAAACCAGCCCAGGAATGGCAGGTGGGGGTCTTTGGAGGGTGTAAAAGTGAGGTTCAGGCCTCACTTTCCCCATCCCTTATATAGAGTTATATGGGAGAATATAGTGCCTACTTTTCTGATTTGTGTGCCTTCTGTAAAAGGCTAAATGTAGTGGCTGAGTGATTTATGAATGCTCAATCCCTTTACAGTGTTCCCTCGCTGCTTCGCGGTTCGCTAACTGCGGACTAACTGTTTCGCAGCTTTTCAAAAAAATTAATTTAAATACAAGTAGCGAGGGAACACTGGGTGAGAGCCCCATGCCAGTGGGGAAGCAGGAAGGGAGGGAGAAGGGTGGCTCCAGCAAGGGGAGGAGGGAGGGAGGGGGAAAGAAGAGAGGAAGAGAGAGAGGAGGAGGAAAGAGGAGTTGGCGGAGCTATACTGTACAGTATAGTGTCCCTACATTGCGGTTTTTCATTTATCGCGAGGGTTCCTGGAACGGAACCCCCCACGATAGCTGAGGGAACACTGTATTTAGCCTTGTGACAAGAATCTTGGCATTTCGTTTTTTTGCATTCTTGACAAGCCATTCAATTTCATTTGTTTCTCTCATAGGATTGTTGTATGCTGGAGACAAGCTGGTAGAGGTGAATGGGGTCCCAGTAGAGGGGCTGGAGCCTGAACAAGTTATCCACATTCTGGTATGATGATTCTGTTAAATATGCGTGGCAGCTGGTGCTTGAAATCACCAACCAACACCACTTTAAGTAAATGAAGAGATATTTATTATAGGAGCGCCATCTGGAGATAGAGAGGTAAAGTTGAGATGACGCAGCTAGTTGCGTGTCTAGGAGAGAAGGGGGGAGAGAGATATATTCAGAGAGAGAATTCAGACTAAGGTATATACTTAAGGGCATCCCAAATTAAGGATGTTTTGAGTTAAGAGCCATCACTCAGCCCGGTTTTCACTTTGACATAAGAGCAGCATTTTGAGTGGAGAGCTCGTGCCAGAGGGAGAATACTGGGCTTTAGGGCTTCAAGGGAGCAGCCTCTGTGCCTTGTGCTCTTGTCCGCTTTGAGGAACTTTGGGCTAGTTAATTTTGTGTGTGTTTGGTGTGTTTGGTTTCATGAAGATAGAGAGGGAGGTTGGAATGAGTCCAATAGGAAGAAAATTATGATTCTGCCTCTTCACTTCTTGCTTTGTGCTTCCTCACCACAACTTTGTGCTCTTCCATTTAAAAGTTTTTATTTTATTGTTTCATGTGAATGCTGTTTATTTATACATTTTTGTTATTTATAAAGTACATTTTCTTATTTTAAAACATGTAACAACAAATGGTGGTGGGTTCAGGGACAGAATGGATTAATAGCATTTCAATGAGAAAATCCACTTTGAGATAAGAAACATTTGAGTTAAGAGCTTAGTCACAGAATAAATTAAACTCTTAACTCAAGGCACCACCATACCTAGGTGGAGAGTCAGTGTGGGGTTTTGGTTTGAGTATTGGATTGCAACTGGGAGAATCAGGGTTCACATCCCCCGTGGAAACCCACTGGTATTACTGTTGACTATCCTGTCTTCTCAAAAGGATGTTACTAACACTTTGTAACATGATTTTTGTTCCTGGGTTAAGAATGTCATTTCCTAATTGGTTCTATCATAGAAACATGGGAAAAGTTTTCTAAACTGCAAAAACTTTGTTTCGACGGGAAGGACATCCTGCAGCATGTTTTGCTCTAGTTTTTCAATTAATATCTTCTAGAGTCTCCGCCAATTCAATAGTTTGTGGCAGCCACAAAAACCAAGTGTCTGTAGTATAACAACTACTTTCAGAGCAAGTACTGCACAATGAAACAGGAAATGACGCTTTCAAACCAGGAGCAGAAAAAATGTCAAATTTTGTTACATAGTATAATATGTATAAATTATTATTTGTCTCTGAAATTAAAATATTTTAATAATAGTTAAGTATAATGGGACACCATTTTTTTCTCCTTGAATCCTTGTAGGCACTATCCCAGGGAACAATTATGTTCAAGCTAATTCCAGTTTCTGATCGACCGGTCAGCAATCAGACAACAGTAAGATGCCTTTTATTTCTTTAGTCTTTTTTTTGTTACAGACGGTTAATCCAATATTGGGCAGCGACAAGGCAAATGCTGACTATTCAGCTCATTATTCCTTTGCCATCACAAAAAATAAATACATGGTGCACCCAGAAGTTGATTATAGAAACAGCCTGTTATACAAACACACTGTCATTTCACTGATTTGGCAGTAAGCTTCTGGGACCATTCAAGTTGGTTGTAACAGTTTTTTCTGTATATTGACTGGGTCCAATGTACCTGAGGAAAACTCTGTTATAAGGAACCCCTGTTCCATGTAAATTCCTTCTGTAGATATCCAGTGTTTAAGTACAGTCAGCCCTTCCTATTGATGGATATGTTCAAAATAAAATATCTATATAAATAAAAATGTAATGTTCGTTTGTGGGATTAACATAACGCAAAAACCACTGAACGAATTGACACCAAATTTGGACACAAGACACCTCTCAGGCCAAGGAGTGACCGTCACTCATAAAACACTGAAAAACGCAGCAGAAGAGACTTAAAAAGCAAAAAAAAAATTACAATGCATGCAGAAAATCACATATATACACATATACACAAATATATACACACACATATATACACACCTAAAACACATATACACAGACTGGGCCACAGCAATGCATGGCAGGGGACGCCTAGTTCACAATAAAAATTCCAAAAGGCAATCCTTGATTTTTCCATTTTAGATAAGAGGCATCATTTTACTATGCCATTGTGTAAGTATCCATGGATTATGATTTATTTATTTATTTACTCCATTTATATCCCACTTTTCTCACCCCTATGGGGGACTCAGAGCGGCGTCCATCATATGTCTAAGCAAACATTCAGTGTCGCAATTGTACACACAGTTTGACATAAATTAAAATCATTAAACAAAAACTTAAAACACAATTTAAAACCATTCTCAACATATTAAGACATGCATCCAAAACACAAATCATGCATTGCACCAATCCTTAGTCATAGTTCAGCTGCTTCATTTTGCGTCTTGGCAAGATGTTAAATTGCCTTTCCATCACTCATCAAATGCCTGTTTAAAGAGCCATGTTTTCACTTGATTCCTAAATGCCTGGAGAGAGGAGGCTGATCTTATCTCGCTAGGAAGGGAGTTTTTCTTCTTCTTGGCAGGGGGTTGGACTGGATGGCCCATGAGGTCTCTTCCAACTCTGATTCCACATGTGAGGAGCCACCACTGAGAAGGCCCTATCTCTCATCCCCACCAATCGCCTTTGCAAAGGCGGTGGGACCAAGAGCAGGATCTCCCCAGCAGAGCTTAATGCTCATACTGGCTCATAAAAGGAGATGTGTTAGAATAGGTAAGCTTGACCAGAACCGTTTAGGGTTTTATAGGCTAAAGCCAGCACTTTGAATTGTGCTGGCTTTAGCCAGTGAAGCTGATGCTACAGGGGAGTTGTATGGTCCCTGTACATTACACAACCTGGTTGCCAACCATTGGACTACTTTAAGCTTCTCAACAATCTTCAAAGGCAACCCCATGTAGAGCGTGTTGCAGTAGTCTATTTGAGATGTGATGAGAGTGTGGAACAAGTTTCACTTCCCAAGGTACGAGCACAACTGTCACACAAATTTTAATTGTGAGAAAGTTCCTCTAGCCACCACTGAAACCTGGGGTTCCAGGCTCAGCTATGGAACTATCTCTATCCTTATCTGTGAGTATTGCATTTAGCATGTTTTGTTTTGAGATTGGTAATAAAAACCAAACATGGGCTTAATTTGCAAACCTGATTGTGAAGGCGTATATCACCAAGGTAATCCCTATGTAGGGGGAAAAATGGGACAATTACAGAAAATACACATTTGCCTTAAATTTCGGTTTGATCCTAGGAACAGTAGCAGATGGAGTTGGTTGCCTGGATTTATGCTCTATGTTTTAATTGCTATTGTTTACAGTAGCATGTCTTTGCCCCTTTTATGTTTCATATGCCTTAATCAATAACAATGAATGTTAATCAATGTGTAACTGAAGCAGCAGATTGTTGTACAAACATTTAGGTTGCTGCCCAAGTACAAGGAGCATAGGGAAAAGCTGTGAATCGCTCAGGCTGATAATGAAGTGTGACCTAGAAATGAAGTAGCTTTAATTTGGCAGTAAAATGGATTCTTAATTTGTGGAGAATTTGTCATGCAAAGATGCCGCTCTTTGACAAGCAGTTGCAGCCAGTGTGCCTGTTTACTGCCTTCAACTTCAATTTTTGTTGTTTTGATCATTGTTATGTGCCTTCAAGATGACTCTGATGATATAAAAAAATGCATCTCCCAAGTTACTGTATATACTCGAGTATAAGCCTAGTTTTTCAGCCCCTTTTTTAGGTTGAAAAATCTCCTCTCAGCTTATACTCAAGTCAATTTACTATTTTATTCTGTTATTAGTATTATTTTTATTGCATTTATTATTTTACTCTATTTATTAATATTATTACATTTATTATTTTACTTTTTATTGTTATTATAACATTTACTATTTTACTCTATTTATTATTGTTATTACATTTATTATTTTACTCTTTATTGTCATTACAACATTTATTATTTTACTCTCTTATTACTGTTATTACATTTCCATTATTTTACTCTATTATTATTTTTATTACATTTATTATTTTACTCCCTTTATTATTATTGGAAGGATATGTAAGCACATTTCATAGAGTCATAGAATCAAAGAGTTGGAAGAGACCTCATGGGCCATCCAGTCCAACCCCCTGCCAAGAAGCAGGAATATTGCATTCAAATCACCCCTGACAGATGGCCATCCAGCCTCTGTTTAAAAGCTTCCAAAGAAGGAGCCTCCACCACACTCCGGGGCAGAGAGTTCCACTGCTGAATGGCTCTCACAGTCAGGAAGTTCTTCCTTATGTTCAGATGGAATCTCCTTTCTTGTAGTTTGAAGCCATTATTTCGCATCCTAGTCTCCAGGGAAGCAGAAAACAAGCCTGCTCCCTCCTCCCTGTGGCTAATTTACCTTGAAGAAGGTTAGAATAATGGTTTAATCAGAGTTGGACAGCTTTATCTTAAATTACAATTTTATGTAAATATTTTTGAATATTTACTCTACTGATGCCTCAATTGATGGAATGTTATTGGTATTTTATTGACACCGGTGGCACAGTGAGTTAAACCCCTTTGCCGGCAGGACTGAAGACCAACAGGTCACAGGTTCGAATTCGGGGAGAGGCGGATGAGCTCCCTCTGTCAGCTCCAGCTCCCCAAGAGGGGACATGAGAGAAGCCTCCCACAAGGATGATAAAAACATCAAATCATCTGGGTGTCCCCTGGGCAACGTCCTTGCAGATGGCCTCTCTCACACCAGAAGCGACTTGCAGTTTCTCAAGTTGCTCCTGACACGACCAAAAAAAAATTGGTATCTATTTCTATTTTAAAACTTACCAGTAGCTGCTGCATTTCTTGCCCTCGGCTTATACTCAAGTCAATACATTTTCCCAGTTTTTTGTGGTAAAATTAGGTGCCTCGGCTTATATTCGGGTCGGCTTATACTCGAGTATATACGGTATTTAGAAACTTGGTTTTTATGAAAAAATGCATTATGGTTGGGATTTATAGTAGGTTCATAGTAGATTTTTCTCCTTGTAGATTCATAGTAGATTTTTCTCCTTCTCCCCGATTTTGTTAGTTATACTTATTTCCTGAATGAGAGGGAAAAATAAGATAAGATAGGGAAAATAAGATACAAATCATAATAATGAATTGCTATTTTCACGAGGCTTTCAAAGATGAGTTCAACAGCAGAATTAGATTTCAGAGAGCAAAGGAACAGAGCGGCCGCTCTTTAGAATAGGACCTTGAATGACTTGGGTGGCAGCACAGCTATAAATACACTGAAATCCGTGATGGTGTGAGCTCTTGCCTCTGCAAAACTTGGGCCAATAGGCCAAGCAGGTTGGTTGTTAGTAGATGGATAAAATTCCTGGGATTGACGGACATGCCATTGGGACTGAATGAAGGGTTTGGTTGTCGTTGTTTGCCATACAACTTGGACTAGACCAGTGATGGGCAACCTTTTGAGCTTGGTGTGTCAAAATTTGCCAAAAACCAGAGCATAACTTGGGTGGGGTGTCAACTTCAAGAGAAAAAACCCATAATTTTGCAATATTTATAGTTTAAATAAGAAAAATGTATATTCCAGGCTGAGTTATAGAGTGAACAATGCTCAAATGTGCAGATGTTAAATTTGTAGAGCCTTTTACAAATTTAAGGATAGAATTAGATTGGCTCTTATAAGGTGTACTTCTCTGTATGCGGCTGCATGTGCCCGTGTGTCATCAAAAATAGCCATGCATGTCAGTGCTGACACGCGTGTCATAGGTTCACCATCACGGGACTAGAAAGATTTTTTGTTCAATTAGGAGGATTATTTATTTATCAGAGGTTGAGGGGTAAAATTTTGACTTAAGTCATTGTCTTACTAAACTGCTGTTAAGAAAATAAGAGTTCTGTTAGATCAGGTCTAAGGCATATTCGGTCCAGCATCGTCTTTCCTACATTGGTCAACCAGATGCCTATAGGAAATCTATAAGCAAAACATGAAGGCAATAACTCTGTCCTGTCTTGCTACATACAGGTGGCATTTGGAAGGATAACGTTATTTTTAAGTTGTATTCGTAATTCAAAGGAAATGACTTCTAGAGGAGCATGAAAATTTGAAAGGAATAACTAGTAAAATATATAAGATAATAATTGAAATAAAGAAAGGAAAAACAAAGAATGACACCCTCAAGGAGATCTGGGAAGAAAATTTAGGGAGAAAAAACGTGAAACAGAGTGGCAACAATTACGGAGACAAAGACATCTAGAAATGTATCAATACGGGATAAAGAAAATTATTATAAGTTAATATGGAAATGGTACCTAACACCAGCACAGGGGTCCCCAAACTAAGGCCCGGGGACCAGATACGGCTCTCCAAGGTCATTTACCCGGCCCTTGCTCAGGGTCAACCTAAGTCTGAAACTACTCGAAAGCACACAACAACAACAACAACAACAATCATATCTCATCAGCCAAAAAGCAGGTCCACAGTTTCCACTGAAATACCAATAAGTTCATATTTGTTAAAATTGTTCTTCATTTTAATTGTTGTATTGTTTTTACGTGTTTTTGCACTACAAATAAGATATGTGCAGTGTGCATAAGAATTCATTCATATTTTTTTCAAATTATAATCTGGCCCTCCAACAGTTTGAGGGACTGTGATCTGGCCCTCTGTTTAAAAAGTTTGTGGACCCCTGGAATAGCACATATAAATAAAAACTATTCAAAAATTGCTGGAGAGGATGCCAAGAATCAGGAAAATATATACATATGTGGTGGCAATGTAAATATGTAAATAGTTTTGGGGGGAAAGTATTTAGAGAAATAGAGGATATAATTAACATTAAAATATATCATTATATAATAATAAACAATTGAAAAAAGAGGATAAAGATGCGATAACAAACTTATTAACAATAGCAAGACTGCTTATAGCAAGGAACTGGAAAAGAGAAATAAATATACAAATAAAGGAGTGGTACAAGAAAGTATGGAAATTGGCAATAAATGATAAGCTGACGTGTATATTAAAAGTTAAAAGAGGTATATGGAAACAAAGTGATTTTGATGATGTATGGAGAAAATTTATTGAAAAAGGATTTAAAAAGAAAGAAGGAAAGTTACCTCCACAAGAAGAAATGAAATTTTGAACAGATTATATGTAAAAGCTGTGGCTTGGGACGGGGGAGGGGAGCACAGGGGTGAGAGATAGATAATATGTATAAGCAGAAAATAACAAAGTTAAAGTATGGTAGGTTGTATTGAATAATATGTATCTGCTGTAAAACAAACAAGGTATAACATATATAACAAATTGAACCATGATAAAATAATAAAAAATATTAAAAATTGAAAAAAAAAAGAAAGAAAAAAAACCCGGAAAAAAACAAAGGAAATGATTTCATATTCCAACACATCATTGACATTCATACTTTTATTAATTTATGTATTTTAATTCAAGACCATTTTAATGACATTTTCCGTTTTTTAAAACAAAATCTCAAATTAGTTTACAAAAAAATTGCGATAAAAACCAGTTGCCAAAATAATGAAAAACACAAAAGAATTTACTGGAAACATTGGGTTGCGGTGAGTTTTCTAGGATGTATAGCCATGTTCCAGAAGCATTCTCTCCTGATGTTTCACCCACATCTATGGCAGGCATCCTCAGTGGTTGTGAGGTCTGTTAGAAACTAGGCAAATAGGGTTTGTATATATGTAGAAGAAAGAACCCTTGTGTGCTTGAGGCAAGTGTGAATGTTGCAATTGGCCAGCTTGATTAGCAATGAATAGCTTTGCAGCTTCAAAGCCTGGCTGCTTCCTGCTTGGGGGATCCTTTGTTGGGAGGTATTAGCTGGCCCTGGTTGTTTTTTGCCTGGAATTCCCCTGTTTTCTGAGTGTTGTTCTTTGTTTACTGTCCTGATTTTAGAGTTGTTAAAAATACTAATAGCCAAATTTGTTGATTTTCATGTTTTCCTCCTTTCTGTTGAAATTGTCCACATGCTTGTGGATTTCAGTGGCTTCTCTGTAGCCTGACATGGTGGTTGTGAGAGTGGCCCAGCATTTCTGTGTTCTCAAATAATATTCCACAGATTTAACCAATCATGTCATTGTACTATGCCATTGTATATAATGGGGCTTGAGTGTCTATGTATTTTGTTATCCAAGGGGATCCTGGAACCAAATCCCAGTAGTTTTTTTTTTTTTTTTGGTCATGTCAGGAGCGACCTGAGAAACTGCAAGTTGCTTCTGGTGTGAGAGAATTGGCCGTCTGGTGTGAGAGAATTGGCCATCAGGGGACGCCCGAATGATTTGATGTTTTATCATCCTTGTGGGAGGCTTCTCTCATGTCCCCGCATGAGGAGCTGAAGCTGATAGAGGGAGCTCATCCGCCTCTCCTCGGATTTGAACCTGTGACCTGTCGGTCTTCAGTCCTGCTGGCACAGGGGTTTAACCCACTGCGCCACCGGGTAGCTACCAGTGGCTCACTATAGCTACCAGTAGCTACCAGTGGCTCACTGCCTCCCAGTAGCTACCAGTGGCTCACTATACATAATGATGATGATGATGATGATGATGATGGTGATGCATTATCTGTGCTTTTGTATTAGCTCTATGTGCGTGCAATGGCAGACTACTGGCCTCTCCAGGACGCAGCCATTCCTTGTGCTGACGCAGGACTAGCCTTTAAAAAGGGAGACATTCTTCAAATTGTGGACCAAAATGACACCTTCTGGTGGCAAGCAAGGAAAGTCTCAGACCTCAGTGCCTGTGCAGGACTCATTCCTTCAAATCATCTTTTGAAGAGGTAAGGCTCATGATAAAAAAGACTGAAAGCAACACTGAAAACTAATGTGGGAGTGTTAGTAGAGGAAAATGGATTCAGTTTTTCTTTCAGTTTTCAATTTCTCTTTCTTAGCTTTTTCAAAAGGGAGGATAACATATCTAATAGTTTTCTCTCTAGTTACACTGTGTAACAACATTTGAAAAAAGTTCTGTTCCTGGTTTGAAAGTATTATTTCCTGTTTAATTGTGTGGTGTATAAAGTTATATGGAGATGGTATACCACACCAGTTAAATTACACCAGGCGGATAGGAAGCAAAGTAACCACTGCTAGAGATGTGGCATGCACAAAGGGACCTATTTCCCTTTATGATAAGAATGCCTTCAGCTGAAGAGTTTTTGGAACAATAATATTTATGGAAATAAGTAACATTATAGGACTAAACATCATCCTGGATGCTAGGTTAGCATTACTAATGAATGTCACAAAATTGAATTTAGAAATTGAAAATAAAGAATTGGTGATAGTTTTACTCACAGTGGCAAGACTTATAATTGCAAGGAATTGGAAGATAGTAACCAATCTCATGCTGGAAGCATGGTATGGGGAGGTATGGAGCATAGCCTTAAATGACAAACTGTCAGTGGAAATGAGAGTGTTCGGGAGGAAACTAAAAGATCATAATTTAATTCATATTGGTTGGTTTTCATTAAATATATTTTGGAGAGTGAGAAGGGAAAACAATATAACCTTGTGGGTCATGAATTTTGGATATGACATTTGTTTACTGGTTGACTCGTAAATTTATGGCAAAGGAAATGATACTTGTTCAGGCCTTGGTGTTAGGATTGTATGTTTGTAAAATGTTCATTGTTTTGTGTTCTGTTTACACTGTAAGTTATTAATGTACGTAAATAATATATAATAATAATAATAATAATAATAATAATAATAATAATAATTGTGTGTACTTGGAAAGTAGTTGTTATACTCCAGAAACTTTGCTTTTGTGACTGCCCCAAACTATGCTGAATTGGTTGAGACTGTGAGTTATTCATTGAAAAACTATAGCAAAATGTGCTGCAGTATGTCATACAAAAACAAAGTTTTGGCAGTTTAATTCCCCTTTTTATATGTTTTTATGATAGAATCAATTAGGAAATGACACTGATAACTCAGGAACAAAAATTGTGTTACATAGTGTTACCACTCCAAGGTGGTCAGGCCTTGCCTAATGAAGATTTGGTTGAACTGTTTCCTTATGGCATTGTTGCATTTTCTTCTCAGGAAACAACGGGAATTCTGGTGGTCTCAGCCTTTCCAACCCCACACCTGCCTCAAATCAACTATTTGTAAGTATAAAGATACCCTTCATACAAGCAATAGAAATGCTTCTTTAATTACAGCATAAATTTAACCTGTGGAACGCCCTTCCCATGGACATTAGATCAGCCCCTTCGTTAATGGTGTTTCGAAGAAAACTAAAAACCTGGCTGTTCGAACAGGCGTTTGGTTAAACAATGCAATGTACACGATGAATATAGGAAACGGAATTATGGAAGACGAATTCCGATTCTAGTTACGAGACGTTAATGTGTTGTTATTGATGCGTCATTTTGTATATTATGCTGTTAATGGTTTTTAAATTTTGTATGCTGTTGGATTGACTTTTGCTCTTGTTGTAAACCGCGTTGAGTCGCCTACAAGGCTGAGAAATTGCGGTATACAAGCAAAGTAAATAAATAAATAAATAAAATTAACCTAGAAATTTGACAAAAGTAGTCATCTGTTTCCCAAATTTGGCAATATAATGCATATTCTAGGTCTTCGGTGGGAATCACGCAACCCACATTTGCTTGCAGCCTGTGTGGTATACTGTATGTATGGCCCTTCTCCCAAATTTCTCCCTAGTTCAGAGCTAATAGGCTGAAAATCTTACACAACGATCCCCACTTCTGTTCTTGGGGAGCAATCAAGGCTTGGCTTTAGCACAGTAGGTCAACCGCCAGCTGCAGTAAATCTTGCCAACCAAAAAACAGTTTGAAGCCCAGGTCAGGGTGAGCTCCTGGCCTTTAGCCCAGCTTCTGTCTACCTAGCAGTTTTGAAAACAGCTATGTGAATAGATAAATAGGTACCGCTTAAACAAGTAGGTATTTAAGGTGCCCATAAGGAAATATCAGAAAAATGCCGGAAATTCGATCAAAGAGGAAGTTAAGAACAAAGCTCTTTGGTAGGGAAAGTGGAGCAACAGCACCCCCCCCCCTTCCACGTGGCCAGAACCGAGCACAGCCTCCAAGATGCCAAAGATTGGAAAGCCCATACATACCTCTATCTACGTACAATTATCTGTCTTGTCAGTGTATAAAGGCATTGAATGTTGTGTTCTGTGATCCACTCTGAGTCCCCTTTGGAGTTAGCAGGGTGGAATATAAATACTGTAAATAAATACATAAATAAATAATCATCGCTGACTGCTTTTGAACTTATTGTCTTAGTTTACTGAGACCCAAGAGTCCTCTGACAGAGAAGTCTCAATGCCCATACCTGAATTGCGACTCTCCCAGACCCATGGGATGTTCTCTTGGCAGTTAAAATGAAAAATAGTGCTGTTAACACAGTGTTGTGCGATAAGGATCCATGCCAGCGTACTTGAGCCAACTTATAGACGCGAATCCAACATTGGCTAGCATGAGATTTCTTCCCCTCTGTTCCTCAGTCCCTCTACATTGCTCAAAAACAGCTCTGGATAAGTTTCCAGATTTTAAGGTTATGTGGAGAGAGAGAAAATGGCCACTCCTTCTGATTTCATTGACAGATCTAATTTTGTCAATGGAACAATGCCTTGGAACCTGTTCATAACCTATTTTATTAGCAGTAGCTCTCTTTTTAGCCACAAAAATGTTCAGTCAGCCCATTTCTTTGGTTTATTTTGTCTATTAGAGGCCATCTTATATATTCTGAATGTGAGTATATGTACATTTTTTCATTTCCTAACAATGATGCTAGTCATCTCCTTAACTCTGTTTTCTTTTTGATTTCCTCTGCCGGTTTGTTGTCAATAGTGAGTACTGTGGAAGAAGGTAAGCTGTGCTGCCTGGATTTCCTTCACATCTTTCACCAGCCTAGATATATCGCTTAAGATAATCATGATTGAATAAATTTTCATACAAATATATTATTTGTATGTAGAGGAATGTCTAAGATAAACGTTCTAGTTTAGACTGCAAGTGTGTGCAACTAAGACCTTGGGCTACTACTTCGCTTGTTATCTTTAGCAACTTATTTTTTCTTTGTAGCAAAAAGGAAGACCTTACATAACATGTGAGGCCACGGTACATCATTGAGATGGTAGAGAAAGGTCATAGAAGTTGGGTCTCAGGTTGGATTATCATGATTGCTTCTGACATTGTGTGGGTTTCTTTAAAGCCTTGAGAGCTTGACCTTTCCTCCCCTTTTCATGTTTTTGCAATGTACAGAAGAGGACATGCAGATTGACGAGAAGTGTGTTGAAACAGGTAAGTGACTCGGGTTTGGGTGGATTGCATTTGCTGTTGGTCTGTTTTTCATTTGCACACTTCCAAGGAGAGTTAAAACTCATAACTGAATTAATTTGCTAAAAGGATCTCTAATGGAATGTCAGAATAAAGGTGTGCATGTGAAAAACAGAGAAATTTAGTTTATAATTTTGGCGATTTAAACACTAGAGACAACAGTTTGAATACCTAATCCAGCATGGAAACCCATTGGTGTCATTGGGCAAGTCACACTCTCTCAGCCTCAGAGGAAGGCAAAGTGACATAATCGAAGTCTATGTCAGATTTGCCTTAGGGTTGTCATAAATTGGAAAAAAACTTGAAGGCACAAACCTTGAGAGGCAAATAGGAGTATTAGAAGGAACACATAACCACAATGTTGTCAATTTTACTCTTTTGTCATACTACACAAAGAAGACTGAGGGCCTTTCTACACTGCCAGATAATCCAGAATGTCAAATCAGAAAATCCACATAATCTGCTTTGAACTGGACTATCTGAGTCTACACTGCCATATAATCCAGTTCAAAGCAGATAATCTGGATTTTATAAAGTAGGGGCCTGAACAGCGAACAATGTCATTTGCCCCCAAACTGTTATTTGAGCTTATGGTATGGCATGTAAAAATGGAAGCAAAATTGAATTACAGGCCAGGAAAATGCTACTATTTTATTAAATGAGATGCAAGGCTAGCATTTTCCTGTTCTTTATAGACCCGATGTAGGTAATGTGCAGCTTGCAGTCTACACGCAGCTCCTAGGACACTAAAGTCTCCTGGAAGATCCCAAAAGCCCAAAAATTAGGATGACAATTGGCTGTATGTTTGAACCAAAAACTCCCAGGCCTCCTGACTCAAACTATGGCAGTTGAGGTCTCCCCACCCCCACGCCTAGGAAAACAAACAAATTAGCCATATTTTTGGGCATCTCCCAGACTTAGAAGTGTCATTACACCATTTCCAATTGTGGTGAGAGTCACAGTGTAGGTCTAAATGGGTACAGAATGGATGTGAGGTCAATCTGGCTGAGGCACCCACCACCCCATTGATCGCCAGGGTCGATAAATAGGTACAGAAACGGTTATAGGCCATATTTTTGTTGCATGGGATCACAGTACTCATTGTCCACCTGTCTTCCACAAGCAAGACTTAGATGAGCAAATGTGGGCGGTTGGTGTAATTTACATTAATTGAAGACGAAAAGGTTGTATGTCTTGAGCAACTGGCCCCAGGCCTCATGGCAGCTTCTGACTGCTTGGTTCATGTGTTCGTTGAAGTGAGGATAGATTCAAAGAGACAGGAGAGCCAGTCTGTTAGGGCCCATGTACTGTAGCTATGATCGAATATGCTGTGTGTTTTAAACCTAATACTATGGGCAAACAAGTATGTGCGTGTTTTAAGGAAATCTCAACTTGGTGTTCCTCATAATATTCCATCCTTTTCCAGTTTTCAAAGGCATATTTGGTTATCAAGATGCTTTTACTAAAAGGCCTAAAGTCATTAATGAATGTTGTCATTGTTGTTATTGTTGTTGTGTCCTTTCCAACTTATGGCAACCCTAAGGGAATTTTCTGGGACCGTGTGTGTGTGACTCGTCTATGGTCCCAAAGTATTTCTATGGCTGAGAGAGGAATTGAACCTTTGTCTCCAAAGTACTGATCTAAAATGAAAACCAGATCAAAATACTCGTGAACCTCAGCAAGGGTAATAAATACTTTCGAAATGCAACTTAGTTTGGGAGAAGATTGGTAAAGCACCCTTTTCCAGACAGAATTGTTGAATCAATCTTGTTTGGATCCCAACCCCACAGTACAGCTGCTTTTAAATAAAAATAAGATCCAATTATGGGTTGGCCCTGTAGCCATGAACTTTGCCTTTACGTGGGGATCAGGGGAGGAAATGAGAACCTAATAGTGTCCTCTTGATGCTGCATAGATGAGAAATCCTTTCTCACGCACTGTTATAATTATCTTAGACAGCAATGGTAGTGAAATGAAATGTATTTGCTGTTTTTGCTCCCTGGATGACTTCAAAGATGAGGAGACATTTGAGTCTGGTAAGTGAAATTCTTTCTGTTATTTTGGCTGTTGATTGTACTTTTGCTCATTGTAAGAGTCTAAAAACAAACAAAAAGGGCATGCATTGCATACGATTCAACAGCTATTCCATTTTTCAAGCTGTGAGCATGTGAGTGTGTAAAGACATTTTGCCACTGCCTTCCCTATGTCCTCTGAGCCAAATTCAGGAATTTTATTAACTACACTTAAAACCCATTTGAGATAAAGTGGGCTTTTGTTAGCAGAAGCATTAACTCCACTTTGCATTGCTCGCATTCATATGGCAAAAATTGTGGAACTATGTACGTGTCAGAGGGGACAGCTGGAAGGTAATGAGATTACATTACGTAAGTGTGATTGAAGGGCTAATCTACTTCATGGTACTTATTACTCTTGATGAGGAAGGAGGATCCATTTTGACACTTGGAGAGCAGAATGAATTCACACATTAAAAGCAGAAGTAGGGCAGGTTGGACATAATATCAGAAGCATATCTGCTTGTAAATGGAGCAGACTACATTTTCAGATAATGAGAATAACAGTCGCGAGTGAACATTTCTAAAAAAAAATTTCACAGTCAACAATACTTTTTAAAATCATTGTAAAGCATATCCTGAAGGTCCATTCCTGCCACACTTCTATTGTCCTTATGGTTACAACACATTCAGTGATTCATCAGAGTAATGATTCGCAAATTCCAGAGCACATAAAATGTTTACAGTGTATTACACACCTAGAACTTAGAACAAGGGAGTGTCTTTAACGTGCCAAAACAACAATTTATTTTTTTGCTTGTTTGTTGGTTGGTTAGTTAGTTGGTTGGTCTTCCTATCAGGATTGAGACCAAAGGACCTTACTACCTTAAAAACTATACAACTCAAACACCTACAAAATATAAATTGTAAAATAGAATTCAATGTTGGAATTATTAACACAATTCAATTAAAATTGAAATTAATAAATAAAGAGCTGTTCAAAACAATTAACATCATATACCCCCCCCCCCACAGTCCAAAACTTATTCAGATGCAATGTAAGTGTTATTAAAGCATGAGGTTAAAAAGCATATTTACAGTATATAGTTGTGTGAATCAGATAGAATATATTAGGGTCAATAGGGAGGGAAATCATGTTCCTTGTCCTACATTTTCAAAGGGCTGGGCAAGGTGATATAGGTATGCATCTGAAAAAATGGGCTTGTATCCATGAAAGTGTTATGCAAAGCATGTTTTAGCCAAGTTCCACGGAAAAGATACACAAACAAGAGGAAAGGGGAACAGAAAAACTTTACTCTTATCAGCAGAGGCATAAACCTGCAATGTTGCATACAAAATCAAACAGTGAAACAAGCTTACATATCCTTGTAAGTAACACAGAATAAGGCTTCTTCATCTTCATTCAGGAGCCCCCGGTGGCGCAATGGGTTAAACCCCTGTGCCGGCAGGACTGAAGACCAACAGGTCGCAGGTTCGAATCTGGGGAGAGGCGGATGAGCTCCCTCTATCAGCTCCAGCTCCTCATGCGGGGACATGAGAGAAGCCTCCCACAAGGATGATAAAAACATCAAATCATCCGGGCGTCCCCTGGGCAACATCCTTGCAGACGGCCAATTCTCTCACACCAGAAGCGACTTGCAGTTTCTCAAGTCACTCCTGACACGACAAAAAAAATCTTCATTCAAATGAGAAAGCAAACATAAACCTTGAGTAAATAGCTATTCCACCATAGCAAAGAGCATCATTGTTAGAGCATAACAACATTACAGCATATTGCTTCTCCAAACTGTATTCCAAAATCCATAGTTATACCCCACCGGGTGTGGCCCAAACATGCTGGCTGACCTACATTACCAGCTGTACATAATAATTAACACCATAAGGTTTTTCTTTAACACACACTTGATCCTGCTATGACTTACTGTAACAGAAAGCTCACACTAAGATAAAAAAAAAACTTGTAGCTAGTTCGGAAGCCTCGGAGGAAAATTCTCTGGCTGAGAAATTTGGACTCCCTTTCCACAATGAAGGGGTTTTTCATACTAGGCAATTATAGTGCTGCAATTCCATTTTAATTGCTATGGTTTCATTGCATGGAGTGTCAGGTTTTGGACTTTAGGTAGAGCTGTTTAGATCTATTTAGAGTTCTCAGCTAGAGTGATCCAGTGACTCATCAAATACAAACTCCAGGATTCCACAAGATGCAGCCATAGCAGTCAAGTGGAATAATAATAACAACAATAACAACAACAATTGATGAGAAGCAACTAGAAAAGCTTACACGATATGAGGATTTAAAGCTAGAACTGCATAGGCTCTGGCACAAACCAGTAAAGGTGGTCCCAGTGGTGCTTGGCACACTAGGTACAGTGCCTAAAGACCTTGGCCTGCTCTTAAAAATAATTGACACTGACAAAATTACCATCTGTCAGCTGCAAAAAGCCACCCTCCTCAGTTCTGCATGCATTATCCGCCGATACATCACACAGTCCTAGACACTTCGGAAGTGTATGATGTGTGATCAAATACAAAAGCCAGCATAATGATCTTGTTTGCGGTGTACTAATCTTGTTATATATCAAATACCAATATTAATAATTATTTTATTTCTTAAGTAAATACTATAATGGTGTAGTGTGAAATGAGCCCAGAGGTGAGAGCAATGGCCTGTCCCTGTGTGGCATTTGGGGCAAGAGGGGCATATTTCTCCAAAGAGAAAATAGTATCCTATACAGACTTGAGCTGTCATATTCTGGTCCCGATACAATGATGCATCTGGGCTGAAGGGCTAGCAGTAATTGGGAAAGCAAGACAGATACAAATAGTTGTTAGAAAGACTTCAAGTAGTCTGTTCCTTCTGCTTTAGTTGATCAGCTACTTACAATGCTAACTTTTAATCTGAGTTTTTGTTTTCTTAAATCTTGAAATGACATACCAGAGGAGCTTAAAGAAGGTAACTTTCTTTTCCTTCTCTAGCTTTCAAAAAGTAAGTTACTGGATCAAGTTCTGATGGCTAGTAATACTTGGGTTTTATCCAGGATGACACATTTATTTTGTCCTTTTTGGCTATTCAGATACAAATATATAGATAAAACAATGCATAGCGTAGCTGGGGAACCTCTAATCAGGGCACATTCTCCCTCTTCTCTGAATTGGATGCCATCAGGATGTGAAACTATGCTTCTGATGTAAGGGGATGAGGCTGTGCCCCCTGCCAAACATTCGACTTACAAACGACTCATAGTTCCAAACGGGGGTGAGACAACAGGAAGTAAGAAAAATCTACCCCTCAGAAGGAAAATTCACTTCTAAAAGAGTTATCATGGGCTAAATGTGTCTCCGCTGAAGTTTTATCACCAATTCTTTTTTCCACAACAAGACCCTTTTTTCAATATCCAATCATCACAGAGAAAATAAGTGAGGTGAAATCTTCTGAACAGGGGCACAGGCAGTAACAGAAACACCACAGGGGTATTAACCCTTCCCTATGTTTTCCAAAGCGAATATCTATATAAATAAAAATGTAATGTTCGTTTGTAGGATTAACATAACTCAAAAACCACTGGACAAATTGACACCAAATTTGGCCAGAAGATGCCTAACGGATCAACAAGTGACCATCACTCATAAAAACACTGAAAAACACAGCGGAAGAGACTTGAAAAGCAAAAAGAACCAAAAAAACCCAATGTTACAATGCATGCACAAAACCACATATATACACATATACACAAATATATATACACACATATATACACACACAAAACATATACACAGACTGGGCCATAGCAACGCATGGCAGGGGACGGCTAGTCTACATAAATAAAAATGTAATGTTCATTTGTGGGATTAACATAACTCAAAAACCACTGGGCAAATTGCCATCAAATTTGGCCACAAGACACCTACTAACCCAAGGAGTGACCATCACTCAAAAAAAAATTGATTTTGCCATTTGGGAGTTGTAGTTGCGGGGATTTATAGTTCACTTACAATCAAAAGACATTCTGAACTCTACCAATGATGGAATTGAACCAAATGTAGCATGAAGGACTCCCATGACCAACACAAAACACTAGAAGGGTTTGGTGGGCATTGACCTTGAGTTTAGGAGTTGTAGTTCACCTACATCCAGAGAGCACCGTGGACTCAATGATGATGGATGTGGACCAAACTAGGCACGAATATTCCATAAGCCCAAATGTGAACACAGATGGAGTTTGGGGGAAATAGACCTTGACATTTGGGAGTTGTAGTTGCTGGGATTTATAGTTCACCTATAATCAAAGAGCATTCTGAACCCCACCAATGAGAGAATTGGGGCAAACTTCCCACACAGAAGCCCCATGGCCAACATACTTAAGGCCATCCAGTCCAACTCCCTTAACCAGGGCAAGAAAACATAATCAAAGCCCTCCTGACAAAGAGCCATTCAGCCATAGATATAGATAGACACACACACAGATATAGTATCATATATTTGAAAGGGACCCCTAAAGAAGAACAATTCTATGTTGCATATTCCAGAGTAGGAAAACCAGACAATCTCCACATCAACACTGACAAAGAAACAAGAAATACTGTTTACTCACAAGCATAAAGAAATTACATATATTAGAAACCAATATTTTCTCATTACTTTATTTTCTCAATCACCAGACTGGGCCACAGCAACGTGTGGCAGGGGACGGCTAGTATATATATATATATATATATATATATATATATAGAGAGAGAGAGAGAGAGAGAGAGAGAGAGAGAGAGAGGCTGGAGCTGTTTCAACTTATATACAAATTCAACTTAAGAACAAACCTACAGGACCTATCTTGTTCATAACCCAGGGACTGTCTATATATCATTGTTCTGCTCTCTCTGCAACCATAGAAAATGCAAGTGTATTCGTTGGTCATATCAGACAAACCAATTTTACAACCATTCCCCACCCTACGCTGGAGTCTAGATACTGGGATAGCCTAATGGATGGATTGAAACATCATTTTAGGGAACCAAGACTCTTATCTAATGTTATAGAGCAGGGGTCCTCAAACTTTTTAAACCGAGGGCCAGGTCACAGTCCCTCAAACTGTTGGAGGGCCAGATTATAATTTGAAGAAAAAAAACATGAATGAATTCCTATGCACACTGCACATATCTTATTTGTAATGCAATTTTTTTAAAATAAAACAACAACAATACAATAATTAAAATTAAGAACAATTTAAACAAATATAAACTTATTAGTATTTCAATGGGAAGTGAGGGCCTGATTTTGGCTGATGAGATAGAATTGTTATTGTTATTGTGTGCTTTCAAGTAGTTTCAGACTTAGGTTGACCCCAAGCGAGGGCCGGGTAAATGACCTTGGAGGGCCGCATTCAGCCCCCGGGCCTTAGTTTGAGGACCCCTGTTATAGAGGATTGTAAAGAAGACAAAAACTTAACATTTCCTGTTAAGACCTGCTGCAGCAGCAACTTCTTATAATTATTAAAACCTTTTTTAAACATTTAAAGCAAGACCACATGAGTACATGAGTCCCCTTTCTTCCTTTTGCTAATATCATTGATGATTGAAACAGTACTTTCTTTCATATTTTATGTGTATGGCCAGATAAAATGATATAGTTCTTGAAGACATTCTACTTTTGCATTATCTTTTTCTTGTGTTTCATAAAAGATTTTCCTTTATGTTACAGAAGAGGAAGAATTCAGTGGATCTGGTCAGCAGGTCTTCATTAGTACGTAATTGTTGCATCGTTCCAGTTCAATTTCATATTTTTTTAAAATTTCAGATGCATTTTATATTTCATTTCTGAATATTCCTTATTCTATCTTTATTTTGTGTCCCTCCAGTAAAGCCAGGCTTTGTGAACTCTGTGTCCTTTGCTGTTATTATTTCATAATAAACCATCTTTTTCAATAAGGTTCTAGCCCAGGCATGGACAAACTCTGGCCCTACAGGTGTTTTGGTCTTCAACTCCTACAATTCCTAGCAGACTGTTAAGAATTGTGGGAATTGAAGTCCAAAATAAGTTTTGCCCGTGCTTGTTCTAGCCCTTACAACCCCCTCTACTGATAAAAAAAGGGACTTTTCAAATTATTATGTAAGCTTTTGATTCATCGGCTATACAGAAAGACTTATTAATTGATGTGAATTCATTGTAAATCACCCTAATAAATATATTAAAACTTGATAATAAAATCAAAGCGATATGTGAACATTTTAGAGGTGACAGTATGATAGCTGGGACCCAGTGTTGCTAGTGTTATGCTGTTTCCAAAACGCTGCTTCGGGGATGCTGGTTGTGGAATGCAGGCGCAGGAGAATACTACGTATGTAATTTAACACAGGGGAGACAGAGATAACAGTGAAGGAATGTAAGGGGTCTTTAATGATAAATGATAAACAGGGGTTTGGGAAACTGTTTGGGAAGACCTTAAACAGGATAGAAATCTGACCCAAATTATTATTAAACGCTTACATGTTGTTGCCATCCCACTTCTAGGCTGTCCACAAACTGGAGGGCGCTGTGGTATAATTCAACGTCCTTGGAAAAAACTCATGGCCACCTGCATTGTCCGAAACTACTCAATGAAGTGGATTAGATTGATTTTACACCACTCTTAGTATTTCTCCACTCCTTTCTATCCTTCCTTCTAATACAACAAAGAACTATCTTCCTGACTTTCTCCCCCTCCGTCTCTCACTCCATCCCGTCTCTCAGCCACATGGTCGGACATGTGTTCCATTCCTTCATTCACAACTGCCTTTCCGCAATCAACGTAACTTTAGCGGCACTGGGTCTCAGCTATCATACTATCACCATTTTAGGAGTTAGTCTCAGTTGCAAAAAAATAAACATTTTTAGCTGGATTATGTTTCTTAATTACATCCTTGTAATGGGTTTTCGCATTTTACAAAACCACAGACTCCTGATCTAAACAAAATACGCAGTTCATTTTAAAGGGAAGATCATTTGTAAACATTAAGAGGTGCAGAACAAAGGGAGAACTTGTGAGATATAGACAGGGGCGGTTCAACCCATTATGCAAAGTAAGCATTTGCAGTATAGTTGATTTTGCCCAGGGGCGCTCTTGAGGCGCTCTTGGGGGAAAATAGACCTTGACATATGCGAGTTGTAGTTTTGTAGTTAACAAAAGGCTAAGCTTGTTCTGATCCTCCAGATGTCATTGAACTCCAACTCCCAACAGTCCTTGCCCATATCACTGAATGTGAAGGATGAGGAGTAGTGCAGTTCTACAATAACAATACAATATTCAGCATCAACATTTGATGCCAAAGCATAGGAACATCTGATGTGCCAAAATTTTGCAGGATAGGCCCGTTTATACAAGCATGGGATATAAGTGGCCTTCTAGATGTAATACAGTCTACTACTACTAATAATAATATGATATTATAATTATATACTTTATATTAAATGTAATATTACTAATATTACATTATAATATTATAGTACAATGTAATATATAATATTAATATTGTGCGATGATAATAATATAATATGTTGTATTTACTTTTTACTTGTAAGTCGCTCTGAGTCCCCTTCAGGGTGAGAAGGGCGGCATATAAATGTCGTAAATAAATAAATAATAGATGGAAATATCAGCAGTCTTAGTCAGCATTGGCAGTACTGAAGGATGACAGTTGCTGTTGTCGAACAACAGCTAGAAGCTCCACCTATTCCTAGCCCAGGCTAAGTTGTCAATGTGTCTACCACCTTGAGTCTCTTACTGGGATTTCAAACTCTACATCTTTCTGCTTTCCTCAGCTGGCTTCCGTAGAAGTATGCGCTTGTGCCGCAGGAAATCCCGCAACAGTCACTTACCGTGTTATGCCCGGTGTCCTGGTGGATGCTACAGTGCTGTAGCGGCGCCATATGAAGAAGTAGTGAGATATCAGAGACTCCCTGGTGACAGAAACCGATTAATTGTACTAATAGGTAAGTAGCAATAGTTTTCCAGTACCTTGGTGTACAAGACTGAAGAGCAATTGTGGTGAAGGTTTTTTGGGCTGTATGGCCATGTTCTAGAAGCATACTCTCCTGAAGTTTCACCTGCATCTATGGTAGGCATCCTCAGAGATTGTGAGGTCCTATGGCAGGCATCCTCACAACCTCTGAGGATGCTTGCCATAGATGCAGGCGAAATGTCAGGAGAGAATGCTTCTAGAACATGGCAATACAGTCCGAAAAACCTATAACAACCCAGTGATTCCGGCCATGAAAGCCTTCAACAATACAATTGTGGTGAATTCAAACTTAGTGAGAAAGGCTCTTGCATTTATTCTCAAGAAATATAAGTTGCCACTTTGTTGGATTGTGTCTCTACAGTTCAAAGGAAGTCATTTAAAATATTCTCAGATGTCTCAAGAACCTTGGGCTCTATGCTACTGTTCAGGAAATTGATTACTATTTTTTCTGTAATAAATCTAACATATTTAAACTAGGGGATGTAGACCCTTTCATTCAATCCTTTAACTGATCATTTCTTGAAATATTCAGGTCCTTCCGGTGTTGGAGTGAATGAACTACGGCGGCAGCTTATTGGTATAAATCCTCATCTCTTTCAGAGTGCAGTGCCACGTAGGTGACAATTTACATTTATACTTTTAATTCTACTTGATGTATGTAACTGGTCTTTATATTATTTATATTCCAAAATTTACCTATATTTGTAAATTTTATTGATTAGCCCTTAGGCCATATCACAATACCAAACCAAACAAAAAGGCTTGATTAAACTTGATTACACTCTATATAGTAAGTTAAATAAAACACAAATAACATTAAAGTAAATAAATATGATAAAATTAAATATATACATCATGTTTCCATATCAACTCTACAATTTACCCCAATCAGCTCCACATATGTGGTTCTCAGATGTATTGCTTTGCTTAAAAACAGAGCTGTTTTATATGTAATATTTGGGTCTTGGCCACACATATAATATGTTGTTCTGATATGGGATTCCCAATAAATTGTCCATTTGATATATGAACCAAGGTATATTGAAACACAGATATCCAAAAGACAGGCCCCTACGTTGGCAGTTTTTAGGAAGAACTTGAAGACCTGGTTGTTCCGATGTGCCTTTCCAGAATAGGAAAACTCGAACAACAAGTACCAGAAGCACTTTAGTAGAAATTAAGATTGCTGGCACACTGCACTTACCCTAAAATCCTACATACCACCTGTCACATCAGCACTTTTAATCTGTACCCATTACTCTGGCCCGGCCCCAGTTTTATTTTGTCTTGGTGCACTGTTTTATTGCTTTGTTGTTTTAATATTGCTTTAATTGTTTTTGATTTGCTTTAAGTTATGTATTGTTATGCTATGTTTTGAGGCCTTGGCCTTTGTAAGCCACATCGAGTCTTTCGGGAGATGCTAGCGGGGTACAAATAAAGTTAATAATAATAATAATAATAATAATAATAATAATAATAATAATAATAATAATTGAACTCAGTGGTGCTTACTTCTGACTGTATATCTTGAATTATAAAACACACTGAGATTTAATGAAAGATATTCAGCCAGCTGAAATACAACACTTTAGCTTTAAATTAGAAGTATTTTAAGAAATGTCTAAGAGATCACAGATGCATAGCTACAAGAGAGGCAAAATTAAGGAATTCCCCTCTCTCATGAATTCCATCATTCCAAATGAAAGTTTAATTGAGTTCTCCCATTCCTACAACTTCAGGTGAGTATATTAGAAATACAGTTTAGGCCTCCAAAGAAAAGGGGCCGGGGAACTTTACCAAGGAATGCAAATAGTTCATGTGAAAAAGTACCTGTGAAAAAGATCTTGGAGTCCTTGTGGACAGGAAGTTAAACATGAGCCAACAATGTCATGCAGCAGCTTAAAAAGCCAATGGGATTTTGGCCTGCATAAATAGGACTTTAGCTTCTAGATCCATGGAAGTCATGCTACCCCTCTATTCTGCCTAGGTCAGACAACACCTGGAATACTGCGTCCAATTCTGGGCACTACAATTGAAGATAGATGTTGACAAGCTGGAATATGTCCAGATGAAGGCGATCAAGGCTCTGGAGAGCAAGTCCTATGAGGAGCGGCTTAAAGAGCTGGGCATGTTTAGTCTACAGAAAAGAAGGCTGAAAGAATGCATCATGTCCATGCATAAATATGTGAGGGGAAGTCACAGGGAGGAGAGAGCAAGCTTGTTTTCTGCTGTCCTGAAAACTAGGATGCGGAACAATGGCTTCAAACTACAAGAAAGGAGATTCCATCTGAACGTTAGGAAGAACTTCCTAACTGTGAGAGCTGTTCAGCAGTGGAACTCCCTGCTCCGGAGTGTGGTGGAAGCTCCTTCTTTGGAGGCTTTTAAGCTGAGGCTGGATGGCCATCTGTCGGGGGTGCTTTGAATGCGATTTTCCTGCTTTTTGGCAAGGGTTGGACTGGATGGCCCATGAGGTTTCTTCCAACTCTATGATTCTATGATTCTAATGCTAAGAATTTGGGACCAACGGGAAAATCATTTGGTGGTTCTTATTTGGAGGGACACTGTCTTCATTTTGCCTCCACTATAGCTACACTATGGATCGGAGTATTTCTTACAGTATTCGAGGTAGTGTCCAGGGCTGAGGTAGTAAGTGAGAGCATCAAAATTTATGATGCACATCTGAAAATTCCCCACATGCCTTTTGTATCTAGACCCCAGGGTGTTTTCACATGGGCTATTTCCAAAAACATTCAGGCAGGTAAAGTCTTGTCCCGAACTTTCTATTCTACCAGTTATTTCCAGAAAGATGAAGACATATTTAACAGTAGCACCATGTTTATTCTTTTTTAAATAGATACAACCCGTGCTCAGAAGAGCTATGAAGTGAATGGCCGAGAGTATCATTATGTATCAAAGGAAACCTTCGAAAACATGGTGTACAGCCACAGGTACAGTCTGGTTTGCCTACTCTGGAACATGCAACATATAATTGTCTTTCTTTAGGGGTCCCTTTCAAATCTATGATACTATATCTGTCATATACGTGTGTGTGTGTGTGTGTGTGTGTGTGTGTGTGTGTGTGTGTGTGTGTGTGAATCATATATATCTATATCTATGGCTGGATGGCTCTTTGTCAGGAAGGCTTTGAAGATGTTTTCTTGCCCTGGTGAAGGGAGTTGGACTGGATGGCCTCAAGGCAGCATTTCTCAACCTGAGAGTTGGGATTCCTGGGAGAGGGTCACGAGGGGGTGAAGAGGGGTCATCAAAGATCACCAGAAAACGCAGTATTTTCTGTTGGTCATTGGGATTCTGTGTGGCAGTTTGGCCCAATTCTATCATTGGTGGGGTTCAGAATGCTCTTTGCTGTTATTGTTGTTCATTCGTTCAGTCGTTTCTGACTCTTTGTGACCTCATGGACCAGTCCATGCCAGAGCTCCCTATTGACCATCACCACCCCCAGCTCCTTCAAGGTCTTTGATTGTAGGTGAACTATAAACCCCAGCAACTACAACTCCCAAATGTCAAGATCTATTTCCACCAAACTCCATCTGTGTTTATACTTGGGCATATGGAGTATTTGTGCCAAGTTTGGTCTAGATCCTTCATTGTTTGAGTCCACAGTGCTCTCTGGATGTAGATGAACTACAACTCTAAAACTCAAGGTCAATGCCCACCAAACCCTTCTAGTGGGAGTCCTGTGTGCCAAGCTTGGTTCAATTCCATTACTGGTGGAGTTCAGAATGCTCTTTAATTGTAGGTGAACTATAAATCCCAGCAACTACAACTCCCAAATGACAAAATCAAAATTTTGAGTCATGGTCACTCCTTGGGTTAGTAGGTGTCTTGTGGCCAAATTTGGTGGCAATTAGTCCAGCGGTTTTTGAGTTATGATGTCACTCAAAACAAATAGAGCATTTTTTTAATATATAGATTAGTTAACGTACTTTTTCTTATTTAAAAACACGTAACAAAATGAAATTGGGGAGGGGAGACCAGAACAGATTATTAGCATTTCGATGGGGAAATTCACTTTGAGATAAGAACATTTTGAGTTAAGAGCTCAGTCACATAACAAATTAAACACGTCAAGGTATTACTGTGTTTTATTTTAAGCGGGCCTTCCTATTTTGTTCTCCTGTGTTTACTACATTTGCAGGATGCTGGAGTATGGAGAGTACAAAGGGAACTTCTATGGCACAAGCACCGATTCAGTCCGTGCAGTTCTTGATGCTGGGAAGATCTGTATAGTTGATTTAGAGCCTCAGGTGAGTCATAAAGAGAAGTCTTTATTGTCATTGTTTCATGGACTAAACTGTTGATACCACATCCTCTGCAATTGTCCTCATCTGTCAGAAACAGACCCAATTGAGCTTTCACCATTCAATTTTTTCAACAGTATTAAAAGTGTCCCAGTTTTCCTCTCCTTCTCCCATTATTTTCATTTGTCCTTAGCTTCCTTAACTGCTGCAAACTGAGTTCAAAATCTCACAGTAGTTCTCGCATATTTAACTAAGCAACGAAAAGAGGCAGAGCCTTGCCCTTCCCAGGAGGCTGTAGCACAGGTATGGGCACACTTCGGCCCACCATTGAATTTGAATTTCAACTCCTACAATTCGGTTTGAATTTGAACTCCTACAATTCCTAACTGCAGGCTGTTAGGAATTGTGGGAGTTGAAGTCCAAAACACCTGGAGGGCCAAAGTTTGCTCATATCTGCTCTAGCAGAAGCAAACTGTTGCAACCTCTTCAACATGTGTGTTTTTCCTCATTGAATATTTCTAGCCATCTTGGCCACATCCTGGTATCATTTGGCCCATATGTGTCCTAGTTTGCATCTGTTAAATGTTATTTAAATGAATAAAACAGATACACAAAAAGTTCACCATCTTGAACTAAAATGACATGGTATTTGTTTTGTTTCATTTTTAATTTATTTTTATTTTTTGCTTTGTGCTGCAGAACATTCAGCTGGCCCGTACGCATGAACTGAAGCCCTACATTATATTCATTAAGCCATCCAGTGTCAGCTGCATGAAACAGTCCCGGAAAAATGCCAGGATGATTACAGACTATTACGTGAACATGAAATTTAAGGTGAGACTGGTGAGGAAGTTAAAGGCCATCTGCTTTATGTGGCATTCCTTGACTCAACAGCACTTGCCCTTGGTATTTCTTAACCTTCCAAGAGAAATAAAGCATTATTTGAGATAATTTGCTTTGAGAGTTAAGAGCTCAGTCACAGAACGAATTAAATTCTTGTCAAGGTATCACTGTATCATACATGGCACTGAAATGCAATTAAAAACTAATACATATTTATGTCTTTATGCATATTTTAATCTATATTAATGTATAGTGTACTTATATTTGGTTCATTATTATTACATATTATTTACAGCTTATGAACTGAAACAAAAACATATCAGAGTAACTATTACTCAGAGACACATATATTGACATCTTATGAGAATAGATGGTGTGTTGATTTTGAAGTCAACAACAATAAAACAATTCCACTCGTTTCAATATCATTTCAGGAGATGACTTTAGCCCTTTTGTTCAATTGCTATCTATAGGAAGAAGACCTGCAGGAGATGGAAGAATCAGCTAAAAAAATGGAAACTCAGTTTGGCCAATTCTTTGACCAAGTGATTGTGAATGACAACTTACAGGAAGCTTGTCTTCAGTTGCTGTCTGCTGTACGTCGAGCACAGGACGAACCTCAGTGGGTCCCAGCAACATGGATTTGCTCAGAAAATCAGCCATAATTTCCAAGACTAGACAGATTTACACTGATTGTATAGAGTTCATGCTTCACTACAACATTAATCATAATGCTGGTACTGCCAGATAAAATATATCTTTGTTTAAAGGGATTTTGGAGATGATTCAAGCAAGAAGCTATAAAATTCTTGGACATAGTCCATATCACTTTGAGGCGGGAACTAAAGCTTAATAAACCAGCAACTGAGCAAGCAATGTGCTGATGCAATTCACTCCTTTTTGGTGTGGGGAGATAAACAAAAACCAGTGGTTCTCAACCTGTGTTTTGGTCTACAACTTCCAGAAATCCCAGCCAGTTTACCAGCTGTTTGGATTTCTTACTTATATTTCTGTAAGTTGAAGGCCAAAACATCTGGGAACCCACAGGTTGGGAACCACTGGTATAGACAAACCAAACTAGACAATTATAGTACTATTATATTGCTTTAATTGCCACAGTTCCACCTTACGGGGTCCTGGGATCTGTAGCTTGATGTAGTATTTACTGCTTGTGATGGCAGAGATCTCTAGGGCTGGAGTTCAGGATAGTTCATTAGAAAACCCTCACCACCCAAATCCTGTGGGATGGAGTCATGGCCATTAAACTGTGGGTGCATGCCAGAATCCACAAGGCAGTAGCAAACCTCATTTCACTGTCTGGTTTATCAAACCAAAACTCATGGCTTAAAGTGAAGAGAAATGAAACCATTATGTGATGTGGTGTCCTTAAACACTGTGTATTCAGTAACATTAATTTTGTTCCAAAACACTGTTAGGTTGTAGTGACAGAATGCAATGTAATTGTTATGGGGGAAAATTAAAAGAATTTATTTTGTTGCATTTATCTGTTTGAGACAGTTGTAGTCATCATATTGTTTTCCACATTTGATGAATTTTGTAGGATTTCTTCTCCTTTTGGCATTCAGAAGTTTGAGAATTCCCTCCCGCCCCCTAAAAACATAAGTTAACAAGACAGTCTTTTGTACTATAAACTACCTCTACTTGGTTGTTGACAGAGTTATTTAGTGGGAATGACATAAGGAAGAGGAGTTTTCTTTGCATTCATTTCTGGCCTTGGCCAATTCGCAAACATCAAGGTTCCGGCATCACTTTGTGACACCATGTGACCCACAGAAGAAAAAGTGCTGCAGGAATGGCTATTAGTCATCTCAAGATGCTCCAAAGTCTGGGTTAGGGTTATCAGTCAATCACCTCCTGATTTGTCTGATAAAACCTTGGGAGCATCTTGAGACTTTATGTTAGGCGATCCCTCGCTGTCTGAGTAGGATTGTACTGGCGGTGGGTCCGTAGGTGACTGTGGAGTCCAACGGAGTTGATGGTGGAGGACCATCGCTTCAATGCTGGTGGTCTTTGCTTCTTCCAGCATGCTGACATTTGTCCGCCTGTCTTCCCAAGAGATTTGCAGGATTTTTCAGAGGAAGCGCTGACGGAATCGTTCCAGGAATTGAGTGTGACATCCACATTTTGCAGGCGTATAGCAGGGTTGGAAGGACAATAGCGTTGTAAACAAGCACCTTGGTCTCCCTACGGATGTCCCGATCCACAAACACTCTCTGCTTCATTCAGAAAAATGCTGCACTCGCATGACGCCAACTTTCTTTTTCTAGAGGAGCTCCAAGGGTTTACCATTCTATTACAGTAAAGGAGGCTGAGGCCAATACCGAAGGACAGTGGTTATTGATGCTATTTGAAAGGGAAGATCAAGGCAGGGGTAGAGGGCTTCTTATTCCTTCCTCTTTGCACTGTTCTTTCACTAAAGGTCCCACCCAAGTTGCTTGTACTCATTTGGTTTCTGTACTGAGAATAAAAGGAAGGAGGGATTTGTAGCAAGAGAAAAGAGAAGCACAAAAAGAAATCTTCAAACTACAGCCTTACTTACTTAGGCGATCCCTTGTTGGCTGAGTAGAATAGTCTTCCAGGATCAGTATTCTTGTGGGTCCGTAGGTGACTGTGGAGCCCTATTCTTGATCTGCATCTTCTCCCACAGTGAGGGCATTGGTTTCCAGGTGGAAAGTGGTCCCAGTCGGGGTTGGCTTGACACGCCTTCCTCTTGGCACGTTTCTCTCTTTCGCATTCCATTCATGCCTCTTCTATAGCACTGCTGGTCACAGCTGACCTCCAGCTGGAGTGCTCAAGGGCCAGGGTTTCCCAGTTCTCAGTGTCTATGCCAGAGTTTTTAAGGTTGGCTTTGAGCCCATCTTTAAATCTCTTTTCCTGCCCACCAACATTCCATTTTCCGTTCTTGAGTTCGGAGTAGAGCAACTGCTTTGGGAGATGGTGTTCAGGCATCCGGACAACGTGGCCAGTCCAGCAGAGTTGATGGTGGAGAACCATCGCTTCAATGCTGGTGGTCTTTGCTTCTTCCAGAATGCTGACATTTGTCCGCCTGTCTTCCCAAGAGATTTGCAGGGGTTTTTGGAGGCAGTGTTGATGGAATCGTTCCAGGAGTTGTTGCATGTGACGTCTGTAGACTGTCCACGTCTTGCAGGTGTATAGCAGGGTTGGGAGGACAATAGCTTTATAAACAAGCACCGTGGTATCCCTACGGATGTCCTGTTCCTCAAAGAGGACCTAATCTACAAATGAAACTTGGTGCCTTCCAGAGGGCAGCTTGGTAACTGACATTGTACAACAATTCCTTGAATATAAACAGATTGGAACAGCTGGCTTAGAAGGTAGTGACATATCACACATGCATAGGTATTTATTTTTTTATTTACAGTATTTATATACTGCTTTTCTCACCCCTGGGGGGACTCAAAGCAGTTAAAGGTTTTTCCCCTGACATGAAGTCCAGTTGTGTCTGACTCTGGAGTTTGATGCTCATCTCCATTTCTAAGCCGAAGAGCCGGCGTTGTCTGTAGACACCTCCAAGGTCATGTGGCCAGCATGACTGCATGGAGCGCTATTACCTTCCCGCCAGAGTGGTACCTATTAATCTACTCACATTTGCATGTTTTCGAACTGCTAGGTTGGCAGAAGCTGGGGCTAACAGCAAGAGCTCACACCGCTCCCCACATTCGAACCAGCAACCTTTTGGTCAGCAAGTTGAGCAGCTCAGTGGTTTAACCTGCTGTGCCACCGGAGGCTTCTTAGTAACATTATGTGACATGATTTTTGTTCCTGGGTTGTAAATGTCATTTCCTTTTTCTTTTCTTTCAAAAAGATAATACACCAACCATATATATTGCAGAAATATACACATACACATACACATACGTAGACAACCCGCCACCCACAGTAGTTACCCCTCAACCCACCCCCAGTGCTACCCGCCACCTTGGCTTCTGTCACTGATCCCCGCAGGATTTATGCACATCTTGTTTAACCCTCTATACTTCTAATCCAATAAATTCCTCTTGTTTTTATTTCTTTAGCTCTCCCGTCAAGTATGCTAAGGCCAGCTTCCAGTTTCTTTCAAATATTTCATGGCTTTCATATTTCAAATTGCTAGAAATCTTAGCCATCTGTATGTAATCCCACAGTTTATCCTTCCAATCTTTGATGCTTAATGTTTTCTCCCCTTTCCAGTCTTTGGCAATTGTAATGTGTGCAGCCGCAAAGCTGTACAAACAAATTTCTCTCTCTGGTTGTTCTGTGTGTCCCCAAGTGTTTTGGCCTACAACTCCCAGAAGTCCCATCCAGTTTACCAACTGTTAGGATTACTGGGAGTTGAAGGCCAAAACATCTGGGGACCCACAGGTTGAGAAACACTGATCTAATCTATCTCTGAATATCCCTAATAGGTACATCCCTGGGTTCTTTTTTTTTACTTTGTTGTGAATCATTTTATTTGTTTCCTTTATTATTCTTTTCCAATAGACATGCACCAGTTCACAAGACCACCATCCATGAAAAAAGTCCCTTTCTTTGTTTTGCAATAAATGTCATTTCCTAATTGGTTCTATTATAAAAACATGGGGAAAGTTGATTAAATTGCAAAAACTTCGTTTTGGGGGGACATTCTGCAGCACATTTTGCTGTAGTCTTTCAATGACTAGGCTGGATCTACACTGCCATATAACCCAGATCATCAAAGCAAGATAATCCACATTGACTGCTTTTAATAGTTTTCCTCACAACTGAATAAAATCCTACTTGGAACTGGGATATATGGCAGTGTGGACTCAGGTATTCCAGTTCAAAGCAGATATTGTGGGGGTTTTCTGCCCTGATATTGTGTTGCTTAGTTGTCAACACATCCAGACGGCATTGGAAGAGTTGTGCCTGTTTGTTTACTTGCCTGGTCTTGCAATCTCAGGGTTACCATGAAATCCTTTGGAGGGGTTTCCCTGGCCGAGTGTTGCGATTGGGGGAGGCCTTGGTGACGTTTTTTGGACTTCCTTCCCTTCCCTTCCCTCCCTTGGAGACCGGGAGGCGTCGCCTGCCTGGCAGAGAGAGAGAGAGAGAGAGAGAGAGAGAGAGAGGCCTGCAGCGCCATGGAGACCGCCCGCCCGGTGAGGGGAATGAGAACACGCTCTCGCCGCGCGATAAAAACCCTGTCTGCACCGGGGCTGAGGAGTGGAGGAGGGGAAGGGCTCCCCCGCAGAACACCACTCAAGACCATCGGATGGGGCCGCCGCCTTAGCTGCCTTCAAGCCTGTGTCTCTACACCAGGCCTGGGCCAACTTAGGCCCTCCCTCCAGGTGTTTTGGACTTCAACTCCCACAATTCCTCACAGCCTCAGGCCCMKGGGCCTGAGGCTGTGAGGAATTGTGGGAGTTGAAGTCCAAAACACCTGGAGGGAGGGCCTAAGTTGGCCCAGGCCTGCTCTACACAGTTTGTATTCTGAGGTATCCATCGCCATCTCGCTTTTGTGTGTGTGTCTCCCTGAAGAGAGATGAAGCAGGACTCCCTCTATACTGCTGCCCTAATCAAGCAGATTGAACTGGATTATAAAACAGTGTAGACTCTTAGATACAGGCAGCCCCCAAGTTACCAACAAGAGAGGTTCTGTAGGTTTGTTCTTAAGTTGAATTGGTATGTAAGTCGGAACAGGGACGTGATTTAAGTGTAACTCCAGCTATATATATACACACACATATATACTGTATTTTCTTATGCTATCTAAAGCTTGCATATACATGTGTGTGTAACTCCAGACAAATATGTGTGCGTGTATGCAAACAAACATACACACACACATATATATACACATATATACATGCATACACATATACACACACGCATATATATACACACGTATTTATTTATTTACCTTATTTATATACCGCTGTTCTCAGCCCGAAGGCGACTCACAGCGGTTCACAACAAATACAAACAGCAAAAATACGAACAGCAAAAATTCAGTGCTACAGTATAGAAACAGTTAACAACCTAACACATTACACGACCCATTCACTGTCGTCTCGTCGTCAAAAACATGATCCAGATTCGTCATCCATTGCTCCATTCCAGTCTTCATTAACCAATCATTGCACTAATTATTCGAACGCCTGCTCAAACAGCCAGGTCTTCACTTTTTTGCGGAATACCATTAGAGATGGTGCTAGTCTAATGTCCGTAGGAAGGGCATTCCACAGCTGAGGAGCCACCACCGAGAAGGACCTATCTCTTGTCTCCACCAGCCGAGCTTGAGAAGCAGGTGGGATCAAGAGCAGGGTCTCCCCGGAAGATCTCAAAGTCCTGGTGGGTTCATAGGCAGAGATGCGGTCGGATAGGTAGCTTGGGCCAGAACCGTTTAGGGCTTTAAAGGCCAACGCCAGCACTTTGAATTCAGCCCGGTAGCAGATCGGTAGCCAGTGGAGTTGGCGCAACAGGGGGGTTGTATACACACACACACACACACACATATATATATATACACACGTACACACATACATATGCACATATAGATACATATATATATATACACACATATGCACACACACACACATATATATACATACACAGATATGTGTACACACACACACATATCTATATAAATAAAAATGTAATGTTTGTTTGTGGGATTAACAGAACTCAAAAACCACTGGACGAATTGACACCAAATTTGGACACAAGACAGCTAATAACCCAATGTATGTTCTTCACTCCAAAAATTGATTTTGTCATTTGGGAGTTGTCGTTGCTGGGATTTATAGTTCACCTACAATCAAAGAGCATTCTGAATCCCACCACCGATGGAATTGAACCAAACTTGGCATACAGTTCTCCCATGACCAACAGAAAATACTGGAAGGGTTTGGTGGGCAGTGTCCTTTGGTTTTGGAGTTGCAGTGCAGCTACATCCAGAGATCACTGTGGACTCAAACAATGATGGACCAAATTTGACATGAATATTCAATATGCCGAAATGTGAACACTGGTGGAGTTTGGGAAAATAGAATCTTGACATTTGGGAGTTGTAGTTGCTGGGATTTATAGTTCACCTACAATCATAGAGCATTCTGAGCCCCACCAATGATAGAATTGGGCCAAACCTCCCACACAGAAACCCACATGGGCCACAGCAACACGTGGCAGGGGACGGCTAGTATATATATATATGGATGGAGTTATTATTATTATTATTCTTATTATTATTAACTTTATTTGTACCCCGCTAGCATCTCCCGAAGGACTCGATGCGGCTTACTAAGGCCAAGGCTTCAAAACACAACATAACAATACACTTTATCCAGCCAAATGTGTGTGTGTGTTTATACACACACACACACACAATAATAATAATAATAATAATAATAATAATAATAATAATAATAATTGAACATACAAAATTACTGTGGGACTTTCGAATCCAGACTGACAAAGTTTTGGAACACAATACACCAGACATCATGATTGTAGAAAAGAAAAACGTTTGGATTATTGATGTTGCCATACCGGGTGACAGTCGCATTGAGGAAAAACAACAAGAATAACTCAGCCGTTATCAGGACCTTAAAATTGAACTGCAAAGGCTCTGGCATAAACCAGTACAGGTGGTCATTGGCACACTGGGTGCCGTGCCAAAAGATCTCAGCCGGCATTTGGAAACAATAAACATTGACAAAATTATGGTCTGTCAACTGCAAAAGGCCACCTTACTTGGATCTGTGCGCATCATTCAAAAATACATCACACAATCTTAGACGCTTGGGAAGTGTTTGATTTGTGATTTTTTGATATGAAATCCAGCATATAGATCTCGTTTGCTGTGACATACTGTGTTTTTGTGTCAGTACAATAATAATAATAATAATAACTTTAACTTTGAAGGAGCTGGGAACTCTGGCGAGGGCTGGTCAGTGAGGTCACCAAATGAATAAACAACAACAATAATAACTTTATTTTTGTATTCCGCCTCCATCTCTTTGAAGGGACTTGGGGCGGCTTACATGGGACCAAGCCCGATCAAGACAGTTAAAATGTGACACACTAAAATAAAACAAATCAACATTATAACAGAATTAAACAGGCATTACATATGGATGGAGTTTCACAAATATATATATATATATATATATATATATATATATATATATATAGAAAGAATTAAATAACTCTTGTCATTGTGCTACTGCACAACGAAATTAGAAATTTCCGTAAATGCTTTCCCCAGCGCACAGTCATCACTCCACAACTCACACAGCCCTCGATGCCATACCAATGTGAAACCCAGAATGTCCCACAATATCTGCCATATATCCCAGTTCAAAGCAGACAATGTGGGATTTTCCACCTTGATATTCTGGGTTATATGGCTGTGTGGAAGGGCCCTTTGACTTACGGCAACCTTGTAAATGAAGTATCTCCCTGCCATCAATAGCCCTGGCCAGACCTGACAGACCCCTTCCACAGCTTCCCACATTATCTGCTGGGATATATAGCAGTGTGGACTCAGATAAACCAATTTAAAGCTGATATTGTGGGATTTTCTGCCTTGATATCCTATGTGGAAGGGCCCTCTGAGCCTTCCCTATACTGTCCAAAGGATGCATGTGTAAGAAGTTGCAATTAAATAATATATTTGTTCTGACTTACATACAAATTCAACTTAAGATCAGACTTATAGAACCCATCTTGTTCGTAACTTGGGGGGCTGCTAATATTATATTTTTGCAATACATTCAGCCATGCTACTTATATGTGTCATGCACCATTTTCTTCATCCACAGTTATTCATTATGCTTTATTAGACTTTATCATAACCATGTTTGCCCCCATATTGGATTCATATATTGTGTCATTGTATGCATACATTTGTTTAGAAGGAAGTCTTGCTGAATTCAGTCTACATCTGAGAGCCATTGTGATGTGCTGGCTTTACTGTTGGACTACAACTCTGGAGACCAGGGTTCAATGCCACTTGCTCTCAGCCCCAGAAAACAAGTCAGAAGTGACTCAAAGGCATACAACAACCAAGGCCCTGTTCAGGTGTTCTGCCCTGTGGAACCTGCTTGTGGAGCAAAGTAATAAACACATCAGTGTCACTCCACTTGCCCCCATGAGCTGGAGGGATGACTTCTGAGTTGGCTATTAGTAGAAAAGGTTTCTGCTTTGTAGTTCTCACTTCAAAACATCTTCCATTGTGGAGGGTGATGGAAAGGCAGATCTGTGTCTTCTTCTGCCCACTTGCATCTTTATTCTCCACTGAGCCTGAATACCTACATAGAATTTATGTGTATGTAACATTACGATCTTAATTTCCATCTCTAGCAGAAAAAATGTTTCTGAGTATATTCAGGTATATTCCAGACATTGTAATTCCACTGAGTAGCAAAGCCAAGAGCCTTACCGTAAGCCCCTTTAGTTCCAGTAGAACTAATGCTATCAGGGTAATTTGAGGATCTAAATACAATTCCTATTTTATTACCAGTATGGTCACACATTTCACTGGGAACATTATTTCTGAAATATAAAGATGGAGGAGTTTGACTTGAAGTAGTACGTGCCACAAAGTACCCCCTTGCGTGGCAGATCAATAACGACTCACATGAAACCCTAAATCCCAAGGAGCAAAGGTTCACTTCCACCTAATCCCGAGTATTGGGTGTCTATTTTTGGTACAGAATTAGTTCAGGTTGCTGTAGGCATGGAAGGTGATTTCATGTCTCTCAGAATCGGTTTTTAAATGATATGGGGAAGAAGCAAGTGGTGAGTCCTATTTTGAGTTGTCATCGGTAGATGTTTGCTTTCATTTTTATTGGAATTAAGAGTTTATCTGACTTGTCATAACAAATTTTCTCTGAATTTACTTATGTAATATAACACCTGATGCATAAGATGACTCATTGAGAGAGAATAATCAGGTGCACCAGCTCTATTTTACCTACGCAGTAACAAGAAACATGATGTTATCACACTTACAGATCTTCCAAGAGGAGATTTGTATTATTCACAGGATTTTAGTCAAATCAATTTATGTATTTATTTACCTTACTTATATACCGCTGTTCTCAAGGTAGTGTTGTTGTTTTCCATCTGTTATTTGTCTTGTTTTTCAACTGCTTTCCCCCTTATTTTATTAAAAGAAGAAAGAGAAGACCAAATTGATGCATAGTGCTGTTTGAGGGAGAACTCCTAGAAGTATTTTGAAATATGACGTGTATCCTCTGCAGTTGATGTTGGGATTAGAATAGATACCATATACTTATATGCCAACTATTAGTTGTGTGTTTTTAGGCACTTTTTTTTTGGAAAATCAAGCTTTATGTGAATTCTGCTGCTCCAAAGATGAAAGTTAACACATGTTTATTTCTCCATTTTAGCTCTAGTCTATCTTATTTTTCCATAACTTGTTTTGATTTAAACTATATTGTGTACACTTGAAGAAAAGGAAGATCAGAATTAATAATATTAAAAATATCTTAGCCAGTGGATTGAATGTTTTAATTCATTCCTCCATTTTAGTTTATCTGGTGGTTCTCTTGTGGCTGCAATGAGTTAAACCCTTGTGCCGGCAGGACTGCTGACCAAAAAATCAGTGGTTTGAATCCCAGGAACGGAATGAACTCCCGTCTGTCAGCTCCAGCTTCCCATGCGGGGGCATAAAAGAAGCCTCCCACAGGATGGTAAAACATCTGGGCGTTCCCTGGGCAACGTCCTTGCAGACAGCCAATTCTCTCACACCAGAAGCAACTTGCAGTTTCTCAAGTCGCTACTGACATAAAAAAATTGGCTGCATTCATATATGCCACAGTTGAATATATTCTAAGGAAAGGATGGACCTTTTTCATATACTGAGGGATATTTCTGTTTTTATTTTAGTGTCCACCCCGTGTTCTTCCACCAGTGCCAAGGTAAGGTTAATTGATTCAATTGAGAAATTGGCAAGTAAAGAAATGTCAGGGAAAGCATTGAAACCTCCTTTGTCCTAGCATCCCTGATTTGTTTGTTCTATCAGTGTGAGAGCCGGGTTTTTATGTGGTTAATCAGGCTAATCATCTGTTACTGATATTAATTTTATTCTTTGTTTTATATTTTTTTCTAATGGCTGTTCCATCATGATTTGAAAAATAATTGAACTGAAGAGGAAATCAAGGTGAGTTTGTTATTGGGCAAACAATTTAATACTTGGGTTGCTGTGAGTTAACTGGGGTGTATGGCCATGTTCCAGAAGCATTTTCTCCTGACGTTTTGCCCACATCAATGGTAGGGATCCTCAGAGGTTGAGAGGTCTGCTGGGAACTAGACAAGTGGGGTTTCTATATCTGTGAAATGTCCAGGGTGGGAGAAAGAACTCTTGTCTGCTTGAGGCAAGTGTGAATCTTGCAATTGGCCACTTTGATTAGCATTGAATAGCCTTGCAGCTTCAAAGCCTGCCTGCTTCCTGCCTGGGGGAATCCTTTGTTGGGAGGTGTTAGCTGGCCCCAATTGCTTCTTGTCTGGATTTCCCCTGCTTTCTGAGTGTTGTTCTTTATTTACTGTCCAGATTTTGGAATTTTTAAAATACTGGTAGCCAGATTTTGTTCATTTTCATGCTTTCCTGTTTTCTGTAGAAAATTGTCCACATGCTTGTGGATTTCAATGGCTTCTCTGTGTAGTCTGACATGGTGGTTGTGAGAGTGGTCCAGCATTTCTGTGTTCTCAAATAATATGCTGTGTCCAGGTTGGTTCATCAGTTGCTCTGCTATGGCTGACTTCTCAGGTTGATTAGCTATTCAATACTAATCAAGGTGGCCAATTGCAACATTCACAGCCACCTCAAGCAGACAAGTTCTTTCTCCCACCCTGGATGTCATTCCACAGATAAATAAACCTCACTTGCCTAGTTTCCAACAGACCTCACAACCTCTGAGGATGCCTGCCATAATGTGGACGAAACGTAAGGAGAGAATGCTTCTGGAACAAGGCCATACAGCCTAGAAAACTCAAAGCAAGCCAGTAATAATCCACATTAAGTTCTTTAACAGTCATGCATTAGAGATCACATCTCTATATCTAATACAATAGAGATAATTGTCCAATGGCTATTACCAGAACAAGCTTTCAAAAATCATAGGGAGGAAGCAAGTGAAAGAAAACAATTTATTTTCTGAAGTTATTTTTCATCATAATTATAAACTGCCATCTAATTTGTGTTTTTTCAGATGTAAATTTAACTGCAGTGCATTCCATAGATCAGTATTGTAATTTGATAGAGTGGCCCAAATTATAATGATTACTGAATATTAAAACTGATTCCTTTGTGTTATGAGGATAACTTTTTTTGGCTTATGGACTAGGAAAAAAACCATGATAATGGAACAATAAAACTATATGGGGACATTTGTCTTGTACGATCATCTTTTAAAGCAGCTCACAACAAATTTGCAGCCATACATTTACAATAGAATAAAACAAGCCAACATTAAAACAGTAGTTAGAACACATTATTTATTTATTTGCCATATTTGTATACTGCCTTTCTCAGCCCGAAGGCTGTCCCAGCATTCTTAGAAGCACAGTTGTCTGAAGAAATGTATTTTCTCTATCAGATTAATACAAAGAAGAAATAAAGGAGGCGGAGGCGGGGGTTCTGGTGGCGCTGTGTTTGTTTTTACTTCCCCTTTTCCTATTTTGGGGTCATTGGGGATATGAAACAACATATTCTGGCCAAAGCAATCCCTATAGGGTCTCTTTAGAGCTGGAAAAAGTTTTTTAAAATGTGAAAGAAAAAAAAACACAACTCAGGATCCTGGGTGGGAGCAAAAGTCTGCCTGCAGTGTCTCATCATTCACAATTCTCATCCTCACTGTGAAGGAAAAGAATGGGTCCTAGGCAACAATAAAAAGTTTCTTAAGGACACTATTTACACAGATGTATTAGCAACAACCTTACAGTATTTATAGTGGATTCTGCAGAAAATGCTTCAGCTGTAGTCCAGAAAAAAGGAAAATCAAGACTCTCTAGCAAGCCTTGCAAATGCTGATTGATGATCAGTAAATGTTCAGCCTAATTCTTTGTTTTTCTTTCTACTGTAGATGAAATTCCACTCGGTCGCCAAAAACGGAAAAAGGCTAAGGGAAGAAACTCATTAGGTAAGATGCTGGCTTTACGAAGAACAACGTGGGGAATGATAGATGAAGAGAATAGTAACATACAGTGGGTTCTCTGTATCATTAGGAGATCGGTTTTCCAAAAGGTTATGATCTCTAAAAGGTCATGACTTTCCAAAATTCTTTCTCCATATATATAGCTGTGCTCGCTTCGGAAGCACACATACTAAAAAAAACTGGAACGATATGCATTACCAGATGTCCTTGATAACACGCATATGTTTTTTCCATTTTTTTGAGAAAAAGTTATATTTATATAGACATACACTATACATTTCCCCCTCTTTTATTTTCTTTCACCCATGTGTTCCCCTTCACCAGAGCCATTCCTCTCTCTAAAGTCCCACCAAAAGTTCAATTCTTCAATTCTTTAAAAATTCTGCCTGTGCCTAATAAAATACCCATCAGGAAGGTTACTGTTCCAATATCCAATTTCTCTAATTTAGCAGCAATTCTTTCTGTACAAATCTTCTAGATCATAAATCATTGTTATGGTGCCAACTACATTATGTTCCTTTCTTGATCTTCTTTCTAGATGACATTGTTCAAGCAGCTGTCCGCCGGACGTCTGAAAGCAGTGAGCCTCTGACGCCTGAGGACTGCCCACCACAGGATGGCCCACCTCAGAGGAAGCGCAAGAAAAAGAGAGCGCCTCTAGGTAGGCAGAGATTGGCAGGAAAAAAAACCAAGCAAAGGATATATACCAGCTGGGCAGCTAGAGGGATCGTGCAGTCCTTCCCCCAAATGTTGTTTGACTGCAACTTTGAATATTCCGATTATTATTATTATTATTATTATTATTATTATTATTATTTTAATGGTGTTTATTGAATGTTTCTCACTACAAGTTGAATATCCCTTATCCGGACTTCCAGAATCCAAAATATTCCAAAACCATCATAAACTTACCAGTATTTTAATGGGAAGTGTGGGCCTACTTTTGGCTGATGAGAGTCTAGTTAGCTAGGATTATTGATGTGTGCATTCAAGTTGTTTCAGACTTAGGGCAAGTCTCAAGTTTTGGGGCAGCAGTCGGCTAAATGACCTTGGAAGGCCGCATCCAGCCTGCGGGCCTTGGTTTGAGGACCCCTGGTCTAAGGTATATACGAAACACAAATGAATTTCACATTTAGACTTGTATCTATCCCCAATATATCTCACTATGTATATGTAGATATTCCAGAATTCAAAACACTTCCTTGTCCTAAACCTTTTGGTTAAGGAATACTTAACCTGTAGTATCTATGTTACGTTGAGCGGTCCAATGACACCTAAAGGATTTTATGATGCTCTTCCTGAGAATGGAGTTAGAGATATAGAATTTCTGGAATTTCTAAAACCATAGCATAAAATTGAGTGTTTGGGGTTTTCTTCTCCAGAAAAGACAAAAATCCTGAAAAAAAGCTGCAATATTAGCACCCTTTACAGATTGAAATGGAGCACCCAGTGGCACAGTAGGTTAAACCACTGAGCTGCTGATCTTGCTGACCGAAAGGTTGGTGGTTTGAATCCGAGGAGTGAGGTGAGCTCCTGCTGTTAGCCCCAGTTTCTGCCAAGGTAGGAGTTCGAAAACATACAAATGGGAGTAGATCAATAGGTACCGCTCCGGTGGGAAGGTAACGATGCTCCATGCAGTCATGCTGGCCACGTGACCTTGGAGGTGTCTATGGACAATGCAAGCTCTTCAGCTTAGAAATGATGTGCACCACACCTCTCTTAACGTCAGAGGAAACCTTTACCTTTACCTACAGACTGAAAGTAACTTTGTTATTATAGGGAATGAATTATCATGTTTTATATATTACAAGTATGGTCATTTGCAAGGATGTTGCCCAGGGGATGCCTGGTTGTTTTACTATCCTTGTGGAAGACTTCTCTCATGTCCCCACATGAGAGAAGCTGGAGCTGACAGACGGGAGTTCACCTGCTTCCCAGATTCGAACTGCCAACCTTCAGTCAGCATTCCTGCTGACACAAGGGTTTAACCCATAGTGCTCCCACGGGTTCCTAATTTTCAACATGTAAATAAGGTTTTCACAACTGTGGAGTGCTAAAAGTGAAAATGAGCAAAACCAATAACACTGTTCCTTTACTGCTCCTTTACTGTTTCTCGTTAAATTAAAAAAATATAACAATAAAAATGAGTTCTTAATTCCTTAGTCATATTAATATTTTGAAAGTGTTTACAGTTCTTGGAGTAAGCTCACGGTTTTTATGATTAAGGTAAAAACTTGATTCTCCAGAAAAGTATATAGAATTTGAATTGTGCTTTGGACTCTATGTGTGTATACAAAATCCCCCCCTCTACTGTCAAGCTAATCAGCTGACACTTAACATTCTGTTTCATTACATTTATTTTGCCCAGTCATTATTTCTTAACCTTTCATTACATTTATTTTGCCTAGTCATTTTTTCTTAGCCTTTCCTCACAGGTTGTTGTGTGGAAAATTTTGATCGTCTTGGAGAATAAGTAGGAAATAGAAGAAATAAATGTTTTTAACTTAACATTTCAATCCCAGGAAAAAGTATGGCATTCACCTCTGTTGTTATGCTTCTTTGTGCCTTAATTTTCACTGTGACCTGCAGTACAACTTCCCTTGTCTTACATTGTAAACTTTCAGAATCGGAGACCTCTTTCACTGAGCAGAATGGAAATAGCATGGATCCTTTACCAGCAGAAGAAAACAGAATTGAAGAAACAGCGACTCGTAAACAACGGAAAAGAGTGAAGTGAGAATACCCAGCTTTATTTCAAAACAAAGAACCTTGTCATTGCCTGTGGTTGACTTTCATTCTATTTCATTATGTTTATTTATAAAAATGTGTACATGGATTTTTCAGCCCAAAAGGCCTTATATTGAGAAATATTTATAGAGCAGCATTTTTATTGTCCTTCTAAGGCAGGCATGGGCAAACTTGGGCCCTCGAGGTATTTTGGACTACAATTCCCACAGTTCCTAACTATCGGTAGCTTGTTAGGAATTGTGGGAGCTGGAGTCCAAAACGCCTAAGGGCTATATTATCTCCATGTTGCAAATGCCAGCTAAGGCTAAAAAGAAGTGGTTTATCTAGTATACAAGATACAAGCAAGATCTGAACCAAGCAGCTCTTTGGCTTCTAATTTCATTCCCGAGTTCCTAGTTTTAAAAAACCCAGACATTTACAGATAATCACATTCCTCCTGATACTGGATATTGTTTATGGATTCTTGTTTAAAACAGGTGTCTTTCTGCCATAACAATGTGGGAATTAATCCTTAAATGGAATATGTGTTCATTAGTTTCCAATCAGAGGGTCTTGCAACAGTTCCAGTGTTTTAGGACAGAGACTTGGTTGTTACAGCACAGTAGTGCTGCTCTAGTGATCGATGCATGATGCAGGTCGGTCCTTGGTTGCCAGGGCTTTTAAAAGGGAAAATACCCACCTTTTGAAATGCCTTTGTCCCCTCGTGACAGGAAGACACGTCCGTTAGAAACTGCCAATGAACTGGGTGTGGAGGAAGAAGATATTATTGAAGATGAGCAAATGAAAGGCTCAGAACAGCATCCCGTGTTTTCTGTCCCAACTGGTGTTAGCCAACCTATTAGCAAGGTGTTTGTTGAAAAAAATCGTAAGTACTTTCCTAATCCTTCAAGAACAGAAAAAGATTCTGTTCCTAGTTTTAAAGTGTTATTTCTGTTTAGTTGTGCAATACTTACTTTGAAAGTAGTTGTCATACTCCAGAAACTTCATTTTTGTGGCAGCCACAAAAACCATGTTGGGTTGGTTGACACTCGGTGAAATATTCATAGAAAAACTATCGAAAATGTTCTGCAAGATATCCCACAAAAACAAAGTTTTTGCAGTTTAATAAACTTTTTCCATGTTTTTATGATAGAACCAATGAGGAAGTTACATTTATAACCCAGGAACAAAAATCACATAGTTTAATAGGATTTCATACTTGGTATAATAACAGCAGTGGAAAAATGAATAAATCAATGTGGCCTCGGTTCAGAGCCTTGCCATAGAGCAATGGCTCTCAGCCTTCCTAATGCCGCGACCCCTTAATACAGTTCTTCATGTTGTGGTGATATCAACCATAAAATTATTTCTGTTGCTACTTCATAACTGTAATTTTGCTACTGTTATAAATTGTAATGTAAATATCTGATATGCAGGATGTATTTTCATTGTTACTTCTCTTTCTCCCTGGGATTCGGCCATAGAGGGACCACTCCACCCCTCTCTAAGCCCTGCCCTCCCTCCTCCGGGGCTCCCTCCTTAGGCTCTCACTCACCTTCTCTCTTCTCACCTCCACCTCCTCCTCCTCCTTCCTCTTCCCTTTTAGCTCCAAAGCAAACCTCACCTCCATCGCTCCCATCTCTTCTTCCCAAAATGGTGGAGGGGCATGCCTGAGTGACATCACCGCCTCCCTCCAGAGAAGAAGAGACCTCTTGGAAGTGAAGGGGACAGGAAAAATTAACAGTGTCTCGGTTCCTAAAACCATCAGAAATATGTGTTTTTGATGGTTTTAGGCGACCCCTGTGAGAGGATCGTTCAACCCACCAAAGAGGTCGCGACCCACAGGTTGAGAACCGCTGTCATAGAGCCTGTGAGAATAGCAGATTATTATTGGATAGAAAACCTTAACTTTAGAGTTGTTTAAACTTCTTCACTTTCTGTCTGAAGGTCGCTTTCAAGCTGCGGATCGCAAAGATTTGATTAAAACTACTGAAAACATTGATGTGTTTATGGATATAAAGGCTTCATGGACTACAAAGGATGTGGCACTCTCTGTTCACCGTGGCTTTAGGTATGTGCATATTCCCACTTGGTTATCATTCAAATAAGTAATTTGAACAAATGAAATTTCTCAGGCCCCTTCTACACTGCCATATAAAACCCAAATTATCTGCTTTGAACTGGATTATATGGCAGTGTAGACTCATATAACCCAGTTCAAAGCAGATAATGTGGTTTATCTGGATTATATGACAGTATATTATCTGGATTATATGACAGTTTAAAGGGGGCCTCAGTGCTTTCAATCCTGGAATGGTGATTAGTCTCTTTCCTGACCTGGAAAAAATGGAACAGACTTGGGAGCAGGAACTTTTTGCCATTTGGGATATGGCAGTTTTTGTGACAGCAGTATGATCTGATTTTTGCAATCTGAGAGGCCGATGTATGACCTGTGCTCCATATGTTAGCCATTCTTGGTGTATTTTCTGCATAATATCATTAGATATATGTGCATGAAACAGTCATTAGGCTCCACTTATAATTATTTCTTCAAGCCACCTCCAGAAATAGTTATGTGGAGATGAAAAACTGTAAGCTGTCCCTTTGAACCTTTTATTCCACATTATTATTACAATGTGGAATGAAAACTATAAAAATATATTTTTAAATCCTTGGAAAATTTATACTGAGAAATTGATTTTTGTTGTTGGTTAAATTGGGAGAAGATACAAATGGTGATCTAACGGGCAGCAGCCAGATTGCTCACTGGAGCAGCTTATAGGGAGCATACAATCCCTCTGTTACATCAGCTCTGCTGGCTGCCAGTCTGCTGTCGAGCACAATTCAAAGTGCTGGCTTTAGCCTATAAAGCCCTAAATGGTTCTGGCCCAGCTTACCTGTCCGAATGTATCTCCCTCTATGATCCACCTCAGAGGTTAAGATCATCTGGGGAGACCCTGCTCTCTAGTCCCACCTCCCTCACAGGCGCAATTGGTGGAGACAAGAGACAGGGCCTTCTAAGTGGTGGCCCCTCAGCTGTGAAATTCCTTCCCCAGTGATATTCAATCAGCTCCTTCCTTCCTAACCTTCAGAAAGAAAGCTAAAACATGGTTATGGGACCAAGCTTTCGGAGAGTAACTGCAGTGCAATAAATGAATGTAGAATTTCTGCAGTGACAACTGGAACTGCTCTGGTTTAAAATCTTGGATGGTGTAGTTTTAATAATTAATGCAATTGTTTAGATGTTTTAATTCTTTGGTTTTTGACATAAATGTTTATTTAATTGTATGTTGTTTTATGACATTGAATTGTTGCTGATGTGTAAGGCCACTCTGAGTCCTCTTCAGGGTTAAAAAGGGCAAGGTAGAAATGTGGTAAATAAATAAATAGGATGGGCAGTTTCCAAAGGTTATGCGAAACTTGGAAAGATCATGCCTCCTCCATGTGCCACTCCGATTGTATTTTTTAAATGATTTTAAATTGGAAAAAAAATCCTTAAGGAGGCAGTGGGGAGTAATTTACACCCTTTTTTCTCCCCCCAGAGCTTCTTTAGAGATTTCAGAAGTGAAGTCGCTATCAGTTTTGGAAAACATGAAACAGCTTTAACCAGGAAACATTGTCGAAGTGTCTTTTTCAGTTGAAGTTTCTAAAATTAGGGTTCCAGGTTCTGGAAAGATTAGGGAGGCTATATGCAAGCAAGCTTTGACCACTTGTATAGTAAGAGCCCTGTAAAAGAACATTTCTTGTCTAATATGGTTGTATCATTTTAGGGTGATTGGACTCTTTACTCATGGCTTTCTTGCTGGTTATGCGGTCTGGAATATCATAGTGATTTATATTCTGGCAGGAAACCAGTTATCAACCATCTCCAACTTGCTGCAGCAGTACAAGGATTTGGCATATCCTGCTCAGTGTCTTTTTTACTTCCTGCTTACAATCAGCACGGTCTCAGCTTTTGACAGGTACATTTTTCATGAACTTCTCTTACTTCTAAATTAATTCAGTGATTTAAAAGTAATTAAAACCATGCTCCTGTACATTTTTTGCAACTTGCAGCAGTAGCCTACATAACTGGCTTTTTGGGGGTCTTTAACACGCTATTTATGGAAGTTGGCTTCTAGTATTACCATATCTACATTGTGCTGTGTTTCTTTCTCCCTACTTTCCCCAATTGTGCCACATCATTGGGGATTCCTAGTGTTAGACAATCTGAATTGAGTCCGATGTTGCCCATTTCTGATTTAGTATACACAGAACATGAATGTGAAATAATGAAGTACCACAACAATCCAGAAGATGGAGGTTTTAGGTGACAGCTGAGTTTGTTAAAGTTAATGGGATTTTACCATTGGTTTCATTAGAAGTCTGGGTTCCCAGAGCACCATGGGTCTCAGAATAAAACATACAATTTTTCCCCACTTGGTGTCTTGTAGAATATTGAAACTAACACATCTTGCATCCACTATTTAGGATCGATTTGGCTAAAGCATCTGTATCTGTACGTGGCTTTCTTACTTTGGACCCAGCAGCACTTGCATCTTTCAGTGAGTATAAAAGGACAGCTGAAAGTTATATATGAGGAAAAGAGGCCTGTGTGATGGTATTTGGTTTTTAAACTGGACCTTCATCATGACTTTTTGTCGTAATTGCTGTTATTTCAATGGTGGCTGTGATGAGTTTAGTAAAGGACATTTGTGGGTTGATAACTGACAATTCTTTGCTGATTTCTGTGTATCACACACAAGACTATGCTTCCACAGAGAAAAATTCAAGTCAGGGGTGAAAAGAGGGTCTCCCTCAGTCCCATTTTGTTGCCTCCCCCAGCCAGGGGAGCTATTTTTAAGCTGCCAAAATGTGATGGCATAGTTCTGTAGCAGTGCACTTTGCTTGTGTCTCCATCTTCCCTCTTCCTTCTCAGTGATAGTTGTGCTTTTGCACTATAAGGAAAATGAAAACAAGGAACATGGCAATTTACAGGATGGCTGTATCACCAATTGCAGTTGGTGTCATTTTGGATCTGGGCCCAAAGTCCTGGTTTGCTCTGGATTCTAGTAGAGAACTCAGGGCAACTTGCAACTTTGGTTAATGCATTAAGGCAGCCTTGGCTTGCATTCACCCAAAATCATCTTATGTGTTTGTTGTTTAGCACTACGGGGCTGATTTACTTGCTTGTTGGGATAAGTGCTCAGTGTAGATGTGCCCACAGAGAGGTGACTATATATAGATATGGAAGGACAGGTGAGGCTTCTGCTAAACTCGCATCTTGTCTAGAACAGGCATTTCCAAAGTCTGGTCCCCGTTCAAGTTTCCAATGGCCTACTCTCCAGGTCTCCTTCTCTCCATTACTTGCTTCTTTCCTTTCTCTCTTCCTTGACTTTCTTCAATCCTCCCTCCCTTTCTTGACTTCCTTCCTTCCTTTTTGGGGATCAGGCCCCCGGAAAAGGCAGGCTCCTCGGAAGGAGAGAAAGAGAGATGGTGGCCTCTTATGTTCCTTCACTTAGACTAAGCGTCATCTTCTCCTCAGGGGGCTCCAGCCTCAGGCATCCCATCCCAGTGGCCCCTTGTCTCTCCCTCTCTCTCTTTCCTTACAACTTTGTCTTTATTTCTTTCCAAAATAACCCCCCCCCCCTATTGCCCTGTTTCCCCAAGTGCTGCGACCACTGCTGTTGCATGGCCAGGAATGGCTGGCCCTACAGTGGCCCCCCTCCCACAACAGGCTGATGGACCCTGAACTGGCCCCCGGCGTAAAAGGTTTGGACACTCCTAGTCTCTAATGATCTAGAGCAATGGTTCTCAACCTGTAGATCCTCAGATGTTTTGGCCTTCAACTGCTAGAAATTCTAACACCTGATAAACTGAGATTTCTGGGAGTTGTAGGCCAAAACACCTGGGGACCCACAGGTTGAGAACCACTGCTCTGTGCAGAAGCAGATCCATATACAAGAATGCACAAGAGACCACTTGAAAAACAGCCGGAAATATCTTTCCCCTTCCTATTCGTCTAGTTTAAATTTGAAATAAATACCAGAAAGAGAAACTGCAAGCATCTTAGTTGATGCCGACCATATAGTGACTTTGCACACTACAAAACAGCAGTGGGGAATGATTGAAGAAGCAGGTAGTCTATGAATGTGGAATGTTGAAATGTGCATCTCCACAGTTGGACAACTAAGGCAGTGGTAGCAGCAATTTAGGAACCTAATCAGCATAGGCATGGACATTATGACACGACAGGTCTGTGATATTGATGTCTCTGTCATTTCTGTTTTTCCTAGTGTACTTTGCTGCTCTTATATTATCTCTGAGCCAGCAAATGACAAGTGACAAAATCAACCTTTACACGCCTCCTTCAGAGAATGGTAGCCTCTGGTAGGAATTGTTTTCTTTCTTCCAAACAAATGTTTTGTGATATTTGTACCAAACTATGTACATAAAATTATTTGTAACATTGTATGGGGTATAGTGCAAAATTGTAACTGTGCTTCAATCATTGAAGGGTTCTGTCAGTTGTTTTGCTGAAAAGTGAAGAGCCGGTTTTGCTGAATATCCCCTATTATTGCATCAGAAGTCACAAGTCAGATCATTCCTTTTTGAACTCCTTTTTATTCTTCCTTTTTACAGTTTTCTTAAAACAATGAATAGGTTTGATACTTTGTGGGCTTGATTAATATGTTCTTAGAATCTAGGTCCTCCAGCACAACTCTGTGATCGATTAGTCCATAGTCACCTTGGAACACCTAGAGAGAACACCAGAATAGTTTGTGCTGATACCAATATTAGCCCTCCAGAGTTACAAGAGGTATCTCATAACTACTGTAGCAGACTGTATTGATTTAATACTACCCCAAACAATGACAGTTAATATTATGCAATGGGAATAAAATTCACATTTTAAATCACAATTAAAATGATACAGTTTTAAAGTGATAAATTATACAATTATATATTAGAACTATCTCATATCTTTTCCCAGTCTCAGGACAAAAGGTGAACCTGGTGTGCCTTCATAATAGCACTTTTAAAGAAAGTGAAAACTTTTAAAAATAATTTTAATCAGCAGGATAGGGCAGTGTTAGTTACTTCAGAAACTAACTGCTGTTCTAGAAGACATTTCTAAAGAGTTATAACAGAATCATTTCTGTATGTAATATGGAGCTGTTTCAATAATGCAGAAAATGGGAGGTGGGTTTTGATTTTTAAAGGAAAAGAGTTGGATGGTTAAAGAGTAGAACTTGTGCTTTCCTGCAGCTTTTTTTGCTAGAGTGCTTTGAAAACATTGAAATACCTTGGATAATTATAAAAAGATTTGGAAAAAGGGCCAGATAACTAGTGGGCATAAGAATGTTTTGGCATCGCATCTTTTATCACTTTTTTCTTTGAAAATCAAATGCCAACCTTTTTGGGTAGACAGGGCAGTTTCTTCACTGAACAAGTGATGCCATTATTTATATCTTACCTTTCATTAGCTAGGTACATAAAAGCAAATGATTTCTTTATTTACACTTATGGAGCTATTTATATAAACCAGGGTTGGGAATCCTGCAGCCCTCCAGAAGTTGTTGGACTGCAATGCCTGGTATTCCTGACCATTGATACTTGCTATCCAGTATTTGGAGGGCTGCATGGTTCCCATCTCTGGTTTCATCTCATGGAACCCCTGCTCTGATATCTGATTTGGCCACAATAATTTTTTTTGCATTTTTTTCCAGGACCTCAGATGCAGAGGAACACATTCTTCAGCCCTGGATTGTGGTTAATCTTGTGATAGCTCTTCTTGTTGGATTTTCCTGGCTCTTCATGTCCTACCGGCCCCAGCTAGATCACAGTGAAGGTATAGAACAGTCGGTCTGAGTTGGGATTCATAAGCTAGACATGTACAGTTGGCCCTCCCCATTTGCGGATGCCGTGTTTGTGGGTTTGATTAATACATTCTAAGAATCTAGGTCTTCCAGCACAATTCTATGATCAACTTCCAGCAGAAGTTAACTATAGTCACGTTGGAAGACCTAGAGAGAACACATTTTAGGCATGTATAGGTCCTCCAGAATTTGTGTTGGAAGTTGACCATAGAATCACACTGGAGGACATAGGGATTCCTAGTCTTTCTCCCAAGATTTTTAAAAAATTCACATTTTTTCACTTTTATGGGGGCCCTGTGCCCCTAACATCAGCAAATGTAGGGAGATAACTATATTTCCATTAGAGAGTTCATTACTAAATCTATTTTCTTTCCCAGATATATCAAAGGCATTGCAAAGGGAAGGCAGGGACAAGGTTGTGTTGACAGTGATTATAGCAGTGTTAAAGTTTAAACATGAACTGTAGTGTTGGAGGAAAATTCTGAGAATGCCTTGAACCGCAGGAAGATTAAACTAGTCCATCCTCCAGGAAAGAAAACTCATTGCTCACTGGTTGGAAAGACAGTAGAGGCAAAGATGAAGTACTTTGGCCACATAATGAGAAGACAGGAAAGTTTGGAGAAGATAAAGATTCCAGGGTAAATGGAAGGAAAAAGGAAGAGGGGCCCACCAAAGGCAAGGATAGTGTCCTTGAAGTGACTGGCTTCATCTTGAAGGAGCTGGGGGTGGCCACGGCTCTAGCGTGGGCTGGTCCATGGGGTCAGAAGAGTTGGAAGCGTCTGAACAAATAAACAACAACAAAGTTAAAAGTCATAGTGGTTGGACAGAAACTAGGAATAAATGAATAAATATCCTGGTTTTGGTCAAAATTTAGATTGTGTATTACATTTTTCTGTGTTTTATGTTTTGAGATTGCTTTCAACTATTTTTTTAATGAAAGTCACAGAGTGGTTTTGGCTAACACAGGAGTGAAAAAAGGTAATAGTTGGTGAACTTAAGATTTCTGTTTTGAGGATTTATTTTATATCATATTCTCAGATTTATTCCATCATTGAGAATCCTAGCTGTAACATATTTAGATTAATGTACTAAGAAATTAGTATTATTCACGAATACTGTATTCTAATGTCTCACACTGCTTTTTTTATTTTCTTGCAGAGCTGATGTTTAATTCTGAAGTGGAAGAATTTCCCCCGCCAGAAAGAGAAACCAAAGTATCTTCATAGTATAGAGCAGTTCCTCAAATATGATATAGTCATGTTGCCTTAGAATTACCTATTTTATCTGTACTTAATCCTTTTGTATTTAAATATATTTTTCATTTGTTTAAATTATTTGTATATTGTATTAGCTATATTTTTAAAATGCCTACAGTTAAGGTCATGCGGAGTAAAACATTATTTTTTAAGAATCAGAAATTACTTCCTAAATGTCTAGTTCAAATGTAATGCCTATTGTATTTTGGGGGGGGGGGGGGAATCAAACAAATGGAACAGGAAATTCAGAAGAAAATGAGAGCATCTGTATTTTATATTTGTTATTGTTCTGGGTACATATTTGTCTTCAAAATATCAGAGGAATTTTAGTGCCAATTTGTTCTTAATTATATCAGGTCTTAAAATACCATTTTAAACCATCATCACAGGAACTTAAAGAGCTTTTATTGAAGTATTTATAAATATTTCTATATATTGGTGCATTTTAGGCATTGCTTACTAATGGTACTGCTATCTATAACGCCATACGTTTCATGTTTTATATAACTTGATTTTTAAACTTACTTGAACAAAAATATGCTTCTGTTTCATCCCTTACCTTTGAAATAATACTGATTTCAGCAAGATGTTCAACTGTTTGATATGGTTTCATGTGCTAGCTAAAGTTCATATTTGTCAATTAGAAGTTTACCCTGTGAGGCAGTGTACTGACACAAAATACTTCTTAAAGACTAAAGGCTGATTGTATCTGACATTACAAAAGTAGTTGAAAACTTTGTAAAACTAAAAACAGAAATTTGTAAGCCTCTTTTATAATGCCATTTAAATTGTCAATAATTTGATAGTCACATTGATTGGAAAAGTGTTATTATAATGCTACCTCTATTCAACTGTGTAATTAAAATTTTATTTTTCTTACCTTATTAATCAAAATACAATAATTATGCTACTATGAGAATGCAAGGATTTTTTTAGGTTTTTAAAAGTTATGTATCTTCATAAATTTGTGCTGCACTCCCCTACTAATGAGTGTATTAACTAAAAATACTTCAACAGAATTCTTTTTTTTAATTCTGAGAATCTGCTGCAAGATTCCTAACAGGTGAAATCATACAAGCAAAAGGAAGAGGCAGGGTGCGGTATGTGGACTCCCAGGGCCACTCATGTTTTTATGTGTTTTAAAGTTGCTTTTGATTTGCCATAGGATTTTCTTTGCAAATAAGAGCGACAATTACATTTGCACATCTTTGCAACTTGATGGAATATGTACTCATACATTTTTAAAAGGACATGGCTTCCATATCCACTTGTCAATATTAAGCAATGGTACATTCGATAAGTAAGAGATGTTTCATTACATGTGAGATATGGAACACCTCATTTAAGATGTATAGGTTCACTATACAGGCAGCCCGAGATACAAACATCCGATTTACAAACGACCCCTAGTAAAGAACTGGGGCGAGACAACAGGAAGTGAGAGAAAGCTATCTCTTGGAAGCAAAATTCACTCCTAAAAGATTTGTCATGGGGAAAATATTAATAATACTTTATTTATATTCCGCCCTTCTCCCTATAGGGACTCAGAGTGGATTGCATTGTAAACAGATACTGGCAAACATTCAATTACTTGTTGTGATACAAAGAGACACACAAAGAAACAAAGGCAAAGGCTTCTCCTTTAATTTCTGGCTTTGGAGGCGGTACTCATCTCTGGCTCTGGAAGAAGTGCTGTTCTCCATTTCCAAGCTGAGGGGCCTGCGTTATGACTGCTTGGAGCATCTTATGCCTTTCCTGCCAAAGCAGTACCTATATATCTATTCACATTTGCATCTTTTCGAACTGCTAGGTTGGCAGGAAACTTCTAGGTTGGCAGAAAAGGGGTAGTTAAAAACTAGACAAATTATACTGTGCTGGAATAAATCTATGCATTTATTTAAGCTGTGGCTTCTTTTTGGATTCTTTGTTTGTTTTACGGAAGCAAGTGTAACCATGAACACTAACATATTTGAGTGATATACAGGCAATCCCCAAGTTACAAACATCCGACTTACAAATGACTCCTACTTAAGAACAGGGGTGAGAGAATCTACCCCTCGGAAAGGAATTTCACTCCTGAGTTTTCATGCGGAAAAAGTCTCTTCACTGAAAGTTTATCACCAATCCTTGTTTCTACAACAAGCTACATTTTTCAAAATCCAATTATCACCGGGACAGAAAGAGAGGTGAAATCTGCTGAAGAGGGGCACAGACAGCAAAGGCAGGGGTGTTAACCCTTCCCTATAGTAGCCAAAGCTTATATACAGTTTAAACTCTACTTAAGAGGGTCCCAACTTAAGAATGTTTTGAATTAAGAGCTAGCACCAGAGGGAACGCTAGTACCAAGCTATAGGACTTCAAGGGAGCAGCCTCCATGCCTCGTGCTCTTGTTTGCTTTGGGAAGTTGTGGTCTGCTTTGCTCTTGTCCACTTGGAGAAACTTTGGGTTAGTTGATTTTGTGTGTGTGTGTTTTTATTACTGGTATGTTTGGCTTCATGAAGGGAAGGAGGGAGGCTGAAATGAGGACAGGATGAAGAAGAAAATGATGCTTCTGCATCTTCTCTTTGTGCTTTGTGCTTCCCTGCCACAACTTTGTACTTCTACTATTTTAAAGTTGATGTTTCTTTTTTTATTGTTCAATGTGAATGTGCATTACTATATAATTTATTATTTATAGTTTTTTTTTTTACTTAAAAACACACAACAAAAATGGGGAGGGTTCTGGGAGTCAGAATGGATTAATAGCATTTTAATGGGGAAATTGAAGCGATTTAAGAGCTCAGCCATGGACCGAATTAAGCTCTTAACTCAAGGTATCAATACGTATATATGTGTTTATGTGTGTGTGTATGCCTGTACGTATAGATACATACACATATATATTAATATGCCTGTACATGTGTGCGTGTGTGTGTGTGTGTACTAGCCGTCCCCTGCCACGCGTTGCTGTGGCCCAGTCTGGTGATCTGGAAAATAAAGTAATTAGAAAGTGTTGGTTTCTAATATATGTAATTTCTTTATGGTTGTGGGTAAACAATATTTCTTGCTGTTTCTTTGTCAGTATTGATGTGGAGATTGTCTGGAACATGCAACATATAATTGTCCTTCTTTAGGGGTCCCTTTCAAATCTATGATACTATATCTCAGTGTGTGAGAATCATATATATTTAATCTATATCTATGGCTTGATGGGTCTTTGTCAGGAGGGCTTTGGTTATGTTTTCTTGCCCTGGTGAAGGGAGTTGGACTGGATGGCCTTAAGTATGGGGGTTCTGTGTGGGAAGTTTGCCCCAGTTCTGTCGTTGGTGTGGTTCAGCATGCTCTCTGATTGTAGGTGAACTATAGATCCCAGTAACTACAACTCCCAAATGTCAAGGTCTAGTTCCTTCAAACTCCATCTGTGTTCATATTTGGGCATATGCAGAGGCGGCAATGGTAAGCAAACAGTATTTTGGCACCCCCCCCCCCCAACCAATCACTGATATATATTTTCTGTTCGTCGTGGGAGTTCTGTGTGCCATATTTGGTTCAATTCCATCATTGGTGGAGTTCAGAATGCTCTTTGATTGTAGGTGAACTATACACCCCAGTAACTACAACTCGCATATCTCAAGGTCTATTTTGCCTCAAGAGCGCCCCTGGGCAAAATCAACTATACTGCAAATGCTTACTTTGCATAATGGGTTGAGCTGCCCCTGGGCATATGGAATATTCAAACACTCAATGCTGGATCTGGACTAAACTTGGCACGAATACTCAATATGCCCAAATGTGAACACTGGTGGAGTCTGGGGAAAATAGATCTTGATATTTTGTAATTGCTGGGATTTATAGCTCACCTACAATCAAAGAGCATTCTGAACTCCACCAATGACAGAATTGGGCCAAACTTCCCACACAGAACCCTCATGACCAACAGAAAATACTGTGTTTTCTGGTGGTCTTTAGTGACCCCTCTGATACTAATAATATTACTAATTACTAATAATATTACAGTATAATTGATATAGTGCAATATAGCAATATTTAAAACTGATCTTGTACTATGTTAATAATATATTGTATCCTACCTGCGGGACCGCATTTCCATCTACGAACCCACACGCTCACTCCGATCATCTGGAGAGGCCCTGCTCGTGATCCCGCCTGCGTTGCAAGCACGTTTGGTGGGGACTCGAGACAGGGCCTTTTCCGTGGTGACCCCCCGACTTTGGAACACCCTCCCCAAAGACCTTAAAGACTCGGCTGTTCCGATGTGCCTTCCCAGACTAGGAAATCCCTATCACCAAGTCCTTAAGCACTTTACTAGAATTAAGATTGCTGTACACCGCACACTGCACTTGCCCTATTTATTATTTATTTACCTTACTTATATACCGCTGTTCTCAGCCCGAAGGCGACTCACAGCGGTTCACAACAAATACGAACAGCAAAAATTCAGTGCTACAGTATAGAAACAGTTAACAACCTAACACATTACACAATTAATAAACAGTTACTACAATACCTATTCACTGTCGTCTCGTCATCAAAAACATGTTCCAGATTCGTCATCCATTGTTCCATTCCAGTGTTCATTAACCAATCATTGCAATAATTATTCGAACGCCTGCTCAAACAGCCAGGTCTTCACTTTTTGCGGAATACCATTAGAGATGGTGCTAGTCTAATGTCCGTAGGAAGGGCGTTCCACAGCCGAGGAGCCACCACCGAGAAGGCCCTATCTCTCGTCCCCGCCAGCCGAGCTTGAGAAGCAGGCGGGATCGAGAGCAGGGTCTCCCCGGAAGATCTCAAAGTCCTGGTGGGTTCATAGGCAGATGCCTTGTATAATGCCTTGTTTACCACCTGTTCACACCAGCACTTTTAATCCTGTACCCATTACTTTGGCCCGGCCCAATTTTATTATGAATTTGTTATTCTTTATTGCCTGTTGTTTCTATTGCTGAATTGTTTTAATTTGCTTTGGTTCTGTATTGTTATATTGTGTGTTGAGGCCTTGGCCTTGTAAGCCGCATCGTGTCCTTTGGGAGATGCTAGCGGGGTACAAATAAAGTTAATAAAATAATAATAATAATAATAATAATAATAATATATACCTTGTAAGTCGCTCTGAGTCCCCTTTGGGGTGAGAAGGGCGGCATATAAATGTCGCAAATAAATATATAAATAAATACTCCCTCATGACCCCTCCAGGGGTCCCGACCCCCAGGTTGAGAACCACTGCTCTAGAACATGGCCATATAGCCCGAAAAAACCTACAACCACCCAGTGATTCCGGCCATGAAAGCCTTCGACAAGACATAGAAGCTATCTTGTTCGTAACCCGGGGGCTGCCTGTGCCACGGAAAGGGCTGCCAGGAGCACAGCAGCCTCTGGAAGGCCAAGGGTGGCGACCCCTTTGTGGTCCCAATTGTGACGCCGGGGGCGGCAGGGCGGCCTTGGGCGGGAGGAGGGGCCCAGGCAAGACCCCTGGGGTGGTGGGCGCGCGGGGAGCGGGGCGAGGCCTCGGCGCAGGCAGGCAGGCAGGCAGAGGGTGCCGGCCTCCCTCCCTTCCGCAGCGGCCATGGGGGGCCCCTCCAAGCGCAGGGAGTCCCTCGTCCCGCCCCGCTTCGAGGCCTCGTCGCGGAGAGGCACGCTCGACAAGGGGCCGGCGCCGGCGCCTGGGCCCTCGGCCTCGTCGGGCTACTACCAGTGGGCGCGCAACGAGCCCGACCCGGACGAGGAGGCCGAGCCGGACCTCGCGGGCTTCTCGGTGGCCACGGCCGTGAACCTCGGGGCCTGCCCCAGCGGCATCGACCTCGCCGCCACCACGCCCGCCGAGCGCCTCCGCGGGGACAAGGCCCGCTCCCTCCTCCGGGTAGGGCGGAGGGAAACTCGGAAAGACCTTGCTCGCTGTAGAACTCGACGCGCTGAGCTCCCCTCAGAGCCCTCGGACTTCATTTCCCAGAATCCCTCCCTGTTCGCCCTGCCCGCCGGGGCTTCTGGGAAGTGAAGTCCACCACTCCTGAAGGACCCTCCTTTCAAGGGTGTCCCAAAAGGTGCCTGTAGAGGGAGAGTGGGAAATTGCGGCTAAAGTTACAAACACCCGACTTATAAATGACTGAGAGGAGATATGATAGCCATGTATAAATATGTGAGAGGAAGCCACAGGGAGGAGGAGGGCCCTTCCACACAACCCTATATCCCAGAATATCAAGGCAGGAGACTTCCCTGGAGACTGGGGTGCAATGGAACAATGGCTTCAAACTACAAGAGAGGAGATTCCATCTGAACATGAGGAAGAACTTCCTGACTGTGAGAGCTGTTCAGCAGTGGAACTCTCTGCCCCGGAGTGTAGTGGAGGCACCTTCTTTGGAAGCTTTTAAACAGAGGCTGGATGGCCATCTGTCGGGGGTGCTTTGAATGCAATTTCCTGCTTCTTGGCAGAGGGTTGGACTAGATGGCCCATGAGGTCTCTTCCAACTCTTTGATTCTATGACTCTGAGTTAAGAACAGGGCTGCGACAACTTCACACTCCAGGCCCTTCCAGACAGACCTATATCCCAAGACCATGATGGTGAACCTATGACACGCGTGTCAGCATTGACACGCATGGCTATTTTTGATGACACGCAGACACATGTGGCCACATACAGAGAAATACACCTTATAAGAGCCAATCTAATTCCATCCTTAAATTTGTAAAAGGCTCTACAAATTTAACATCTGCACGTTTGAGCATTGTTCACTCCATAACTCAGCATGGATTATACATTTTTCTTATTTAAACTATAAATATTGCAAAATTATGGTTTTTTTCTCGAAGTGACACTCTACCCTAGTTATGCTCAGGTTTTTGGCAAATTTTTACACACCAAGCTCAAAAGGTTGCCCATCACTGTCCCAAGATATCAAGGCAGAAAATCCCACAATCTCTGCTTTGAACTGGGTTATCAGAGTGAGTCCACATTCAGGTAATGTGGGATTGTCTGCCTTGATATTCTGAGATGCAGGACTGTGTGGAAGGGCCCTTACAAACAAGTAATAGTTGCAAACAGGGATGAGGGCCCTTCCACACAGCCCTCTATCCCAGAATATCAAGGCAGACAATCCCACGTTATCCCACATTATCTGAGTGTGGACTCAGATAACTCAGTTCAAAGCAAATATTGTGGGATTTTCTGCCTTGATATTCTGGGATATTGGGCTGGGTGGAAGGGCCCTGAGACAATTATTTGTTTATTTATTATTTCAGATATTTGTACCCCGCTCTACCCCCGAAGGGGGACTCAGGGCGGCTTACAGCCGGCAACAGTTTGATGCCCCACATATACAGCAGATAAAACAACAGTTACATAATAAGCAAAACATTAAAATTTGATTAAAAACCATTTAAATAGTGCAAATAGTCCGAGTTCTACAATCAACAACTTAATCCAAAGCCTGTCCATAGTCCATTTTCCATAGCATTGTTGTCATTTTATTGTCAGCCTGCTATCTGAATGCCTGGTCCCATAGCCACATCTTCAACTTTTTCCTGAAGGAAAGGAGGGAAGCTGTTGACCTAATTTATCTGGGGAGCAAGTTCCACAGGCAGGGTTCACCACCGAGAAGGCCCTGTCCCTCATCCCCACCAAGCACATTTGTGACAAAGGTGGGATCACGAGCAGGGCCTCCCCGGAAAATCGTAAGTTTTGATGTGGGACGTAGGGGGAGATACGTTCGGACAAGTAAGCTGGGCCAGAACCGTATAGGGCTTTATAGGTCACAACCAGCACTTTGAATTGTGCTCGGAACTGGACAGGCAGCCAGTGGAGCTGACATAATGGGGGAGTTGTGTGCTCCCTGTATGTCGCTCCAGTAAGTAGTCTGGCTGCCGCCCGTTTGACTAGCTGAGATAAAACTACCCCTCGAAAGAGAGATTCACCCCTGAAAGAGTTACCATGGGGAAAAGGTGTCTCCTCCACTGAAGCTTTCACACCAATCCTTTCCACCACAAGCCATTGTTTTTCAAAACCTAATTATCACAGGGATGGGGAGTGAGGTGAAATATTCTGAACAGCAAAACAAATACCACAGGGGTGTTCACCCTTCCCTATATGTATATGTTCATGCTTTTGGTCATGATATACATATAGGGAAAAGACAACTGATGGACGTGTCAACTAACGAACTGGATACCAAGAGACCATAAGCGGCCCTTGGGCAGTCCTTGTACTCAATGGGACGAACCCATGGTTAAGCTATTCAGCCAAAGATGGAAAAGAAAAGAACAGGATCATATATTTTAGCAACTGGTAGAGCTGCGAGAAGCCCAAAGGTGTAGACTGACTAAAATCGAATAGGATAGGAAATGGCTGGAGTTACAAATTAAGAAATATACCAGTTCTGACTTACATACAAATTCAACTTAAGAACAAACCCTACTAAACCTCTCTTGTTCATACCCCCAGGAACTGCCTCTATTCATTATACACTTTCTTTTGGCAGTGACTTTTTTAGGACAGAGCTTTCCAAACATTTTGTGTTGGTGACATGTTTCTTTTTCAAAGAAATGCATCATTTTGTGACATTGTAATTTAGCTTTACTAGCAAACCAGAGGTTCTCTAAGCCAACTTCTTATAATTAAAGCTGCTTTTAGGATGACGACTTAAATGGGCGATTTGTTTTAATTTTTTTATATTGTTTTTATTATAACATGTATATTTATGCTTTTTCTTGTTGTGGGCACCATGCTATGCCGGTTGTTAGCTGCCCTGAGTTCCTCTGCAGAGGTTGAGATAGGACGGGATATAAATGCCCTAAATAATAAATAAATATAAATTAATAAATAAATAAATGTGCCATTCTAGTTAGGCCCAGCCTTGCTGTCAGAAGGCAGCAGAGAGCAGGGTTTTTTTTTTTTTGGGGGGGGGGATGAATCTCCTCCTCTTCAGGCTATTTGAATCTGCTGGAGCAGTGGTTCTCAACCTTTGGACCTCCAGGTGTTTTGGACTTCAGCTCCCATAGTCCCTAAAAGCTGGTAAGCTGGGAGTTGAAGTCCAAAACACCTGGAGACCCAAAGGTTGGGACCACTGTGCTGGAGGATGGAGTTGTGGTCTCTTTCCCTCCACAGTTCCTAGGAAGGTATAAAAGGGACTTCTACGTGAATGCAACATCCATGTAGGCTCTGTATATCCAACTAGGAGGAAAGTTTCCCAGTAAGAAGGGCGACCCTTTATGTCCACGTGTATGCATATATCACTTCATGCTTGTGAGTGAGCCTGACGGGTATGATCCTACCTCTGGTCTCCTTGCATGCATTCATTACCTTTGAGAAGGAGGTTGAGGCTCAGGTTGATCAGAAGCAGAATCCACACTGCCAATGTTCCATTGCGTCCAAGGCTTGGCTTCCTCTAAACTAGAATGTTGGCTTCTATTATGAGGTAACGCTCATTCCCCAGTTGTCAGAGCTAAATAGTGTGCCTTGACTTATATGGATATTCAGTTAAATTGCCTATACTTTTAAATTAAACTATTTGTACTTTTAACTATACTATGTACCCCAATTCTAAGAGCAAGATTACAAATACCCCCCTGCTTCAGTTTTTTTATGTAGTCAGAAAAAACCTACTGAATCTACTTTCTTCATCTTGGGCCACGTTCGAACCAATTTTCAGCTTCTCTACTGGTACGAGAATCGGTTATTAATATGGAGGATACATTTCCCCTTTCCCAATTTTTTAATCCTCACATAAATATGAAAGTAGATTTTAAGTATAGTCTAAGTATAGAGTATTTACTTGTTAGTGATTTCACATGCATCGTAAGAGAAAAAGTACTGTACTTCCTTTTGTCTATCTTAAATCAGTTGATTTAATCTTTGGCCCAATCTACACTGCCAGGAAAATGCAGTTTAACTGCATTACATTGCAGTGTGCATGGGACCTTCATTGGATGGTTGGTGAGTAGCATCATGAGACAGGGAGAAAAACCTCTTTCCACTTTTCCCATACCATGCATATTGCTTTCCACCTAAATGATGTTTGCTCTTACTTGCATTAAAAAACAAAAATAAAATATTCCAAGGTCTATTTTTTACTCATAAAGGAGTTGTTTCAGCCCTCTCAATTCTATATTGGCACAAAATGCAATATCTCATTTGTCCTTCCTTGCTGAGGCAGATTTCTGAGCCAAACTGGTCAATTCAGTAAAACAGTCATTGTAGTTCTTTAAAATGTTGGCTCTGTTGTTTTTTCCTTAGTAGGTTAAGCTATATTGGGTTGCAGAATGTATAACCAACTCCAAAATTTAATTTCTCACTTTGTATAGATGTTGTTGAGAACTCAGAAGACCTCTGAGGATGCAGTATCTTTCCTGTCCTCTGGCATTCAGAATTTAGTTCCTTGTGGTGATGTGGTAGGTAGATTAAATGTGTTCTTAATACTGATTTTTCATGTCAGGTGTTTACTTTTTAAACTAGTATGGGCCTACAAATAAAATTCTGAAAAATAAGAATGAGGGGTGTGATTACAACCTGGTTGAAAGACCTGTATAAGTAGATTGGTTGCTCTATATAAGTTGATTGATTCAGGGCCAGTCCCTTCACCATGACCGAGTCAAAAGACAGAAGGCTGCATGCTGTATGCAGTACCCAAATGAGTGAGAATATTTTGCTTCTCGTAAATGTATTTCTGTTAGATACGGAAATGTATGTAAATGCCAATCTGATGTCTGCAGTTTCATCAACGCATGAAATATGTGTTATCTTGCCTTAATATAAGATGATCTTCCTTGCCAATATTATGTGCTAGAAATGCCATGTGCCATATATTAGAGATGTATACCTTATGTTGTTTATTCCTTCAGTTGTTTCTGACTCTTCGTGACCACATCGATCAGAGATCCCTGTCAGCCATGGCCACCCCCAGCTTCTTCTAGATCAAGCGAGTAACTTCAAGGATGCAATCCATCCATATTGTCCTTGGTCATCCCCTCTTCCTTTTTCCCTTCCATTTTCCCCAGCATCCTTGTCTTCTCTAAGCTTTCCTGTCTTCTCATTATGTGGCCAAAGTACTTCATCTTGGCCTCTACTATCCTTCCCTCCAATGAGCAGTTGGGCTTTTTTTCCTGAAGTATGGACTGGTTGGATCTTCTCGCGGTCCAAGGCACTCTCAGAATTTTCCTCCAGCACCACAGTTCAAAAGTGTCTATCTTCCTTCGCTCAGCCTTCATTATGGTCCAGCTCTCACATCCATGGCTTACTATGGGGAATATCACTGCTTTAACTATGCGGATCTTTGTTGCCAGCGTGATATCTCTAGTCTTAACTATTTGTTTGAAAATGGTCATTGCTCTCCTCCGAATAAGTAAACGTCTTCTGATTTCCTGGCTGCAGTCTGTGTCTGCAGTAATCTTCATGCCTGGAAATACAAAGTCTGTCACTGCCTCCAGATTTTCTCCCTCTATTTGCCTGTTGTCAATCAGTCTGGTTGCCATAATCTTGGGGTTTTTTTTATGTTTCACTGCAACCCAGTTTTTGCACTTTCTTCTTTCACCTTGATTAGAAGGCTCCTCAGCTCCTCGTTGCTTTCAGCCATCAAAGTGGTATCATCTGCATATCTAAAGTTGTTAATGATTCTTTCTGCTATTTTAACTCCAGCCTTGGATTCATCAAGCCCCGCACATCGCATGATGTGTTCTGCATACAAGTTGAATAGGTTGTGTGAGAGTATACAACCCTTCCATACGCCTTTCCCAATCTTGAACCAGTCTGTTGTTCCGTGGTCTGTTCTTACTGTTGCTATTTGTCCTTATACAGATTCCTCAGGAGACAAACAAGGTGACTTGGTATCCTCATATCACCAAGAACTTGCCACAGTTCAGTGGTACTCAATCCCAACCAGTTTACCAGCTGTTAGGATTTCTGGGAGTTGAAGGCCAAAACATCTGGGGACCCACAGTTTGAGAACCACTGCCACAATTTATTATGATCCACACTGTCAAAGACTTTAGAATAGTCAATAAAACAGAAATAAATGTTTTTCTGAAACTCCCTGCCTTCCTCCTTTATCCTTATTTTGGAGGGGATTGAATACAAAATTCCAAGACTTTGCCTTATTAACTTCCAAGCTTGTACATGAGCACTAATGTTTTGTTTGGTTTTTTTTAAAGTAAGCCTTGCCTTTGACTATAATGTGATTTTATAAAAGTCCTAATTTGACACTTTATCTTCTAATAGGTTGGCTTGTTGGCAGTTATTGTGAAGCAGTGCAAAGATTTCACTCCCAAGTGTATCCTTTTCTTCTGGTTATTTATAAATACAAAACTGTACGTTCTCAGAGTGCAGCCATATAGTGACAGAGCTAGAACAAGGTTTCTATGTGCTTGTGTATAGTAAAATACTAATTTCCAAAACACTGTCACCACAATTGCACATGCAAATTTCCCTCATTGGGCAACAGCAAGTTTTGGAAGAGGAACCCCAGTTTGGGAGAATGATACAATATAAATGAAATATTGCTCCCAGTGCTATCTCTCCTGCCTGATCCCCCTCTTGCAGCTGCTCTTAACGCTTTATAAAGTGTTAAGAGTACTTCCCTATAACCCTACATTTGTTGTGCATGTTGTTTTACATCTGGGGTGGGCAAGTAACAGTCCTCTTTGGTTGGAGTTTTCAGTAGTTCTAACCAACATGGCCAATGGTTAGTCAATTGTTGTCTAACAACAATTTGCAAGCCACTAACCACTCACCCACTCATTGATGCTTGTCCCTTTTACTTGAATCCCATTGTGAAAGTACCTTGCCCTGGCCAGGTTTGCTCAAAAGAACCCTGATGTATTTCTTACTTAGGTGTTCGATACTGCACACTTCAACTTAGTTTGAAAGCCAAAGATCCTCATATAAGAACATACTCTTAAAGAGGCCCCTGGTGGTGCTACGGGTTAAACCGCTGAACTGCTGAACTTGCTGACTGAAAGGTTGGTGGTTCAAATCTAGGGAGCAGGGTGAGGTCCCACTGTTAGGCCCAGCTTCTACCAACCCAGCAGTTTGAAAACATGCAAATGTGAGTAGATCAATAGGTACTGCTTCTGTGGGAAGGTAACGGTGCTCCAAGCAGTCATGCTGGCCACATAACCTTGGCAGTGTCTATAGCCCTTGGAGGTGTCTAAGGATCCTTGAGTTAGAAATGGAACACCACCACCCCACAGTCAGACACAACTAGACTCAGTGTCAAGTGGAAACCTTTACCTTACACTTAAAGAGTGCATTTTGAAATCCTAACACATTGACTCTCCAGCTATGTTACATGGAGGGAAAGTGGAACAGTCATAAGGCAAAGCACACCAAAATAAACTACATGTAATTTCTAAAGGGTTATCATGTACAAAAAAATGTGGACCAGGAATGCTGTGAAAGGACATGATAATCACTCCAGCCTCTACCTAATCCTCGTCAAACCTGATGGCAGGTATTGCTTCCTACCTCACATATGAGAGCTTGGGGGGACAATTTAGGTGAGAGAAATCATACAGGAAAAAAAACAATGATCCCACTCCAACATAAAAAAAATATTTTTATGTAGACACATTTATTTTACAGAAAAGAAATTGAAAATATTGGGAAGCTGGTTTCAGAATAGAATAGAATAACTTTATTGTCATTGTACATTGTACAATTAAGATATTTTTTTATCTTGTCATTTTTTGTTCTTGTTGCAGCGTTTTGTATATATAGAATGCTAAGTAGACTTTATCAGTTCTTCGTAATATGTTATTCCATGTTTGTTTTGCTGTCTGTTCCCAGAAAGGTTCATGCTTCCTTAACAGAAGGCGCCATGTTAAAAAAGTCAGTGTTAAACGTGACATCTATTTATTGGTCCGTATTAGTATTGATAAAATCATGAAGTGCACAAACCCTCAAATTTACAAAGCAAGTTTGAGGAGCAGCAAAAAGCCTGAAATCGTTAATTTTGGAGATGTGAGGTATTTTTCAGTAAAGGTGTGTTTCTTCCATTCATGAATACTCTTAAAATAAACAAATAACCTGCCTGTTGATTATTATATATCTAAATATGGACAGTGTCCTTGTTCACACATGTATGCAAAGATGCGTGTGTAGACATATACCACTGAAACACAAATGTTGGATTTTTCTATAGAAGACTTATCCTCCGATGAAAGACTATGGGACGTGTGAAACTAAAGTAAAAATTTTACTTGCCAAAATAAGAGTCAAGAATATACTGTATACATGTACAGGGTGCAGCAGCATAACTTCCTTTTTAAAAATGTGCACCATTCAGTCGGTTGAAGACGTAGCGGAACGCTAGTGGTCTCATTCGAGAGGCGGGAATATAAAGTTTTGTCCTGACACAGTTCAGTCGCCATCATGCGTTGGAACAGTGGGGAGCGTGCTTTTGCCGTTGAGGCCTACTTTTCGAGCGGATTTGGAGTGTCCAGCCTGCTCTCCACATTTGGCCCCTTATGATTTTTTTCTATGGGTTTTTTTTTTAAAGAAATTGCCAACATAACGCTTGCTATGCTGGCAAGAGTCATGACAAACGCCAGAAATCGGTATGGAGAATGGGGGACATCACCTACATAATTTGATCTTCAAAACTACATAAAACAAAACTTTAGGTATGCGCCTACATTATAAAAAAAAAATCTGATTCATACAATGGGTTTTATTAAGTTTTGAAAAAAAGGAAGTTATGCTGCTGCACTCTGTATGTATTTATGTATACATTTAGAAATGTTAGTCCAAAATTAACCAAAAAGACAGGATTTTGCTTTCCAAGGGTCAATGTACATTCTGTACCTTAACAGTTATCAAAAAAAGGAACCATTCCATGGCAAAAGGCAAGAGCTTTGTCCATTCCAGGAAAATTAAATGAAGCACCAACCCTTTCTGCTCTCCTTTGCTGGGAAATGTCGAAGAGACGCCAACACTACTGCCATTTCTCTGACCAGGCATTCCAAAAGGCCAGAAATGGCACTATGACAGAGAGAGTTAGAGGGGTTGGTGCTTCTTTTTGGTTCTCCTGGGACAGGGTAAGTTCTCACCTTTTGCTACTTCACTCAGAGAAGGTGGCAGTGCCTATATTTATTAAAAAAAGAAACAATTACCATTGAGGTCACCCATCTGGGCAATAGTGGGGGATGGGCAATTTTGCCTGTCTGATGAGGTCCATAGTAGAGTGGCAAAAAGACTTTTTTGCATGCCTAGGTGAGGAAATGGTGGACAACTGGTTCTGAGATGGCACTGACATTTCCCTCTCCCTGTGGAATGACCTTTGACTTATCGTGGGTTATACAAAAATCCACAATTTTAGCCCTCAACCCTAAGTCAATCATAAGGTTGACTTATACAAGGGTATACATTGTAAACCTCAGGTTATCAGCAATTTTGTGAATTCTAGCTCTTTCTGGTAGTTATCAGAGATCCCTATATGAGGAGGAGGTGGAGAAAAAACTTTGGGGACTTTGTCGGATTTGAGCCACACTTGCTAAGTACCATGACAGAGCAGGCAAAGGCTCCTTCTGCACTGCCATATAATCCAGAGAATCAAGCAGATAATCCATATTACCCGCTTTGAATGAGATTATATTAGTCTACACTGCCATATAATCCAGTTCAAAGCAGAAAATCTGGACTGTATATGGCAAAGACATATAGAAGGGGCCGAAGACATAGGTCATGATGTCCTGGTAAGAAGATGGTGCTGTGAAAATCAGGTTGTGGCTTTTAAAAGGCCTACAAGCACGAATCTAACTTTATGTTTTAGTAACTACACGATAAGCAGAATGGAGAGATCTATAACTTAGTGCAGAGAAAAATTGGGGAAATTCATGTATTTTCCTTTATCAGAGTAAGAACAGACACACACAAACAAGTTTTTCCCTCTGAAGTCTGTTGCAAATAGATAACATTACATTAATTTGCTCTTTCAGTAATAAGTGCATTTGAATTTTGAATTTCAGGTTCCAAAGCAAAAAAGTGATCCTAGAAATAGGATTTCGTTAGAGTTGGTGGGCTTTGAGGGACCAAAGGAATTTCCAAGGCTGTTTGGGAGTGTGACCATGCACCTCTATGATATTATTCAAGTGAGTGTAGAGAAAAGAGGTCTTCTTACTTGTAAGTACAGGTTGAGTCTCCCTTATCTAAAATACTCGGGACCAGATGTTTTTCAAATTTCAGAATTTTTCAGCTTTCAGAATAGCTGTATTTGCATCTGCATAGGGAAGGAGTCAAGGGGAAAGTGAGCTAATCACATTCACAGGGGCCCTGATGGGAAAAAGAGGGGAAAAGTGGGAGGACTCCATTTACATAAAAGCCCCTGTAAAAACAGATGTCACAGCTTTCAGTTAACTTTTCACTCTTAGCAAAGCAGCAGGAAAGGGAGAGGAAATTCCTCCCACCTTACCCCATTCCCCTCCATGAGTCTTTTTCATTGCCCTTGCAGATGTTTTAAGGGTGCTGATCCCGCCACATGCTGCCATTACTCATGTGAAAGGCAAGCACAGAAGCATCTGGACCATCTGCATTTTATAGGAGCCTTGTGTAAATAAAGTCCTCCCTCCTTCCCTCTCTTCACTTGTCAGGTTTCATTGAGGAAAAACTCCTTGAGGAAAACCGCAAAGGAGGGTGAATGGATGGCAGCAAAAGCTTTTGTCTTTTTGACATATTTTGACTATTAGATTTCCTGATAAGGCAAATTCCACCTGTACTGTTTATTTGTAATTATTGTGATTATGAATTGCTCCTCAAATACATACATATGTGTTACTCAGCTTTATAAACATTATGTAGTAGGTTTTTTTTTACTTAACCATGGTACATAGATGTTTTTTATTATGTTGCCTTTAAGATTACATTTCCAATCAACCCTAGGCAGTAGTGAAGGATCATTGGCATTGAAATGCACAGATTCCCCCCTGATTTAAAGTCTTTATTATTGTATCCCCTTTACTATAGTTGCTTAATTTGAATACCCCTTCCCCAACATTAGATTCAAAGGTTTAGCTCAGTTAAATCCTTACTAACACATCAAAATGTAATTTTGGGTTTAGCTTCAGAAGTGCTGCACCTCTGAAGATAAACCCAAGATACTAAGGACAAATAATAGATGATGCCCACTGTGGGCTTCCTAAATAACATCAGGCTGGCTTGTGTTGGGAACAGAATGCTCTGCAGTGCATTTTTTGATCTGATTTTTTAATTCAGGCACGGATTGCATTCTCAAATTCCTCACAATTGGGCATATGCACCACATTCGTGGTGCATAGATTAATAATTTCAGGAACAATCAACCAAAACATTTCTGTCTCACCTGTTCCAAGTATCATTACATGTTAATTGGTCTAAATCCTAAAACCAACATTGAAAATTCTGCAGTCTTCATCCATCTCAATACTTTATGGAGACACTATTATCCTAATTTCATCAGCTCCCCCCCCCCCCTTTCCTCAATGTCCTTTTTGTAACATCTTGCCTGATGTAGATTCTTTGAGATTTTGGGAATYTTTTCATGCCCTTTTGGTTGGCCTAGTAGAGGTATAGACCTAATATACACCTTACAGTTGTAGTAATGSCCATAACAACTACGTTTTTCCTGTATAATGATTTGTTATGAGTGCAGATTTATAACACTTATGTAACATGATTTTTATTCTTGGGTTATAAATGTAAATCCATTTCCTAATTGTTTCTATCATAAAAACATGAGAAAAAAATATTTATTTGAAGGGTTCAAATTGGGAGGGTGTAGACTGTATTGCTGATCTTAAGGTGTCAGCATCTATACAGATATGACGGCGAAAATCGAAATGAGGAAAAAGAATAGGAATGCAGCATGAAAAAAGGTGGGGATAAAAGAGGAAGGAAAGCAACCTATCTCTGTTTAGGCCCTAAGCTGAAGGCAGTGACAAGAGGTACCCCTTCCCCCTCCCTGACCCAAATCAAAGAAAGAAAAGCAGTATTTCCCCACTTATTGGTCTTTTTTGTGGCCTGAGTGGCATTCATCAGCCATTTGTGCAAATGGAAGGATAATGAGGTGGGAGCATTTCTGTCTCTTATCATCACTTTCCCACTGGGTCCCTGTTCCAGCACGGACTCATGTATAAGTCAATCCAAGCTTCTGTAAAAAAAAAATTGACTTATACATGAGTATATACATTAGACCTGGCAATTGATTACAGTGTTAGGAATAGACAATGGAGAACCTCTCTAAACATTTCTGTTTTCCTCCATTCAGAAGCAGTCCTTCACTGAAATATGTGCTATGAGAATTCGAAATATGGTAAGGCCCCCTTTTCAATAAATAAATAAATAAATAAATAAATAAATAAATAATGTTACAGAACCACTGTAAACAGTCTGGCTTAATTACTATAACAAGTATAATCTGATCTGAAGCTTTACAGCTGAGATAAACATTTAATTGTTTGAGTTGTGGATGGGAGGCATGTTAACAATATGGAGACTGTCCATTTCTATTCCTGCATGCACCCAATGGATTCGTTCTCCTCTTTTAAGTTAATTAAATTGATTTATTTTCCTCGTGTCATTATATGTGGGCCTCCAGATGCTGTACTGCAACTTCTATGTTCCCCATCATTAGATATCATGACTAGAGCTGGCAGGAGTTGAATACCATTTGGGGACCCAAACTGGGTAAAAACTGAAGAGTACTATGTAAAAAATATATAGCTGGCTCTCTGTATCCACAGATTCTCCTTACATGGATTCCATTGCCTTTTGAAGGCAACAACATGGCAGATGTGGCCCTTGATGAAAATGAGTTAGACACCTCTAGTGGATATGCTCATCTAAACCTTTTCCTTTCATCCTTGTCCTTATGTCTTTTCTTTTTTATCAACTTTTTTTCCTCCTCTCTTACAAGGGACATCTGAATTGATGTCTTTATATGTACAGGTGTCTTATTTTATTGTATTTTATATTGTGTTCACGTTTATGTTTGTTTTTAGGCACTTGTGCCATCTTTAAGCCACGTCAAGTCCCTTCGGGGAGATGGTAATGGGATATAAGAATAAAAATATTATTGTAATCCAGACTTTGCTCTCTCTGTAATTGTCATTTTGAATGCAGTGGTTTATACTTCAGTATGAAGAGGCTTTGACAGCTTTGACAGGAATGGGGAGGGTCTCACTCATATAGAGCGCTAGAGATGGTTGATTTTTGCTCGATTGGAGTGTCTGTTTGTATTACACTCTTGGCTTTGGAACTCCCTCCCCGGGGAAATTACATGAGCCCCTCCCTCCTTACCTTTAGGAAAAGGCTAAAGACATGGGTGTGGGACCAAGCGTTCGATTGGTAATCTACCAGTGCAATAAGAGAATATGGATTAGTGCAACGACAACCTAGAACAGCCTCAGACTATTATATTGGATCATGTGATTTAAAATAAGTGGTTTTAAGGTTTTATATGTTTTTAATGATTGTTCTAATATATATGTTTATTTTACTATGTATGTCCATATGGCATCGAATTGCTGCCTATATATGAGTCCCCCTACGGGGTGAGAAGAATGGGGTATAAATATGGTAAATAAATTAAAAATTTAAATTTCAGCGTAAATTGCTCAACTAAAAATATTATGTTATGGTTTTAGGTTTTCTGCACAGCAGAGGTGGAATTTATGTTCTGCTATGGAAGTCTCGGATATGGGTATTCACATCAGGTTGCTTTTCTTTTTCTTACTACTGTAGATGATTTGAGTTTGAATGATGAGGTTGAAAAAGACTCAACAATCATGAAGCCCAGTACCCTCCCCGTAAACTGCAAATTACATGTCGACTCGGAAATTAATGTTCTCTAATCATAGAACTGGATGTATACGATGGATTGAGATTTGACAGAAGGCTTTCACCTCCTGCTAAGTTCTTGTTAAAGTGTAATTCTGTCCTGCCAACCTGGCCATTCGTTCAGTCAATTCATAATATAGTAGAGATGCAGCCAAAAAGCCAATGGAAAATGATCTGCAATTCCAGAACAATTCCCTTGCAATGAGCAGAAGCAGTAATTCACGAAATCTTTGAAGAGAATCTCTGAAAACATTTATTTACAGCTTTTATATTCCGCCCTTCTCACCCCGCAGGGGACTCAGGACGGATTACAGTGTACACATATATGGCAAACATTCAATGCCAATTTTTGACATACAAACATATACAGACACTTACACAGAGGCTATTTAACTTTTTCTGGCCGCCAGGGAAGGTGTCGCTTTCATTGTCCATCTGCAACGCTGATGAAGCACTTCCGCATTTCCCGCATGCTTCCCCGCTGGAATGCTTTGCTGGAGTCTACTTTATGGCCTCATAAATCAGTTAATTTAGCCTCCCCACACTTTAAGGTGGTACCTAATTTTCCTACTTGACAGATGCAACTGTCTTTCGGGTTGCAAAGGTCGACAACAGGCTACACACAATTGGTTGGAAACCCACTCCAACCTGAGCTGGCTTCGAACTCATGACCTTTTGGTCAGAGTGATCTTAATGCAGCTGACACTCAGCCAGCTGTGCCGCAATCCCGGTGTTTGTCTTCTCAACTTATTTTTCACAGCCTGTATATTTGGGAAAGTGGGTCCATGAAAGGCATTGTTTTATGCATTATAAACAGTCAAAATTGTACTGTTACTTATTTCAGTGTATGGTTTCTTTCTGCAGCTGAAACTGCCAGGGGCGGATCCAGCTCAGTCTGTGGCATATTCCATGTTTCTGCGAGTTCCACCACCAGAAAACAGAAAAGATACTGTCACGTAACTATTCTTGATATAAAACCGTAGATTAAGCCCAAATGGATTAAATTGAATTCTATCTTATAATGTCGTATAGATATAGTTGGCTCTCAGTATCCATGGATTCCGTATCCACATAGTTTGAAAATAGCTTGATTTTGCCATTTTATATTATGGACACCATTGTATATAGTGAGCCTTGAGCACTCATGGATTTTGGCATCTGTGGGGAGTCCCGGAAACAAATTCCAATGGATATCAACAACTCACTGTATGCAGACATAATGATGAAGATCCTTCATTGCCAAAGACAGAGCTCCCATATCATAGTTATGTCTGAAAAAAACTGACCTTACTGGCTGGAAATGCCCCAACCAAAAACTTTGCAAGGTACTGCATATCAGGGACTTGAAAAATGAAATATATGGTGCTTTCGGCTGCAGGCTTGCCAAAAACGAGCAGCTGGAGAGACCCCTTGCAGTCCTATTGTAACTTCTTATCTCAAGGCACTTCATGATTGGCGAGTGCTGTGCCCTCATTATTATTATTATTATTATTATTATTATTATTATTAAACTTTATTTGTACCCTGCTAGCATCTCCCGAAGGATTCGATGCGGCTTACACAGGCCGAGGCCTCAACACACAACACAACAATACAATCTAAGCAAATCAAACAATTGAAAACAGAATAAAGCAAAATAAACAACAGGCACAATACAGTAAACACAATAAAACTGGGCCGGGCCAGAGCAATGGGTACAAGATTAAAAGTGCTGATGTGACAGGAGGTATATATAGGGCTTCTATGGCAAGTGCGATGTGCGATGTGTAGCAATCATTGGTTCTGATAAAGTGCTTATGGGACTTGGTGGTGGAGATTTCCTAATCTGGGAAGGCGCATCGGAAAAGCCAGGTCTTCAAGTTCTTTCTGAAGACAGCCAATGTAGGGGCCTGTCTAAGGTCTTTGGGGAGGGTGTTCCAGAGTCGTCTACAGTCCCCTGCTTACATCTCTATTGGGACTCTGCAAAGCTGAAAACGTTTGGTTATGTAAACATGCATCCCCAAGCAATTACAAAATTGTAAGTTCAGCTTGTATTCTTGTAACTACTGAACAAGATGCCAGTAATTCCATTTTAAAATATTTGAAAATACAGTACAGGCAGTCTCCGAGTTACAAACATCTGATTTACATACGACTCCAAGTTAGTTACAAATGAATGGGGGTGAAACGACAGGAAGTGAGAGGAAATCTATCCCTCGGAAGGGAAATTCACTCCTGCAAGTGTTATCATGTGGAAAAAGTGTCTCCACTGAAACCTTATTACTAATCCTTGTTTCCACAACAACCCAAAATATTCAAAATCCAATTGTCATAGGAACAGCCGGTGAGATGAAATTTTCTGAACAGAGGCATAGACAACAAAACAATGTTGCAGCGGTATTAACCTTTCCCAAAACTTTTTTTCTTTTTTTTTTTGCTGGAGTTACATTTAAAATGTACTTGTTCAGCTTACATACCAATTCAACTTGGGAACAAAGGTACAGAACGTATCTTTTTGACAAGAAAAACCTGTAATAGGTTAGAAATGGTTTGAAGGTACACAAGTTGAAAATGACTTGAAGGCATACAACAACCCTTATGTAACATCTCCAGTAACAACAACAACATGCAACAACAATTATGCTTATTAATAGCTGTGTTTCTCAGAATTTTACATTCTCATTAAGAAACTGCACCTTTCCCCTTACCTTACTTTGAACATTATCACCTGAGAGAAAGGGGAATAAATTCAGAACATTTGCTACATTGGACATATACATGGTCTTTTCCTTCATAAAACCATGTGATTAAGCAGACTAAGGATGATCAGGGAGCACAGACCTGGCCAAGATCTATTCCCATTTGGTGGCAGGGAGTGCGAAAGGAGGTCATATGTTTCTAGCCTAAAATGAGTAGGGAGAATTGAAGAGACTTGCAGTTGCCATTCAAAATGTTTCTGGGAACATAGCTATTTTGCTCCAAAACATTCCCACCCCCCACCCCCCATCATATTGGGCGTTGATGGGCTGCGCATAGGAAGGCTGGGGGATGGGACTATTCTTTGTGGCAAATATTTGAATTCCTACTTTTTCTCATTTTGCAGCAATGCGATCAAGCCACAACGCATGGATTACCCTGCATGCTTATCTCCAGATCTGAATGTTACGGTTGGAAATATTGAGTTGGCTCCTCCTGCAGAAATGACAGAACATTACATGAGTCTTCAGAAGGCTTTACAAGAACCACCCCGAGAAAGGCAAGGAAATGCGGGGGGGGGGGGGGGGGGGGGGGGGGAGCATTGATAAAGTCTAACAACTGATAGTGCGGATTTAACACTATCCTGAACTTATAATGGAAACAAGAAACAATGGATAATAGCGAACCGTATTGAAATAAATTACTTCCATTGGAAGTTACCATAGAGCAGTGTTCTCAATCTTCCTAATGCCGCGAGCCCTTAATACAGTTCTTCATGTTGTGGTGACCCCCAACCATAACATTATTTTCAGAACTGTAATTTTGCTACTGTTTTGGATTGTAATGTAAATATCTGATATGCGGATGTATTTTCATTCACTGGACCCATTTGGCACAAATACCTGACATGCCCAAATATGAATACTGATGCGATTGGAGGGGGGGGGGGGGATATTGATTTTTTCATTTAGGAGTTGTAGTTGCTGGGATTGATAGTTCACCTGCAATTAAAAAGCATTCGGAACTCCGCCAAAGATGGAATTGAATCAAACTTGGTGCACAGAACTCTTATGACCAACAGAAAATACTGGAAGGGTTTGGTGGGCATTAACCTTGAGTTTTGGAGTTGTAGTTCGCCTACATCCATAGAGCACTGTGGACTCAAACAATGATGGGTCTGGACCAAACTTTGCATGAATACTTAATATTCTAAAATGTGAACACTGTTGGAGTTTGGGAAAAATAGACCCTGCATTTGGGAGTTGTAGTTTCTGGGATTTATAGTTCACCTGCAATCAAAGAGCATTCTGAACCCCACCAGCGATAGAATTGGGTCAAACTTCCCACACAAAACCACCATGACCAACAGAAAAGACTGTGTTTTCTGATGGCCGTTGGCAACCCCTCTGAAAAACACTTCTGAACCACTGCTGCTTTTATGCACTGGCAAAATCTCTGTTTTCCTAACACAATGGTTCTCACCTGGTGGGTCCCCAGATGTTTTGGCATACAACTTCAAGAAATCTCAGCCAATTTACCAGCTGATAGGATTTCTGGAAGGTTGAAGGCCAAAACATCTAGGGACCCACAGGTTGAGAACCACTGCCATAGAGTATCCTCTCAAGGAATTTGCTAGGTCTTCCAAGATATTACCAAGGTATTACCATGTTGTTTACCTACTACAGTACTGTATCCAAATGCCGGCCCCATCTTATTTCAATTTGTATCAGTCTTGACCCAGCCTTTTAATTGTTCTGACCCATTCCTTTTCCATTCTCCAACAAATAAACATGAAGAACAGGTAGGATTTTTCCTTTTAATATTATGTGTTGTTGGGTAATTCCATGCTTATGTTGCTGTTAGTTATTTTTTGTTCAATTTGTGACTCTGCATGTTTTGATGTTGTTGCTTGGAAACCGCCCTGAGTCCCCCCGAGGAGATAGAGCGGTATATAAATAGTATTATTATTATTATTACTTCTGGCAGAGGGATGCAGTTGAATCTCTGGAGGATCTAAACGTTCCTAAAGAGGACATATTTTGTTGGATATATTGCTGAAACCACAAGTACCAGTCCTGCGTGTACAGGAATCACACTGTATTCCTTTAGTCCAAGCACGCATGGGAAACCTTTTTGGCTTCAGGTCATCATTAACGCCAGGAATTATGTTAGGAGTTGTATGACAGAAACTAAAGTGTAATTTTTAAAAGGGGAAATTACAGTGCACAAGGAAGAAACAGCTTTACTTTCAGTTACACTCCCCCTAAAGTCACAGGTCCGCAGTCTGGGTGTCCTCTTGGATTCATCGCTCACACTTGAGGCTCAGGTGTCGGCGGTATCCGGGAGGGCCTTTGCACAATTGAGACTTGTGCGCCAGCTGCGACCGTACCTCGCGAAGGCTGATCTGGCCGGGGTGGTCCATGCCTTGGTCACCTCTAGAATGGATTACTGCAATGCGCTCTACGTGGGGCTGCCCTTGAAAACGGCTCGGAAATTCCAACTGGTCAGCGGGCAGCAGCCAGGATGCTAACCGGGGCTCATTATCAAGAGAGGTCTACCCCTCTGTTTAAGGAGCTCCACTGGCTGCCATCAGGGGCGGCTCAACCGTTACGCAAAGTAAGCCGTTGCGGAACACTTCATTTCCCCCAGGGGCGCTCTTCGGCAGCAGCCTCCTCCTCGCCCCTCTGTTGCTCCGTGTCTAAAAGAGTCCCTTCCTCACCAGGCTGGGCTCCCAAGCCTGGCGCCCAGCCTGGGGAGGAAGTAGGACAGAGCAACAGAGGGGTTAGGGGGAAGCTGCTGCTGCTGAGGCCCTCTTCAACAGCAGCCTCCTCCTCGCCCCTCTGCTACTCTATGGAGAAAAGGGTCCCTTCCTCGCCAGGCTGGTCTCCCAAGCCTGGCGTCCAGCCTGGGGAGGAAGGAGCACGGAGCAGCAGAGGGGCGAGGGGGAAGCTGCCGCCGCTGAGGCCCTCTTCGGCAGCAGCCTCCTCCTCGCCCCTTTGCTGTTCCGTGTCTAAAAGGGTCCCTTCCTCGCCATGCTGGGCTCCCAAGCCTGGCGCCCAGCCTGGGGAGGAAGGCGCACGGAGCAGCAGAGGGGTGAGGAGGAAGCTGCTGCCGCTGAGGCCCTCTTCAGCAGCAGCCTCCTCCTCGCCCCTCTGCTACTCTTTGGAGAAAAGGGTCTTTTCCTTGCCAGGCTGGGCTCCCAAGCCTGGCGCCCAGCCTGGGGAGGAAGGATGACAGAGCAACAGAGGGGCGAGGGGGAAGCTGCCGCCGCTGAGGCCCTCTTTGGCAGCAGCCTCCTCCTCACTCCTGTGCTGCTCCGTGTGTGTGTGTGTGTGTATATATGTGTGTGTGTGTGTATATGTATTTACACACATACACACACATACATATACATACACAGGCCTGGGCCAGTTTTGGCCCTCCTTCCAGGGTCATTTGGGAATTGTAGTTGCTGTGATTATAGTTAACTAGAATCAACGAGCATTCTGAACTCCACCAATGATGGAATTGAACCAAATTTGGCACACAGGACTCCCATGGCCAACAGAATATACTGAAAGGGTTTGGTGGACATTGACCTTGAGTTTTGGAGTTGTAGTTCACCTACACCCAGAGAGCACTGTGCATTCAAACAATGAAGGATTTAGACCAAACGTGGCACAAATACTCCATGTGCCCAAATGTGAACACTGGTGAAGTTTGGGGGGAAATAGATCTTGACATTTGCGAGTTGTAGTTACTGGAATTTATAGTTCACTTACAATCAAAGAACATTCTGAACCCCACTAACGATAGAATGGGGCCAAACTTCCCACATTGAATCCCCCATGACCAACAGAAAACACTGTTTTCCGGTGGTCTTTGGCGACCCTTCTGACACCCCCTCATGATCCCCCCAGGGGTCTCAACCCCCAGGTTGAGAAATGCTGCCTTATGGCCATCCAGACCAACTCCCTTCACCAGAGCAAGAAAACAATCAAAGCTCTCCTGATAAAGAGCCATCCTGCCATAGATATAGATAGATCTATAGGATTCAAACACACACACACACACACACACACACACGGAAGATATAATATCATAGATTTGAAAGGGATCCCTAAAGAAGGACAATGATATGTTTTATGTTCTAGAGTAGGCAAACCAGACAATCGCTACGTCAACACAGACAAAGAAACAACAAGAAATACTGTTTACCCACAAGCATCAAGAAATTACATATATTAGAAACCAACTTTCTCATTACTTTCTTTTCAAGATGATCAGACTGGCAGGGGATGGCTAGCATATATATATGTGTGTTTTGGACTTCAACTTCCACAATTCCAAATAACCAGTAGGATGTTCAAAATACCTGGAGGGCCAAAATTTGTCCATGCCTGCCCCCCCCCCCTCTCTCTATATATATATCAGTGATTGGTTAGGGGGGGCGCCAAAATACTGTTTGCTTACCGTTGAAAATTACCTAGGGCCGCCTCTGGCTGCCATTTATTTTCCGAGCCCAATTCAAGGTGCAGGTGCTCACCTACAAAGCCCTGAACGGTTTGGGACCACCCTACCTGCGTGACCGCATCTCCATCTACGAACCCACACGCTCGCTCCGGGCATCTGGGGAGGCCCTGCTCGTGATCCCACCCACGTCGCAAGCGCGCTTGGTGGGGACACGGGACAGGGCTTTCTCTGTGGCGGCCCCCGACTTTGGAACACCCTTCCAAAAGATCTTCGACAGGCCCCTACTTTAGCAGTTTTCAGAAAGAATCTGAAAACTTGGCTGTTCCGTTGTGCCTTCCCAGATTAGGAATCCCCCATCCCAAGTCCTAGAAGCACTTTAGTATAATTAAGATTGCTGCACACCGCACTTTTTAATCCTATGTTCCTCCTGCCATTCCAGCACTTTTAACCCTGTACCCACTGCTCTGGCCGGCCCAGTTTTTAACTGTCCTGATGTACTGTTACTAGTGTTGTTATTTTGCTTAACTATTTTGATTTGCTTTTGTTTTATTGTTGTGTTATGTTTTGTTGTATTGTGTTCTGAGGCTTCGGCCTGTGTAAGCCGCATCGAGTCCTTCGGGAGATGCTAGCGGGGTACAAATAAAGTTAATAATAATAATAATAATAATAATAATAATAATAATAATAATACTTTCCAAACTGTGACCATCCCTCAGATGCATTCCCCTACATTGCAGTTCGGCTTTGTCATACCTTTCTTGTTTTGTTTAGTTTTTTAAGCAGTTTAGATCCTGGTCTTCAGTCTAGATGGTATCCTACCATCTGATAAACTGAAAAGATAAAATACCAATAAGTAGCAAAACCACCACAAGAAATCAGTTGATAAAAAGTAAGAGTTGGGAGACAGATTGATAGTGTGGACTTCAAAGGAAGCTTGAGATACTGTGAACCTTTTCAGTCCGCAGATCCAGTCTGCAAGATTTCTGTATCAGTGTAGTGTTCTAGGGTAACTGACCTTCTTTGTCCTCCTCTAGCCCAGCAACAGGTACAATATGGTGATGTTGAAAAGTGATGGGAAAAACCCGTGTCATCATCTTTGAACACATTTTGAACTTGGTTCAAAAACTGGCTGTTAGCCAGTGAAACTTCGAGAGGAGTAGAAAAACCAATTTTGTCTTACAATATTATGGGATGATGGTGCAATGGGTTAAATCCTTGTGCCAGCAGGACTACTGACCAAAAGGTTAGCAATTTGAATCTGGGGAGCAGGGTGAGCTCCCATCTGTCAACTCCAGCTTCCCATGGGGGAACATGAGCGGAGCCTCCCAATGGATGGTAAAACATCCGGGCATCCACTGGGCAATGTCCTTGCAGATGGCCAATTCTCTCACACCAGAAGCAACTTGCAGTTTCTCAAATTGCTTCTGACAGAGAAAACAAAAAAAAATGGGATGATGGACTGGTAATTGCAGTACCTTTGAAAGGGTTTCCTTCAAGGTATCCCAATTTACCAATACCATGGATTGTATCAGAATATAATTTTGTCCTAATGACAAAGAAACCTACACATTTAGATATTCAAATATTTCTAAAATATGGCTTCTTAGGTGGGTTTGCTCTTTAGGTTGCAGAGAATGAAAAAAGAATACCGGAGTCTGTCAACATGGCGTGAGAAGGCGGAATATTTAGACCAACTGATCTTAAAAAGGGGACCAAAAACAAAACCTCCTCAACCAAAGGTATTTTTTTTGTTAAAAGGGAGACAAGTAAGGTACAGCTGACTGACAGCCACACAACTTGTGAATTGCATTTTGTAATTTCTCTCTCTTGTTTTTTTCCCCCCAAATGTCGTTACATGGATTGAGGAATAGGACAGAGGTGCTGTTAATCCCCTCTTTTCTACAATCATTTGTCCACTCAAAATCTCTCCCTCACCCCTACCCCTAAAATATATTTTCTCTGGTTAGGAAAGAAGGAAGATAGAACAGTAGATTTTCCTAACACACAGCACCCTTCTTCCTCCCCATTTATGGTATAGTACATATTAACATGTGTATTTAATTGCCATAAATTGTGATGATTATAGCAGAGATGAGGGCAATAGCAGGACCTAAATGCCCTCAATCAGGTCCTGTCTGATCTTGCAGTTGGTCCTGGTTAGTACTTGGATTTATTTATTTATTTATTTATTTATTTATTTATTTATCATGTCAGGAGCAAACCAGACAGTTGTATTTCATTTTTTTAACAAACAAACAAAGAAAACAAAACACAAAGTTTGCAAGCTTGGTAGTTGATTAAATGCCCTTTGACCAGTAGCTGGCCACTTGGAGTGCCTCTGGTGTTGCTGCAAGGAGGTCCTCCATTGTGCATGTGGCAGGGCTCAGGTTGCATCGCAGCAGGTGGTCAGTGGTATGCTCTTTTCCACACTCGCATGTTGTGGATTCCACTTTGTTGCCCCATTTCTTAAGATTGGCTCTGCATCTCGTGGTGCCAGAGCGCAGTCTGTTCAGTACCTTCCAAGTCACCCAGTCTTCTGTGTGCCCAGGGGGGAGTCTCTCATTTGGTATCAGCCATTGGTTGAGGTTCTTGGTTTGAGCCTGCCACTTTTGGACTCTCGCTTGCTGAGGTGTTCCAGTGAGTGTCTGTAGATCTTAGAAAACTATTTCTTTATTTAAGTCATTGATATGCTGGCTGATACCCAAACAGGGGATGAGTTGGAGGTGTCACTGCCTTGGTCCTTTCACTATTGGTTGCTACTTCCCGGTGGATGTCAGGTGGTGCAATACCGGCTAAACAGTGTAATTTCTCCAGTGGTGTAGGGCGCAGACACCCCGTGATAATGCGGCATGTCTCATTAAGAGCCACGTCTACCGTTTTAGTGTGGTGAGATGTGTTCCACACTGGGCATGCATACTCAGCAGCAGAGGAGTAATGCGCAAGGGCAGTTGTCTTCACTGTGTCTGGTTGTGATCCCCAGGTTGTGCCAGTCAGCTTTCGTATGATATTGTTTCTAGTGCCCACTTTTTGCTTGATGTTCAGGCAGTGCTTCTTGTAGATCAGAGCACGGTCCAGAGTGACTCCCAGGTATTTGGGTGTGCTGCAATGCTCCAGTGGGATTCCTTCCCAGGTGATCCTCAGAGCTCGGGATGCTTGTCTGTTCTTAAGGTGAAAAGCACATGTCTGTGTTTTAGATGGATTAGGGATCAGCTGGTTTTCCCTGTAATAGGCAGTAAGAGCACCTAGAGCTTTGGAGAGCTTCTGTTCAACCATCTCAAAGCTCCCTACTTGAGCAGTAATGGCACGATCATCAGCATAGATGAAGCTCTCTGTCCCTTCTGGCAGTGGCTGGTCATTTGTGTAGATGTTGAACATGGATGGAGCAAGCACGCTCCCCTGAGGCAGGCCGTTCTTGTTTCCGCCATCTGCTTCTCTGGCCCTGGAACTCAACAAAAAAGCTCCTGTTTTGTAGTAGGTTTCCTATGAGGTGGTTGAGGTGGTAGTCCTTTGTGATATTATACATTTTTCTCAGGAGGAGGCGGTGGTTTACAGTATCATAAGCCGCTGACAGGTCTATGAAGACAGCTCCTGTGATTGCTGCCTTTCAAAGCCATCTTCTATGTGTTGAGTCAGGTTCAGCACTTGCGATGTGCAGCTTTTGCCTTTCCTGAAGCCAGCTTGCTGTGGGATCAGACATGGGTCTATTTTTTCCTGAAAAGGTCAGTTAGTTGTTTTGCTTGCTTGTTTGCATGCTGCAAGTCGCTTCTGGTCGCTTCTGGAGTCTACGTCTACGAAGACGTTGCCCAGGGGACACTCCTGCAAGGAGGCTTCTCTCGTGTCTTTTCTCATGTACTTGGATGAGAGATTGCCAATGAATACCATTTGCTCTAGGCTACATTTTTCAGAGGAAGGAACTGGCAAAACCACTTCTGAGTATCCCTTCTTTAAGAAAATCTTATGAAATTAATGGGGCCTTTTAATGGCAATAGCAGAGGTGAAGTTTGCAGTGGAGGAAGTGGTAACTGCATCCTTTGGGTATGCTAAGAAAAAACCAGTTGCAAAGGTACTGCTTTCATTTCATTCTGCCACATCTGTGCCACATACAATTTGGGAAAACAGCCTAATCAACACAAACCATGTGTCCATAACATTGTTTTGCTGGGTTGCCCCGATTTCAGAGCTGGAAGTGTTACATCTGAACTGACTTACCCTACCCTCCATTCCCTTTTGCCAGCAGTACCTACAAAATATTCAAATTGACTCATAGCAACTAACAAACGTTTGTGTGATAGGTTTTGTTTGGACTAAAACTAGATGCCAGGCACAATGGTTCTCACCTGTGGGTCCCCAGGTGTTTTCGCCTACAACTCCCAGAAACCCCAGTCAGTTTACCAGCTGTTAGGATTTATGGGAGTTGAAGGTCAAAACATCTGAGGATCCACAGGATGAGACCCACTGTGCTAGAGGGCTTTGATATTGAAACTTTTGACACAGAAAATACCCCGTCTTGTAGAAATGAGTTAAGGTGTATAGAGAAGACTCTGCCCTGAGTCCCATTGTGCAAGGAGGTTTGATCATCACTGGTATGCTAAACTTGTCTCTGGTTTACATATTTGTATGATATATACTGTTTTGAACATTAGGAGGCATTTATAGGAATGGTTGTTTTTTAAAAAAAAACACCTTTGTATGTTTTTCATAGATTTTTAAATAATTCAAAAGGTTATTTTAATTGTTCCTGAAGTTCATGTTAATGTCTTTATTTGCTGTCTTTGGAAACTGCTTTTGTTTCCTGCTCCAGGAGAAAGATAGAATATAGATTAAATAAATATAGTAAAAAAAATTGAATGAAGGCTACCAAGCATCTCTAAGTTGCTCAGATGTGATTGTCATGGGCAAGTAATGCATCCTTCCCATGAGTGAATACCATGCTCTCTGAATTAATCGTGCAAGAGATTATAACATTTGCGGAGCATGAGTGGATGTGTGTGCATATTTGTTTATGCATTCATGTTTAAATCTACCTCTTCTTATCAATAACACCCACCATTTAAGAGTTTGTTGGCTGGCTGGCTAGGCAGAATAGTCATTATTAACACTTTAGTTAAGCAATTGTATAATTAAGAATTAACATGCTTCCCTGCCATCACATATATAAGCAGCAATAGTGTTTTACTTATAGCCTTTCCCAATTACATTTTAATTAGTATTAGGTATGACAGAATAAGTTTGATTTAATTAATGAAGTCTATAAAGTAGCAATCCCAAAGAGAGAATACAAGTTAACAAATCACGATGAGGTTCTAGAACAGTGGTTCTCAACCTGGGGTTCCCAGATGTTTTTGGCCTACAATTCCCAGAAATCCCAGCCAGTTTACCAGCTGTTAGTAGTTCTGGGAGTTGAAGGCCAAAAAATCTGGGGACCCCAGGTTGAGAATCACTGTTCTAGAACTAATTATCACAACAGGGAGGCTGGGAGGCTGTGTATTCTGGGAAGCACTATATTCAGTTTTAAACCACTTTATTCTCCCCACCAGATGTCTCGCTTCAGGGAAATCGTTGAAAAAATCCATGTGCCTCGATTTTCATCTACTCCTTCTGAAGGTTGAGTGGTCATTTATTTATTTATTTATTTATTTATTTATTTATTTATTTATTTGTAATCTCATCTTAAAGGAAGAACAGAAAGCTTAATGGGCCAATTACCTACTTATTACCCACCACAAAAAAAATGCAAAGATACATACGCAGCCTCTCAAGGATAAATACAATTTAGATCTAGACTGTTTAATATCTGCATATGGCCCATGGGACCCCCCAATTTGCCCTCAAATCCACCAGACCCACTTCTCCAATATAATTTTTAATGGGGGGGGGGTTACTTTTGGGAACAGTTTGGCCCCACCTCAAATCCCCCAAAACTGCACAAAGAGACAACAGTCCACTCCCCTAGCTCCAAACTACTCAACTCCTAAAACAACAACACACACACACACAAAGGCAGGGAAAGGCAAATATCAGCCAAAATCTCATTTGGAAGTGATACCACATCACTCTGCACAGGCTGAAATATATGGCTGCTTTCCACTGGGCATCCACAGGATGACAGAGCTGCCCCTGCCCTGTTTGCAGTTGTCTATTTCTCTGCTATGCAAACCTTCCAGAGTCTTCATGCGGAAATTTCTCCCAGTTCTGCCACCATCACAGGCCTATTTGGTGAGAGAGCCTTCTCAGTTGCATCCTCCCTGTAACTAGGGCCCCTTCTACACTGTCATATATAAGCTTTATGAACTGGATTATATGGCAGTGTAGATTCATATAATCCAGGTTTTTTTCATGTCAGGTGCGACTTGAGAAACTGCAAGTTGCTTCTGGTGTGAGAGAATTGGTCATCTGCAAGGACATTGCCCAGGGGATACCTGGATGTTTGGATGTTTTACTATCCTTGTGGGTGGCTTCTCTCATGTCCCCACATGGGGAGCTGGAGCTGACAGAGGGAGCTCAACCCTCTCTCCCTGGATTTGAACCACTGACCTGTTGCCACTGGAGGCTATATAATCCAGTTCAAAACAAGTAATGTGGATTATCTGCTTTAATAATCTGGATTACATGGCAGGGTAGAAGGGGTTTAGGTCTCTATCATTTGCTTTCTGACAAATTGTTCTCCTTCTGTAGGAGTCTCCATGGAAGAAGCAAAAATAGCTGAAATTCTACCAGATGAGATTCCACCAGACGTAAGGCAACCAATTCTGGTATGACTGTGCAGCATTAGTATATGATATTATAAGATGAAACTATGATACCGCCACAGCCAAAGAGGAACTGCCAACGACTCTTGCAAAGGGACAGTAGTAATGGTACTACTATATATACTCGAGTATAAGCCTAGTTTTTCAGTCCTTTTTTTAGGCTGAAAAAGTCTCCCCCAGCTTATACTCGAGTCAATGTTATTTATTATTTTATTTTGTTGTTGTTGTTGTTATTGTTATTGTTATTATTATTACATTTATTATTTTATTATTGTTATTATTACATTTATTATTTTACTCTATTTATTATTGTTATTGTTACATTTATTATTTTACTCTATTATTATTATTATTATTATTTTACTCTATTTTTATTGGAGGACATGTAAGCATATTTACATTGTAGAAAGTTAGAATAATGGTTTAATCAGAGTTGGATAGTCTTATCTTGAATTACAGTTTTACGTAAATATTCAAAAACATCAATATAATTTTATTGGTATCTATTTTTATTTTGAAATTTACTTGTAGCTGCTGCATTTCCCACCCTCACCTTATACTCAAATCAATACATTTTCCCAGTTTTTTGTGGTAAAATTAGGTGCCTTGGCTTATATTCGGGTCGGCTTATACTCGAGTATATACGGTACTTGAAATGGAACAAAATATTTGAAAATAGGTTTTATTGGTTGCTTAAAATCTAAATCCAAAGTAAAAGACTTTTAAAATGTTAACTCAAATGTCACAAATAAATGCAGTTTTGAAGCTACTCAGAATTCTGAATCAAGCACAAAAGTGTTAGTGATGGATATGGGATGGTAAAGTCCAAAAATAAGACCAGGCATTGTGACTGTGACAGTTGCAGTTAGTCTAAAGAGTTCAAAATGAATACATTTCCAGTAAGTCACTTAGATATGTATTATGGACAAAGAAGCATTTGTGATTTCACCTTTCTGCTTTTGTACACATCAAGACAGTGGTAATATATTTTGGAATTAAAATCCATGAAATATTCTTAAATTCTTCTCCTTAGGGAAGAAATCTATAAGTCAAATGTGCTTATATGTTTAGCATTCATTTTTAAAAAGGCGATCTTCCCTGTAGTGAAAGATGCCTGTTTGTTACGCTACATGATTGTCCTCGCCTACATATTTAGCATTTGTTGTGTTTTGTGATTGTTCATTGAAAACCAGATACAAGCATAATATGAAGTCTAATTGCTGAAGCAAAGAGTGAATGAAAAACACATTATGAGAGAGGAAAGTTATTAATCAAAGGGATCACACATTCCCATAACTTCCAATTTAACTCTGTGTTTTCCTGGAAGTATCAGATTGATGCAGGCTGCTCTTCTAAGTGTTTCAAGTGGCATGTCTTTCATTAAAGCTGAAATCAAAATAGTTACAAAAATATTTACAGTCATTCCAGGTTGCTCTTTAGTACATCTTTTAAATTAGACTTACTGCTGTTGTTGTGTCATTCTTCTTTTCCAGGGATGGGAAGGTGTCCCTCCAGATGTTCCTAACTTGTATTTGCAACTTCCTGCACCTAAACTTGAGGATAGTGAATCAGAAGGGGAAATTGAAATAGTAACTGGACTGGTAGAACGCACTGACACTACCCATCAAATCCCAGTGCTGGCTGTAACATCTTGCACTACCAGAAGCAGTCCCTCTAGGTCTTCAGAAGAAGTGGAAGTCTTGGAAGATAAGGTCACAACAGGAAAAGGTGGATCTGAAACTTCATTGTCAAGTTCCAGTGAAGTGCCAGCAGAATTTTCTGAGCCAAGAGATGTTGAAAGCTCGGCTTCTACGGGTCCAGAGGTACAAAAAAAACTTCCTGACATAGTGAAAAAAACAGCTACCCTAGAGTATCTCCCAGAACCAATGCAGGTAACATATAGTCTCATCACCTCTTGCCCAAACACAAGTAAAGTTATTCCATATGCTGTTTTCAAATGATCTTTTCATGTGGCCAAAGTGGGGGAGGGGAGTGATGGGTCAATTATGGTATTTTGAAGATAATACTCCTCCACTCTCTTTAAAATGTTTTTTTTTTCCCTAGCCAAGAAACCCTTTGTTGTAGCCTGGTCAGAGTCTGAGTGCTCAAAAGATGAGGAAGGGGTTGCTGGGATGGAGACTGGAATGCCAGGGGAGGATGGAAGTGGCTTCAAGGGAGTTGTTATGGATTCTCATGGCAGTTGCCAGGTGACTGGAGAAAGTGATAGCAGTTCTCATGAGAATCTGATAGAGTTGCAATCTGAAAGAGATGCGGGAGATGAATGTTTTTCCAGATCAAGTTGCCTGTAACTCCGGAGGCAAAATGTTAAACAAAGACAGACTAGGTTTTCTCAGTGGCTTAGAGATAAGGAAAGGAAAAGCAGGTGTGCGCAAAGTGACATCATGGGAGGGATTGAGGCCTTTTAAGTGGTTTCTTCTGGTGTAATCCTTTGTGTGAGCAATGTTGAATTCAAGGGGAAAACAGCACTCGGGTTCTGTTCTTAGGTTTGTTTCATGTAGCCAAGTTCTCAAGTTTGTTCCTATTTCTAGTTCCTGCCTGCCTTGGATTCCTGCTATCATGTTTATGGATTAATTCTGAAAACTGTGCTTTAAATGGATTTTGGGCTTCTGAGAGTCTTTTGTAATGGCTTTTGAACTTTGATGCTTAGTTTTTAAGATACTGATTTCTTTATATATTTCGTTTTTAAGTTACTGATTTCTTTATATACTCTTAATAAACTTTATCTTACTGGACTATTTGTACATAGTGTGGTATGTGGTGTAAAAGGTGGTTCAGAACTTAAGTGCAACAGCCTTGAACATGCAGTTCTCTGAAGGTTCTTGGAATTTCTCTAAGAAAATTTGCACCACATATCTTATGATTCTTTCGGAAAAGTTATGACAATTCTATAAATACTTTAGGGCAAAGGTGTTAAACTCAATTTCATTGAGCCACATCAGCCTCATGGTCACCTTCAAAGGGCCATTGCATCCATGGACATAGAGGGCCAATTGGTTGGTACTCTTTAGTTTCCACTCCATTCAGGTCCCCAGATTTGTTGAATGACAACTCCCATCACTTTTGATCATCCGCCATGCGGATTGGGGATAATGGGAATTGCAACCCACCATCACTTGTGGCTCTGAGGATGGAGAAAGGTTAAAAGACAATTTGAAAGTCAGACATCATCTCCACAAGCCTTGTATCTGGATGCAAACCTCACTTTCCTGACTAAACAGAACAAACTGATGTATCCAGATGTATCCCAAATCCCATTAGCTCTATTCATGATGTCTAATGTGGAGGAATACAGGAGTTGCAGTCCAGCATCTGGAAGGCCACATAAAATGACATGGAGGGTCAGATTCAGTCCACAGGCCTTGTATTTTAGGGTGAAAACAGATCAGATACATTTATAGAAATGTTACACCATCTTGTTTTTAACTCATTGTCTGTTCACTATAGAAAACCAAGATTTTAAAGTAAGTGAGTGATGACTGCTAGATTTTTTTTTGTATCAATCTGATCTGGTTTTGCCCTAAAATAGGGACATGTTGCTTGGTCTTTGGCTTCTTCTTCTTCTTCAGGCCAGTGCTGAGTGTTGGGGGACACATCATACCCATCATACAAACATACAACAACACACACTAAACAGTCACCACCAGCCTGCTGAGCTTCTCAGCTGAGTCTGCCAGGGAAAATCTCAGCTTGTATCTTCAGCATCAATGATTGCTGGTGGCTCTCATGTCAGTAAAGTCTTGAGTGTGATCCAGGTTTTAATCTGAACATTAAAGGAGTTATTGACCTATTTGAAGTCAAGGTTCAGCAATTTAGAGAGGTAGAGCCCTTCCACACAGCCCTATATCTGTGTGTGACCCAGATAACCCAGTTCAAAGCAGATATTGTGGGTTTTTCTGCCTTGATATTCTGAGATATAGGACTATGTGGAAGGGCCCTCAATTTAAATGTGGGCAAAATCCCAAAGCGAATTCATTGCTCAGCATGGTATTGCACATGGAGGAGACAAGCACTGTTTCTTTCTACCCTGCAAAAATCCTATTGCCCTGTTTTGAATTTGGCTACAAACTTTTTTCAGCTAGTAAATCCTGGGAGTTGATTTAGGTCCCTCCCATATAAAATCCAGATTATCTGCTTTGAACTGGATTTTATAGCAGTGTAGCTTGTCCTATGCCACCCTGTGCATTCTTGGGGCTTGCGGGAACACCAGTGCCATGGCAAAGCATTATTCTACATGCAAATATTACTTTAGAACATTAGTCTATATACGGTCATCAGTGAAACACTGGAGGGAATTGCAAATCTTCTGGAATGCAGTCAGCAGAAAAGTGCAGACAAGGTGCAGCCTACCACTCTAAGGCTCCTTCTACACTGCCATATAATCCAGTTCAAAGTAGATAATCTGTATTTTATAGCACAGTGTAGAAGGGACCTTAGAAGCTAACACTTGGATCACAGCATAATGTTTTGTATACCACAGCCTGCTGACTAGGAGATTTTTTTCCCTGAACAATCTGGGCTTAGCAGCATTTAACAAATATCACTTTGGGTAAAACAGGCACAATTCAGTTTGATTTGTTCATATTGAGCTTTCATAAAGAAGCATTTCAAGCATGGTAAAAACAGAAGGATGCCTCTGGTGTGTCCATTGCTTTGCATAATGAGGTTACCTTCAGCTTGTTGTTTTATACATTATGGATTTCCAACTTCTAAAAAGATATGCCATAATTAATAATGTATGTTTTCTTTCTAACTCCTCCCTTTCTATATTGTGTCTTAAAAGTTAAAGGAATCGTTTCCCAGATCTGGTTTTCCTCAGCTTGTTCCAGGAGTAGCAGGTAAACAACATCACTTTTTAATAGCAATTATCTGTTTCCGGCAGTTTGTACTCTAAAATCAATACATTGAAACATAACATTAAAGACTTTCAGAAGAAAAGGCTTCTCACAGGTAGAAAGATATAATGTTTTTAATCCCTATCCTATTCTGGCACATGAGGAGAAGAAATAGGAAGCAGGAATAATGTCCGACGATTATAGCTCAGCCATTAACATTTTGGCATTTTCTCAATGTGTTGGATTACAGTTCCATTATCACCAGTCATTATGAGCCATATCGGATGGGGATGGTGAGAATTGTAGCCTCATGCATCTGGAACCAAGTGGGAATGGCTTCTTGAGGCTTTCTAGAAGTCAGAGGGTGAACGGCGCTATAGTTCCTTTCCTCCTCCCACAATGGGGAGATACAGGAACAACCATTCAGAACAGAACAATTGTATATTTCACTTGGTTGATTTGTATAATTTATAAAGCTTATATATTTTTTGTTTTGATTGGTTACCTCGGAGCTTTGATGAGCTGGAGGCCTTTCTTTAGCATTTTATGCCATTTCATTCCATACAGCTGTTATAATGGAGACATTGTGGTATATTTATTAAAAGACCAATTTGGGAGTTCCACTATATCATCCACCATTAAGGAGCCCCTGGTGGTGCAGTGGGTTAAACCCTTGTGCCAGCAGGACTGCTGACCAAAAGGTCGGTGATTTGAATCCGGTGAGCAGGGTGAGCTCCCGTCTGTTAGCTCCAGCTTCTCATGCATGGACATGAGAGAAGCCTCTCACAAAATGGTAAAATATACAGACATCCCCTGGGCAACGTCCTTGCAGACGGCCAATGCTCTCACACCAAAGTGACTTGCAGTTTCTCAAGTCACTCTTGACATGAAAAAAAGCTGTTGTTATAGCAATAAAACAAAAAATCTGAGGGAAGAATCACACATTCCTGTATATAAAGGTTTTGCAGCTTGAGTATGCTATCTTAAGGGGAATTGTTATCTTTGCTCAAAAAACTTATGTATAGACCTTGCCTTAAATATTGCAGTAATATACACTGAAATTCTCTTCTTGATCCCCCTTCACTCTCATTTTATCAATTTAATAATAATCTTAATAGTGGATTTTGTTTTTTGTGTCATGTCAGGAGCAACTTGAGAAACTGCAAGTCACTTCTGGTGTGAGAGAATTGGCTGTCTGCAAGGACATTGCCCAGGGGACGCCCGGATGTTTTGATGTTTTATCATCCTTGTGGGAGGCTTCTCTCATGTCCCCGCATGAGGAGCTGGAGCTGATAGAGGGAGCTCATCCTTGCTCTCCTTGCATTCGAACCTGCGACCTGTCGGTCTTCAGTCCTGCCGGCATGGGGGATTAACCCACTGCGCTACCGGGGGCTCCTTAATGGTGGATGATATAGTGGAACTCCCAAATTGGTCTTTTAATAAATATACCACAATGTCTTTCCACTCACACTGGTTGTCTGATTCTATGTGATGGTAGAACTAACTCCCATCTCCATGTGCAATACATTCCTGAACATTACAGGAATATGCAAAACTAAAGCATAACAATATGTAACACGATTTTTGTTCCTGAGTTATAAATGCCATATCCTAATTGGGTCTATCATAAAAACATGGGGACAGTTTATTAAAATGAAAAAGCTTTGTTTTTTGGGACATCATGCAGCACATTTTGCTCTAGTTTTTCAATGAACATCTCATTGAGTCCCAACCAATTCAACCTAGTTTGTGCCAGCCACAAAAATGAAGTTTCTGCAGTAGAACATCTATTTTCAAAGTAGCAAGTACACAATTAAACAGGAAATAATACTTTCAAACCAGGAACAGATTTTCCCCCAAATTGTGTTACATAGTGTAATACCATACCCTATTGAAATGAAGGACTTCTGACCCAAGAATGCCATAGCACTAGAAAGGATTACAAGGGACATAGTTTGTCAAATGTGAATAATTTGGGATACCAGTCCAGCGGATACAAGTGTATGCATGATTTCAGATTTAACACTTTATGATTAAACAAGAAGGTACTAATTTAGACTTTGATGTTTTAGTTTCCAATGTCTCTCACTTCCTTCTAGATTCACTTGTCAAATCAGAACAGCTATGTCGTTGGAAAGACAGTGGGGTAAGGAATAACTGGCTATGCACAATTGTAGTCAGACAATGATATGCAGCATTTATTATAAAGTATAATAGTTTGTGGCTTGACACAGAAAAGGCAAGGAGGTGATATTTATTTATTATATACTTATTTACAGTATTCATACCCCGCCCTTCTCAACCCCGAAGGGGACTCAGAGCCGCCTTACAAAGGCTATAATTTGATATAATCTGGCTTCATCCCTTTTCCTGCATCTGATTAACAAACCACCTCCTGGATGTTTTGCATGAAAATTACTACTTCTCTAACAGATGGAAAATCATTTGAAAATTGACTTGTCCTGTATCCTTGACACTCTCTTTCCCTCCACCTTAGTTATCAGAACTTGTTTCTTTATCTCAGGTCTCTTCCAGATTGATCTAAAGAAGCATGAATACTCATAATATAGCAGTGGTTCTCAACCTGTGGTTTCCCAGATGTTTTGGCCTTCAGCTCCCAGAAATCCTTACCACTGGTAAACTTGCTGGGATTTCTGAGAGTTGTGGGCAAAAACACTTGGGGACCCACAGATTGAGAACCACTGCAGCGTAGCTTTTGGGGGTTTCCCATTGATGACACCTCCACTCTCACTTATTCCCATCTTTTGGTAGTTATTTGTAGTTATTTCTTGAATATCCATTAAGCCTCTTCTAAATGTGGCATGGTTTACTGACGTGATTATTTTTCTTTTTAAAAAATACCTAAATGTTATAGTACAAAAGTGCTATTTTACTGAGATATTACAGTGAAAATTTCTTTAAAATCTGTAAGTAGGCAAAGGAAACCCTTTTTTCTTTTGATATATCTCAGAATTACAAAGAAAAGAAATGGTGCAGCTGACACTAGGGATTGCCAGAAAACAACCAAGGACAATATCAATGTTTTTATTTTAAAAAAATCCTGAAAATTACAGCAACAAATACCAGAAGAATCCCAACAAATTTGCCTCATCTGAAGGAGTATTAGAGAGACAAAGATAGTTTTTATATTGACCTATTAGTACTAGAAATGTATTGGTGTCGTTTTGTTTATGAATGTTATCAAAACATAGCTTATTTAATCTCATTTTCAATGTTTGTTTCTTATTTTTATTTTTTCTAGTGAAAACAGTTGTTGGGATTGTTTCTTCTCTGTTTTTCAGTCTGATAGATATGCGGGTGGGTCAAAAAGTTTTGCCTCCTGTGTCATAAAAATGTTATAAATGCACATATACTAGGATAAGTTGCTGGAGATCATAGCCTGAACTATCCTCTACACAAAACTACTGTTCAACATAGTCTCCATTAATTTGTACACAGTTGCCCCATTGTTTAACCCAGGCACCAAAATTATTTTGAAAAAATTCAGGGTTTTGCTTCGTGGCCCATGATTTTAAAATTGTTTTAATGTCATTCAAGTAGTTGAATGACATTAAAACTATGTAGGTTGTCTTTCAGAGGACTTCTGGCTTCTCTGTGTAGACTGACATTGAATGACGTTAAAACAGTTTTAAAATCATGGGTCATGAAGCAAAACCCTGAATTTTTCCAAAATGGTTTTGATGCCTGGGTTAAATGATGACACAAATGTGTACAAATTAATGGTGACTATGTTGAACAGTAATTTTAAGTGGAGGATGTTTCAGGCTATGATCTGTAGCAACTTATGCTGTTATATATTGATTTAAAACATTTTTGTGACACAGGAGGCAAAACTTTTTGACCTACCCTTGTATATTTTGTGTCCTGCCTCCCCATTCTTCTGCCCTTTTCCTGAGAAGTTCGTTTCAGATATTGTTTATGTGTGATTGAATGATTGCATTTACAGTATGTTTCTTAACTACCGTGTATGCTAGGTCAGAAGTTTGGGGAAATTTTGTCCTTCCCATTTGTTTGGATTACAGCTCCTACATTCTTTTAGGCCCCTTCTACACTGCCATATAAAATTCAGATTATCTGCTTTGAACTGGATTATATGGCAGTGTAGAAGGGGCCTTAGAGTGCAAGGATATTATTCACAAGAGGGGACTTTTTCATATTGGCATTTAAGTATTATTTGTACACCTTTTCCCTATGTAAACTCTTCATTAGTTAGTGGCATATGAAAATGAGATGATTTCTAAATCCCTATAACTCACATATCTCTTGCACTCAGCATTTGGAGTATCCTAACAATGGCCTCTCTTCTTTAAAACCATAGTTCCAGGAAGCAGTTTTTAGTGGGAACAAATTTGAACCATTCTTGAGACGTGTCTGTAAAGTAAATCCACCAGCACCCAGAAGAGGTAATACACATGAATACAGATATCTAGATGAACCATACTTTTCCGATGATACGAAAGAACAAGAAGACCAAGATCCACCACATGGGGTTCCTTCTACAAAGGTAGACCATGGTCGAGACACCAAACCAACCAGGACTGGTGAACAACTGTCTATTCTAAGACTCATAGAAAAAAATATGAGTTTAGAAGAAGGTCACAAAATTGCCACAGAAGAAGAAGAAGAACCAAAGCCACGGGATATTTCTCCAAAGTTCCCTGGAGATAAAATGTCAGAGGCAGAAGTAAATCAGGCCCATATTTATTTTAAGAGCTTTCTTGAAGACTTTCTGGCTGATAAACTTGTGAAAGTTTCTGCACTGGAATCAGTTCTAAGTAAAAACGTTGAAAATCTAGTTGCAGAGAGGCTGTCAGAAACACAGCTATTCCAAGAACTAGAAGACAATCTTATGGAAAAACAGTTGCCTGAGGAAAAACCTGTTTCTAGAGTAAAGTTTTCAAAGCCAGACATAATGAAGTTGAAAGAAATTGTGAGTCAAAACTTGCAAACCCGTCTTGTTAGGAAATTTTGTCAACAGGGAATAATTCCAGATTTGAAAGTAGCTGAGAAAGACGAGAAGTTTTCTCTTCCAAGTGCCGCTGATTTGCTAAAGAGAAAAGAAAGTGAAATAATAACAATAAAATCACTAAGTGACAGTCAGTTAGGAGACATTCCTGAAACTGAACCAGTTGTTAAAGGGGCAGAACTAGCCACAAGCAAACCGGAAGATAACAAAGAAGCCCTTTGTCCTCTAAGAAAGGAGTCCTCATTGGAAATAATTCGAGTAAAACTACCATTTAGCACAGAAACAGATAGTAAACAGCGACCTTCCAATTTTGACATTCTACTTGAAAAGGTTTTACAAACAGAAATAACAGGTTTAAAATCATTTTTAAGCAAAAAGCTTCAGGATCATCTTAAAGATAAACTTGCAGAAATTGGAGTAACACCGAAATATTTGAAAACAGTATGCCGGAGGTTGACCTTTCCCCAGAAAGAGAAACACATAATGGCACCAAAAGAGGTCCTGCAAGAAGACTATATTTTATCGGATGAAGAACTTGCTAAAGAAACACCTGTGTTAAGTAAAAGTATTCAAAATCTCTTAGAAATCCTTTCCAAAGAAGAAATGGCTAATTTGAGGTCTGCGTTGAATAAGAAGATCCAAGGCTCTGTTTCAAAGAGACTTTCAGAGATAGAAGTGATTACAGAGAAAGAGTTACAAGAAATACTCAAACACTTCTTTCCAATTGTGGCCAAAGAAGTATCATTAAGGGGGGCTGAAGAATCCAAAAAAGGGCAAACAATACCTCCCTTAACCCAAAATCTGCATGACAGGTTTTCAGAAGAAGAACTACACAATCTAAAGACTCTCTTAGGCAGACTTCTGCAAGAAGACCACAAAGAAGAGCTTTCAGAATCAGAAGTAAAAGGTTTAAAATCAGTTTTGCAGAAAAGCATTGAGAATCTTCCCACACATCCTGGAACTGAGATGAAGAAAGGAGCAGAGATAAAGGATAAAAGTTGTCATATACCTTTAACAAATGCTGAAGAAGATTTGAAAACTAACGATGTAGTTGTATCGGACAGAGGCAAAGAGCATTCAAAGGAAAGTCTTCATGAAACTTCAGAACCTGATGAAAAATATGGTATAAAAAGAGAAACACTAGACTTGTTTGCAGACAATATTTTTGAAGTAGAAACAAGGAGCCAAGAAACTCAGACTTCATTCCTCCCAAAAAGAGCGAAACATAGTTCTAAGAGAGAAAGCCACAAGTTGCCACCTTGTCCTGAAAATCCAGAGATGCCACTTTTAAAGAGGAGGTCCTTTGAAGCAGGATTGAAAAACAAACCATCTGGTGAAGTTATGAAGAGAGTATCTGAACCATTTGCTTCCTCATCTTTTTTGAGTGCACATGATATTGGTGTACAAACTGAAATGAGAAATTATCTTGGCAAGCCAAATTACTACACCAAACCTTCCTTTCCAGTAAACCCTCAGACGTTTCTTCTTTTACATTCAGAGTCTGAGGATGATGCAAAGGCGCCGTGTAAATATCATCACAAACCCAAAAGCAAGAGAAAGTCTGACAGAAAGAGAGACCCAGGGCCACCTCGTTCACACCAATCAGCGGGTAGTGCACACAAGAAAGAAAAATCAAGTAGTGGAAGTTCATCTAAGGAGATTTTAAAAGAAAAAGTCAGAAGACATGGTGAAATATCTTCCCCAAAATCAAGAATGACAGAAAACAAGAAGGATTTTAAAGTCCAACTCTCTCCTAGTACTATGAAAAAGGAGAGCGCAAAGCAGAGGGCGGAAAGGAAACGTTACCAGGAAATAAAACCCAGAAGATCTAGCAAGAGCTCTACCCTGTCTGAACTACATCTACCAAAAAATCTTCCAACTTCTGGGCATACAAAAGGAAATACATTGGTAAGAATATTATTGGAATTCTGTTTAAAAATATGGACTATAGACTATTTTACTTATATTTACAACTTATAGGCTAGGGCCATGAAAGATGGTTGTAAATATAAATTTAAACTTTGAAGAAACATAACAGCCATAAATACCTTGAAGTCACCAGATCTGGTCTGATCTTGGAAGCTAAGCAGAGTCAATTCTGCATAGTTCTTGGTGAGAGGCCACCAATAAATGGCAGGTGGTCTGGACTATATTGCAGAGGAAAGAACAGGCAAAACCACCTCTAAGGCCCCTTCTACACTGCCCTATAAAATTCAGATCATCTGCTTTGAAACGGATTATATGGCAATGTAGACTCAGATAATCCAGTTCAAAGCAGATAATGTGGATTATCTGATTTGATAATCTGAATTACATGGCGGTATAGAAAGGGCCTAAAGTATTCCTTACCCATGAAAACCCTTTTAAATCCATGGGACCTCATAGGTTTACCAGCAACTTGAAGGCAACATCTGTATACACATACCCCTATAGAGCAGGAATGGAAAATGCCTCCCACAGGGCATTTTTATGGTTCCTAGGTCCCACCAAGACTGTTTTGCTCCAAATGTTCTTTTCTTCCAAATTGCCCCCCAGAATCCCTATAGGGCTTTACTATATAAACAAGGTTTGGAAATCTTTTCTTTATTTCTTATGTACTATAGTTGATTTTTGTGTAGTTTCCTATAGCTACTCCATGTGGGTTCAACATAATCTGTGCCTTCCTGCCTGGTCAAATGGGATTGTCCTTTGGGGGTCTTTTCCAACTGTAGTGAAGTATAGACTGCTTGGGGAGCCAGTGGAGTCATCTTCTGTGGAGATTTTTGAACAGAGTCTGTTGGGAGGACAATGACTGTGTCTTCCTGCCTGGCTGAAGGGGGCTGGACTGGATGTCCTTTAGRGGTCTTTTCTTCCTCCTTTTTTTCTTCCTCCCCCAGCTGCTGTTTAGGCTGCTGCCATCAGAAGGTGAGGCAGAYAGCCAAGGACAATCAGTAGGTGGAAGGGACTTGGGCTTGGGCTAGGTTTGCCCAAGTGGTTATCGCCTCTGTTGTTGCTCCTGTGGCCAACWTGCTACTTCCAAGTAGTAGCCACTATTTGTAAGGATGGAGTTAGGTAGGCAGGGGGTATTTTTCATGCAATACACTTGTGGACTACAGGCAACACAGTAGTATGTCACGACACACAGTTTGGAAAGCTTTGCTCTAGGGCAGGGGTCCTCAAACGTTTTAAACAAAAGGCCAGGTCACAGTCCCTCAAACTGTTGGGAGGGCTGGATTATAATTTGAAAAAAACATGAATTTACATGCACACTGCACATATCTTATTTGTAGTGCAAAAATACTTTAAAACAATACAATAATTAAAATGAAGAACAATTTTAACAAATATAAACTTATTAGTATTTCAATGGGAAGTGTGGGCTTGATGAGATAGAATGGTTGTGGTTGTTGTTGTTGTTTTTGTTGTTGTTGTTGTTGTTGTTGTGTGCTTTCAAGTCATTTCAGATTTAGGTTGACCCTGAGTGAGGGCCAGGTAAATGATCTTGGAGGGCCATATCCGGCCCATGGGCCTTAGTTTGAGAACCCCTGCTCTAGGGAGTGCAGACAACATTCCAAGATTAAAAACATGGTTCCAAAATGGCCTATCAGGATGTGGGGGCTTTTCATTATTGTTTGGACCCACCCGGAGCCCTTTTTAAAAAACAGAAATGGGAGAACTGACTTCTGTTCCGTGTCTGTTGAATAAATGCCTCTTTTGTGCCTCAAATGGTCTAGGAAAACCCCAAAACATACTGAAAATGCCCCCTTGTGATTTTTTTGGGCAGCTAATGTGGCCAAGATGAAGTACTTTGGCCACATAATGAGGAGAAAGGAAAGCTTAGAGAAGACAATGATGCTGTGGAAAATGGAAGGAAAAAGGAAGAGGGGCTGACCAAGGGCAAGATGGATAGATGGTATCCTTGAAGTGACTGGATTGACCTTGAAGGAGCTGGGGTGGTGACAGCTGACAGGGAGCTCTGGTGTGGAATGGTCCATGAAGTCACGAAGAGTTGGAAATGACTGAACGAATGAACAAAAACAATGTGGCCCACTATCCTTCCATAGGTGTCCACCCCTGCTATACAACCTACTTACCCTTTGATAGTCTATGTCTTTGGTGGGGAACCTACAGTCTAAGGGCCAACAATAATCTGAGTGCACTGCATTGCCTCAACCCCCTTGCTTGCTGATTTTTAACTCCTGTGCATTCTTAAGCTATTTTCTAACTCAGGTTCTCAGCCTCAAATTGTGCCACGTTTTCTTGACAACAGAATTGGCTGAATTTTTAGAACCCCAGTTGCTTAAGATTTCACTGGGCAAAAGTATCCTTAAGTTTCCTTTAAGGATCTTGCACTATTTCTTGGCCTGGTTCTATTCTTAGTTGTTGATATATTTGTAAGGTTATGAGTAGGAGTCACAGGAGTTTACATGCTGTAGTAGCTTGTTAGATACAAGATTGTAGCATTCTGGGAGATACAATCATTTTTCACATTCAGATACTATGAATGTGAAAAATGAAATGGCGTGAGCCACATTAAAGTCAGTGTCTAGTACAGTGGCAGCACTACCATAGAATCATAGAGTTGGAAGAAACTGCAAGGACCATCCAGTCCAACCCTCTGCTATGCAGGAACACATGATCAAAGCAGGGTTGTTTCCATCAGTGCTGGATAGAATGATGGAACTCCCCTTTAAAATTCAGACTAACCCTAAGGGAAAGCAGTGTGACAGCCCATGGGCCCCCATACACCCAAAACCAGGTTGTGAAGGCTGGGAATTCCCCTGGAGCTAGTTTATGGGTGGCATGGAAAGTTGCACAGAGTAGGGAAAAAATATGCTGTGTGGGTGGGTGAGTGCAAACCACTGTTAGATATGAGCTGTGAAAGCCTATTAAATGAGAGGGGAGAATCTTTCTACCCTTTTACCCCCCATCAGACTGCAAGTTGCAATAGATAAATACCAAACAAATAAAAGTTGATAAAAATGGGAATACTAAAAGCTGATTTATGACAACATTTATTGTAAAGTTTATGGTGATCATTGTTACGATTATACAAACAAACTGTCTGCTTTTATTTTGATATTCAGGTTCCTGCAGGCACAGACGATATGGATATAGAAGCATACAAGCATCTTGAAAAAGCCATTGAAAGGGCTCTTGTTGATTTGGGAAGAATACCAGACAGTAGCTCCCTCCAGGGAAGGCCAAGCACTGCTCCAGTAGCTGTTGCCCTTGCGCCTAGAGATTCATCCCGATCTTTCACCAATCTAATTGAGACTCCAAGGAATCAAGCCGGGTCAATATCTGAGATGCTTCATAATCAGGAGCAGATTTTAAAAATGACACCGGAACAATTGGAAATAGTCCTTAAGATTCTTCAAAAGGTGTTGAGTCAGAACACAAGACCGCCGGATAATGAATGAATGGAAACCATCTGTGCTTGAACCAGTTGCTATTTTTCCCCAGGTGTAACGAAAAATAAAACCCTCCCTGAATGTAATTTTTGTAGCTTGGGATGTTTTAAAACTTACTTGCAACCCTTCCTAGAATCAAAGAACCTAAAGAAGGTGTGCAAGAGCTGATAGCCTTAGTGCAGTACACTTTACTTTGGGATACCTCTGTTCCAAGTCTGGAATCTCCAATTAGCATCAAGACTAGTTACATGATCATCTAGGAGTGAGCATATTATATCTATATCAAAGCCAGTCCACTGGTTGCCAATTAGTTTCTGGGTAAAATACAGAAAGTTGGTCTTGACCTTTAAAGCTCTACATGGTTTGGGTCCAGATTACCTACCAGGTTGCCTTCTCCCACACAATCTGCTCCTTAGGACTCTGAGGTCCTCTTGAGGCGTCTACTCCAACCAGTCTAGAAATGGGAAGATCTGGAAAAACGAGGAAAAATTGGGAAAAAACAGGAACCCCCCCCCCCAAGTTTTCAGTATTTTTTTTCCCAGGCCTTCCCATCTCTAAATCAGCCAGAACCCGATTGGCGACTGTCAGCCAAAAGACATTTTCATTGGGACCCCCACGACTGTGGAAGAGATTTAACAGCTAGATCTGCTATCAGAATTTAAGAGATAACTGAAAAGGTAGAATTTAAGAGACATCTATCTCTTCCAGCAGGTCTACCCAATTTTTAAACTATTTTTAAGTTACGTCACGTCTTAAGTCTACTGTATTTTTGTTCTATTTTGATACGCACATTTTATAGGAATATTTTTAAAAATATGTATTTTATTGACTATTTTTGTGATTCTGTGTTTTTAACTATTGTGCCCCCTTTGAGCTGTGGGGAAAGGTTGGTAAGAAATATGTTGTTGTTGTTGTTATTAACAAAAATTACTAAGGTGTTGTATGGCTTCTGGGCTGTATGGCCATTTTCTAGAAGCATTTTCTCCTGATGTTTCACCTGCATCTGTGGCTGGCATCTTTAGAGGATCATTACTATTGTAAAAATACATATAGTACAATTTTCTCTTTTAAAAAAATGATGAAAGATGCAAGAACTGCTGGAAGAGATTTCAACATATGAACTATGTCCTAATCTGCACATCAGCTCTAGTTTCTGATACAGAACATATACCATCCAGTAGTCACCATCTGCTTGCTCACAGAAAACCATATTTAATAAGCCTCGGCATTACAAGAGGGTTTTCTGAGACCAGTTGCTCTTGTTGCAACCGTGTAGTAACGGTGAGGCAGCGGACCATATTTTAGTCCTTGTGGACCACTGGTGGTCCATGGACCTCAGTTTGGGAACCACTGATGCATAGGCATTAAAGACTAATTTTAAAAAGCAAACACAAACCAATTTTTATATCACATTTCATCCCCAAAGCAGCCAAAATGACCCACAACCTGCTTCACATGTTGTATCCCCAGTGCAGTCTTATGTCAACTTATTAGGAAACATAAAAGAAATTAAAATGACAAGATATTAACTCAAATATCTTTTTTAAGTAAGTGCATTTTATTCCAGTTATATTTATCAGTACTGGGTTGGCAAAAGATGGCTAATATAATTTTACTTCAGTAGTTTCCTATCAGAAGGACACTTATGATGCTAGTTGTATCACATTTGATATAATTTGTGAGGTTACACACTTAAAAAAAATTACCTAACATCTGTTTCACGGGATTAAATAAAATGTACATTAATAAAATATAATTCTTAATATCCCAATTCCCAGTTGTATGCTGTACACAGAATATGGGTTTAGGTTAAGTTAATATTTGTTCGGTCATTCACAGTGCTACAACAAAAAGCCCATGTTTTGCCAGTTTGGCATTTTTATTTTCAATTATTTCAGTCAATTGAACTTTTCTTCTTAATTGAAGGCACATCAAAAAGTCAAAATACAACCTTGATTTATAATACATTATTTTCCCTAATTGTGTTTGTGGTAGCAGACTTCTAATAGTCATGACCAGCTGGAATTATTGTATCCATCTTTTTTTACTCGACAGAGTATTATTGTCAGTTTTATAGATTCTTTTTGCTACATTAGTCCTACAAAGGCACACTTGAAACACTCAACTTAAAACACTGCCATTTTTAAAGGCTAGCTAGATACAAGTCCTCATTAGTGATATTTCAAGTAGTATCATAGCTGTGGACTAGTTAGCAATATATAAAGAACGTGATCAAATAATTTCATTCTCCTATTTTCATTAACATTAGGTGTATTAGGTTTCCTAGGTTAGGTTGTGCAAGAGATGCTTTGCATTAAAAGATCACAGCTATTTATTCCAGATTATAGTAATAGTTACTCCAGATATTGTAGGACATGGCAGAAGAGCCCCTGAAGACTCAGGGATATGCACCGTGCCATCTTCTCAAAGGTAAGTGAAGGCACAACTTTCTAAAAACACTGAAAAGATGGTTGGTATGGAAATTAACAGCATACTAAAAATAATAACTAGAACAGAAACAGTATTTCAGATACGAATAGCATAGATATTATCGTATGCCTCAGTAAGGAAGACTTATAAGAGAGGTACCACTACACTTTGGGTGTAGAAATATATAAAAAATATGCTTCACAGCATATGGACAAGTTTACTATTCAAGAAATAAAGTCAATTCACATAGTACCATTTGGGGATTTTTTTTCCTTCCTCAATTTAATCAACTATACACATATTTAATATTTTCAAGTATAGCACAAATATTTGTATTTTTAAAAAGCAAAGCAGCCAAAAAAAAAAAAATCACATTTTTACACAGAGATGCCAGAGGTAATTTTTGGTATCTTTAGAATTCCCAATATGTCTCTCTCTCTTTTTGCAGACTGTATCCAGATTCACGCCGGATGGCTGCTGGATGTACCACTGCTGATATCTGTGACTGAGTGTCCCGGATGGCAGGAGGCAACAAGGAAAGCATTGAGCCCTTTGTTTGTTCTTTGACCTGAAAGGAGAGAAAACAGGAACTGGAATGTTGAATTTGTATCCGCAGAGGAACTAAAACAATTGAAAACTGATCCAAACAAATTGTGATATCCTCGAATGGGTGGAGCATTCAGGTACTTAGCAGAGAAAGAGGCAATCTTCCACACTGCCTCTATATCCCAGGATTTGATCCCAGACTACCTGCTTCTCCCAGATTATCTGGCAGTGGAGACTCATATAATTTGGGATTAGATCCTGGGATATAGGGCAGTGTGGAAGGGTCCTGAGTTAACTCCTACTGCCTGCCGAAACTCACATGACCTAAAAGTGAGCTTTAACCCACCAAATCCCTGACCTCTTCCCCGTTCTGACTCCCTTCAGAACAAAACAGCTATTCTTAACTCCTTCTCAACATCATATATTTTCTCATCTTCTTTAGCTTTCTTTCACTTCCTGCTATTTTTCATTTATTTTAATCTAAAATGCATTTTCTCTATTTTATTGCTGGTTGTTTCTCTCAACTATTTTATCTGCCCGTGACTTCTAGCAAATACAACTTCTAACTGCAGTGATACCTTGGGTTAACTGTTTAATTTGTTCCATGACCAAGCTCTTAACTTAAATGCTCTTATCTCAAAGTGAATTTTCCCATTGATGCTATTAATCTGTTCTGTCTCCTGAATCTCGCCTTCATTTTTGCTATGTGCAAGAAAATACACATTCACAATAAAAAAAAGGTCAACTTTCAAATGGCAGAATCACAAAGTTGTGGCACTGTGGTAATAATTATAATAATAAACTTTATTTGTATACCGTCCTATCTCCCAACAGGGACTCAGGGCGATTTCAAACATGTAAGGCAGAAGCGCAAAGTGAAGAGACGGAAGCATCATTTTCTTCATACTGGACCCATTGTAGCCTCTCTAGCCCTCTCTCTCTCTCTTCATAAAGCCAAACATACCAGGAATAAAAACCACACAAAATCAACTAAAATCAGACTGCCACCTGACCACAATTACACTCCAAGGATCTTCAGATTTAAATAGTCTGTACTCCGAGTTCACAATCTTTTTCTATGCCAAAACTCTGGACATTATCTTTAGCTTCAGATAGTTCTTTTGATTAAATGTGTAAGAAACTCACTTGCTTGAAGAAAGCATGTGACAGTAGACCTCTTGCTGATGGCCTAGATCCCAACGAAGGAAAAAAAAACACAAAGCTTATCATGTAATCATTTAACAATTTCATCTCTTCTAACAATGTTCTCACCAAGCATAAAGGTAAAGGTTTCCCCTTGACATTAAGTCTAGTCTGACTCTGGGGTGGTGGTGCTCATCTCCATTTCTAAGCCAAAGAGCTGGCATTCTCCGTAGACTCCTCCAAGGTCATGTGGCTGGCATGACTGCATGGAGCACTGTTACCTTCCCACCAACACGGTACCGATTGATCTACCCACATTTGCATGTTCTCAAACTACTTGATTGGCAGAAGCTGGGGCTAGCAATGAGTGCCCACCCCGTCCGGCGGATTCGAACCGCCAACCTTCCAGTCAGCGAGTTCTGCAGCTTAGCAGTTTAATCTGCTGTGCCATCAGAGCCCCAACACCAAGCATAACAGATCAGAAAATCAAGCAAAAGCTTTCCTACTTGGTTAAAGGACTTAATATTTTCAAACATCACATTAACACTGCAGAAAATGTATGTTTTTTTCCAGACTCTTCAAGCATATGGATAACTTCAAAAGAAGTTCTTTCAACCAGTTAAATAATATAGTTGATTTCTCATTTGATATTGTTAAGGTCAACTGAAGTGGATTTGCACAAGAACATGGTGTCTATAGTTTTTGAGAGTAACTGTATTTAAACACACCACCAGAAGGAACAATGACCTCTTATTTTGTTTTCATTCCTAGGTTCAATGAAACATCATAATAAAAGGGGCTTAAAAAAAATAAAAAGCATGGCTTTCATTCCCAGCAGTCAACTTTTGTTTTTCATGTTTGGAGCGACTTGAGAAATTGCAAGTCGCTTCTGGTGTGAGAGAATTGGCCATCTGCAGGGACATTGCCCAGGGGATGCCCAGATGTTTTACCATCCTGTGGGAAGCTTCTCTCATGTCCCTGCATTGGTCAGTAGTTCAACCAGTACAAGGGTTTAACCCATTCTACCACTGGGGGCTCCTGGCAATCAACTAAAAATTGCATTGTATAATATCCACTTGCAGCGGTCCTGACTTTTCTAGTATGGAATGTTGATATCCCCCGTTTTCCTCTTCCTTCCTCAGAGTAACATGTAAAGACAGCATGATACAACATTAGAGGAATCCTTTCTTGGCTTTCCATTCCACTATGTAGATTACTATTTGCAAAAGTATAGAACAGGGTACTATACTCTTCTGTGTGCAAATACTACAGGTATGTATGGTGTCCTTCCCATTGATAAAATTAAAGATGGGGTGTGCACAAATAACTTTGTTTAAGTATACCACATATTTAGCTAATCTGACAATTGTTTATCACACACTGCTCTGGATTCTTACAAAATAATCTATTCAACATGGAATATCGCATCCTGGAATTTTGGACCTTAATTTTGAAACCAAAATATATCTAGCTAAGGTTAAGAGAGACTTCACAATCATTTGGAAAAGGCCAGGTCAAATATATGTATTTACAATACACATTTTCTTTAAAATCCATGCAAATGTAATTTAATTTTATAACACTTATTTATTATTATTTATTTATGACATTTATATGCTGCCCTTCTCACCCAGAAGGGGACTCAGAGTGGCTTACAAGATATATATACATACAATATATATTATATTATTAGCATAGTACAATATCAGTATTATATATTATTATACTGTACTATACCATTATATTGTAACATTATTATTAATACTACATGTAATACAAATATACAATTATAATACTGTATTATTATTATAAGTATTGTATTACATTATAATATAAATATTATATGTATATACAATATATATACAATATATTATTAGTAAATCACACTTATAATGTAATTGCAGTTTACTTTGACAGAATTACCTTTTTTCTGGGTCTTGATGCAAACAGAGTTCTATCAAGTTGTGGAAAGCAGGGGAAAAGGTTTTTGGCGGTGTCTGCAGTCTCTCACTTGTCAGTGTGTGGGTCATGCTTTCACCAATCCCAGAGTCGATCCCTGAACGTGAATTTTTTATCCTGGATTCCCCACGCGGAAAAGTATTCATCACCCAGGGAAAGTAAGAGGGGCCTTTAAGCTTCTGTAGTAGCATCTGGTGGAAAGATTGGGCCAATACAAAATATCAAATGAATGGCTTATCCCACATTAGGGAAGCATTACCATACTTCTTCAGTTCTAAGAAACCGCTGATTGTAAGACGTGCACTAATTGTTTACCACCAACAAAAAAAAACTTTATTAATATATATAAACAAGCATCCATTATTCTAAGACACAGGCCTTTTTAGAGATGTTTATTGAGGGGGGAGGGTAGTAAATCTTAGAATGGAAGAAATAGGGCAAGTTATGACTATATAAATGTTCACCTGTTGATTTTTGGATCAATAGTATTATCCTAGTAAGAAAATGGCTTGAGGAGGGGAAACAATGCCCGAATGTTCAACTCTTTCCTTTATCTCCGTTGCATCAATATCCTATTCATACTTTGGTCATGGTTTGACATAGCTGCAGCGTCAGCTGAGGCGAACAAAGCCAACAGAGAGAGGAACTGCTTCCTGGACTCTTCATATGGCCATTTAAGGATTAGACCAGGAACTTAGTAGCATAAGAGGGCACAAAGCCTATTCAAAAGAATACTTCCTCAACAGGTAGGCATGTTTATATTGGTTTCCAGCCATACCTCTTATACTTCTTTTAAATGGTGTAAGAAAAAGTATGTTAAGACACTGTCATCAACATCCTTCTCTCAGCTCAGCCCTTGTAATACATTTTATAAACATCATAGGAGGCTGAGGTACCAATGCATTAGATTAGTGAGATGTTCAAAAAGTACAAAGTGAACTGTTTCTGCATATCAGTATTTCATATTTCATTTCCATTAAAGAGATATACTTAACCAACAAATGGAAAAATTATGTCTTTTACCTGTGTGCGAGGCATATCTTGAAAAGGTACATGGCCATTAGCTAATTCACAAGCTGTAATGCCCACGCTATAGATGTCGGACTTCACATTATAGCCATACATATCCTAGAGGAAAAAATATCTGGCTGATACATGTAACTGGTCAACAGCTGCTGATATATACATAGGAATTCAAAAGAAGGTATGTATATAAAAACAATATTGAAAATATTCTTGAAATGCTATTATTTGTCTCTTTATTTATAGGTCTTTATTTGCTTTTATTTATTAACTTATATTGTTGAAGAAGGGATCGTCTAAAAATGAGAAATTTGCTACCTCTCATCTCTTAAGGTTACCATTCTTAAATTTATACAATGCAGGGCCTTTTGAGTATAATGCTGATTAAAATATACAGAATTAGTTTCTTGTGTTGTGTTGTTGAAGGCTTTCATGGCCGGAATCACTGGGTTGCTGTGAGTTTTCCGGACTGTATGACCATGTTCCAGAAGCATTCTCTCCTGACGTTTTGCCCACATCTATGGCAGGCATCCTCAGAGGTTGTGAGGTGTGTTGGAAACTAGGCAAGTGAGGTTTACATATCTGTGGAATGTCCAAGGTGGGAGAAAGAACTCTTGTCTGCTTAAGGCAAGTGTGAATGTTGCAATTGATTTCCCCCAGGCAGGAAGCAGCCAGGCTTTGAAGCTGCAAGGCCATTCAATGCTAATCAAGGTGGCCAATGGCAACATTCACATTTGCCTCAAGCAGACAAGAGTTCTTTCTTCCACCCTAGACATCATTCTACAGATATATAAACCTCACTGGCCTAGTTTCCAAACAGACCTCACAACCTCTAAAAATGCCTGCCATAGATGTGGGCAAAATGTCAAGAGAGAATGCTTCTGGAACATGGCCAGACAGTCTGGAAAACTCACAGTAACCCAATGGGGGAGAAGAGTTGCACTTAACATTACTAAACCCTGTGATTTCTGTGGCAACTTACAGTCTAATACACTAGGTCACATACATGTAAAACCCAAGATCTGCAGGCTGAATCTGGCCCATCCTGTCCTTTTATGTGGCTCTCCAGGTGCCAGATAACAACCCAGAATTAGTTTCTTTTCATTAAAATGTGTTCATATTTAAAGCAATTGGAAACATATACTGTTTGATAGTAAAATATGTTGTCTTGTGGTGTGGTGAGTCTCCTTTGGGGGTTTTTAAGCAGAGCCTGGATGATCATCTGTTGGGGGCACTTTAACAGTGTATTTTTGCAGGGCAGAAGGGGATTGGATTAGATGGCCCTTGTGGTCTATTTTAACTGTAGGGTTCTATATCAAAGCCAAACTGGCGAAATTCAACATCGTATAAGTAAACTCTTCCCCCTCTAGCCCATGCCTTCCACATCGGCTGGAAAGGGCTCACATGAAGAAAAACAAGGTCTGATGTAGTTCGAATTTTAATGAAATGTTTTCAAAAACAAGAGCAAAGAATAAAAGAAAAGGCTTTAATTTATCAATATTCGTTCCTTTCGTGCAAATGCAAACTTTGATCTAATATGTACATATAGTAAGGCAATCCACAGTTGGATATAGTATATACTGACCTGCCTTAGTAGTTCAGGGCTCAGCCAAGGAAGCATTGATGTACTGAACTGGGGGAAGTCATACACAGCTTTTAACCGCTGTCCATTGCTGACTAAGCTCTGAAGGTGGTTCAAGCCAGAGAGGTAAACTAGACCATCCCCTGAGATCAGTACGTGGCTGGCTTTGAAACTTCTGAAGAGAAAAAGAACAATAATATTGAACTTGGAAAAACAAAAACAAAATATAATACTACGATATGTGATGCAGTATCATGCCAAAAGGGCAGAATCTCCAGTCGGGATGTATAATGTGCATGAATCTTTATGCTGATTTTTGATTGCAATAAAGACGACGGAATGGACAAATATCAGATATGATCATGCAAATAGCGGAGGAGGTTAAAATGAATTGAAAAGGACGAAGCAATCACTCAACTTTATCCCCATCTGACACTTTTCCATACCCCTTTTAAGAAGTACCTGTGTATGTACCCATGTTGGTGCATATAGCTTAAGCCACTAATTGCTCCGAACAGAATATTTCCAATCAAAATTTCACTCATGCCTTCAGGGAAGTAAGTTCTCAAGAGATGACTGGCTGAACCTAGAAAAGATGTATAACACTTAAAATAGTTTTACAGAATTATCCTTATATTTTCCTCTAATATTTAATAAAATGTGAACCAACATTTTGATCTCTTGCTACATGTCACAAGAAAAACAACGTATGGGCAATTCACAATACATTGTGCATGATCAAAGGTGGTTCCAATATACTATGAAGGATCCAAACACAATTCTTGTGTCATACAGTATCTGATTGGTGCTCCTAAAATATTTCCATCTTAAAAGAACTGTTGATTCAGATAACAAAAAAAATCTCAAATTGAATAAGAGTATTTATCTCCCTTATTCTCTTTTATTTAAATCTGTGCTTTGCAGGCTTATCTTATAGAAGTGCCAAGCAGTTACCTTATTTTTCCCATTGTTCCAGGGACTAGCACCAGATTTTTGCCTATTGACTACAATTGTTTTTTACTTTCCTGGAAACTCTCCAGCAACTGGCATTAGGGACTGGCACTAGTCCAGGGACCACTAAATAGCACTGGCTTAGATGGTTTCACTCATTAAGTTAGTTAGATGCTAAGGGTAGAAGCTACTGAAATGTCTCCCTCACCTATTGTTATCTATATATATAAAAATGTAATGTTCATTTGTGGGATTAACAGAACTCAAAAACCACTGGACAAATTGACACCAAATTTGGACACAAGACACCTAACAACCCAATGTATGTCCTTCACTCAAAAAAAATGATTTTGTCATTTGGGAGTTGTAGTTGCTGGGATTTATAGTTCACCTACAATCAAAGAGCATTCTGAACCCCACCAACAATGGGATTGAACCAAACTTGGCACACACTTCTCCCATGACGAATAGAAAATACTGGAAGGGTTTGGTGGGCAGTGTCCTTTGGTTTTGGAATTGTTGTTCACCTACATCCAGAGATCACTGTGGACTCAAACAATGATGGCTCTGGACCAAACTCTACATGAATACTCAATATGCCCAAATGTGAACACTGGTGGAGTTTGGGGAAAATAGGATATTGAAATTTGGGAGTTGTAGTTGCTGGGATTTGTAGTTCACCTACAATCACAGAGCATTTTGAACCCCACCAATAATACAATTGGGCCAAACCACCCACACAGAACCCCCATGACCACCAGAGTGGGCCACAGCAACGCGTGGCAGGGGACAGCTAGTTTCTTAATAAAAGAACCTGTAGTTACATTTGAAAGCTCAATTCAAAGCTTGTGTACTTACATTTGAAAGCTCATGGAAATCGTGCAATCTAAAAACTCTAGTCTGCTAAGAGCTAACAATGTGATGCAGCAGCTAAATAATCAATGGGATTTTGGCCTGCATCAATAGGAGAATAGTGTCTAGATCCAGGGAAGTCACTCTATGTCTCTATTCTGCCTTGGTTAGACAACACCTGGAATATTGTGTCCAATTCTGGGCACCACAACTGAAGAGAGATGTTGACAAGCTGGAATGTGTCCAGAGGAGGGCGACTAGAATGATCAAGGATCTGGAGAACAAGCCCTACGAGGAGCGGCTTAAACAGGTGGGCATGTTTAGCCTGAAGAAGGCTGAGAGGAGACATGATAGCCATGTATAAATATGTGAGGGGAAGTCATTGAGAGGAGAGAGCAAGCTTGTTTTTTGCTGCCTGGAGATTAGGATGCGAAACAATGGCTTCAAACTATAGGAAAGGAGATTCCACTTGAACATTAGGAAGAATTTCCTAACTGTGAGAGGTGTTCAGCAGTGGAACTCTCTGCCCCGGAGTGTGGTGGAGGCTCCTTCTTTGGAGGCTTTAAACAGAAGCTGGATAGCCATCTGTTGGGGGTGATTTTCCTGCTTCTTGGCAGAGGTTTGAACCGGACAGCCTGCAAGGTCTCTTCCAACTCTATGATTCTAAGGGAAGATAATTAAGCCACTATGCATTTTGCAAATATGATACTTACTATAGGCCATGAAAGGAGAAATAATCCAAAGCCAGCTTCCAGCAGTGAACATTGCACAAAAAGTCAAGATATTAGGATGGTGAAAGGAGTGGGATAATATAACTTCATTCTGGAGAAATGAATAGTAATTTTGATAATTCAATGGGCAGCGAACACTTCACATACATATATCCTTTTACTAATAGTCATCTAAAACAATCCCTGAGCAAGAATGGAAATTTGTGACTGAAAATAATTGCAGTTGCAGAAATGTAAGCTCAAACAATATGAAAAACAATTATTACATATGCTCATAAGTTTCTAAACCTCTTAGCATATTTAGAATTAGCATATCTTTGAAAAATGTATGGTTTTAAAACTGTATTCTCCTAAACTTGTTACTTCAACAAATATTTAAGGTATTAAACATCTTGTTTACTTGTAAAGCTTTCAAGTGCTCTTCAGAACATCTTTCCAGATCTGTAATCCTTACGGCCACCAAGGTTCCTGTAGGAATATGACGTGCGAGGTAGATTGAAGTTAAATTGTTGCACCCCTTTCCTATTAGCAAAAGAAAGAAAAAAGAGGGACAATGGATTTGTGCAATGTTTGTTATCTACTGCTTCAACATTTAGTATTCAAACAATCCTAAATATTCCAGGTAGTTTCCCTACTAGGCTTGAGTGCGGATCCATTTTTAGCTGTTTCTCTCAGCCAATCTGGCTTCTTCAGTTTGTTTGGGCAAGGGCACATCTTGAGATTCCTGTCCAAAACAGGACCACGTGGTAGCCGATTTCAGCTCCTCCTCCCCTATTTGGCATCACAGTTTAATCTTTTTTATTTTCCTTTATTTTCTTGATTCTCTTTATGTAGTGGGACTGACTGGGAGTTGGGGACATATGGGACGGTGTATGGGGGCCTGGGAGAGTCACCCTTTTCGCTTTTTTTTCTCCTTCCCTTCCTCTTCTTCAAATATTTCTAAATAATAATAATAATAATAATAATAAATCCCAACAAACAAAGAAAACCCTAATTCTCTGAAAACTACTACTACCTAGTTAGCTCTCCTCTAGAGTATATAGAAACAACTTTTAAGGAAGCATTAAACCCGAACCAGAAAACAGAAAGGAGATTGAAGTGTGGCCACTCAAGACAGGGCCTGCAGGAGAGGGGGGAAAGGGTTTTTTATGGAAGCCCAGGGAAGATAGCTCCAGGTCATTGCTCTTCCTTCCCTTGGCCTCCTTAAAATACCTTGGAAAGCTGTGTGAGGTGCTGCAGGGAGATAAAGCACATGCCTGCCTGCAGCATCTCTCCTCTAGAGTAGAAACAGCTTTAACGAAGCATAAAACCTGGTCTCCTCTACAGACAGAAGGGAAAGAATCTCAGAAAGAGTGGTATCTTAACTCTGATGCTTTTAATCCAGGTGTTAATGAAGGATGTGGAAGGGGAGCCTGTGGGAAGTCCCCCCCCCCCCATAATGGGCCAGATGGGGTGTTTTCTTAACCCCGTTGTTGACACTCTTGAAGGAAAAAAGAAAAGGCTCCCAGGAACAGAAAGGGGAGCCTCATAAATTCCCCACTGCACTACAGCAGCTTTTGAAAATATACCATGTCAGCACTTACAGTTCTAAAACTATAAAAGACCAAAATGACACTTCTGGGTTTCAGGAAACCAAGCAGTCAAATGGAGCCAGATTAGATGCAGGTAGGCTTGGCAATTCCAGAGACCCAATGAGAATAAATCACATGCCCCCCCCCCCCCCTGAAAAACTAAAGAAAAAGAAAAATGTTGTGACTGCAGAGTCTTTTCAAGTTCAATTTTCCTTCAAAAGAAAGTGTATGCTCCCTGCATCCCTTCTTTAACCGAGTAATTGTGCTTTATTTTGATGCTGCCACCACACTGAATTTGGTAGCAGGAGCTGCTACAAAACTGGGTGAGTGCAGTTCTGGATTACAACAAGCACAAGTTAAGGAAGATTTTAAATAAACCTGAATGCTTTACAAGTACTGTCTGGAGTTGGCAGTGAATAGAATTCTAGATTTTTTTAACACTGCAGAACAATACAAAATAAGGCAGGAAGTGTCATTTTATTCACACCTCAAATGAATTACCTATTTCCACCTGGAGATCATAATGGGATATTTCAGAGGACCATGATATGTGTTCATCTCCTATTTGAGTCAGTTGTCCCCAAGATACAGCAGGTTCATCTGTCTGAATAGTAAAAACATCTTAACATATATTTTTAGAGTACAAAATTTGCAGGAAAACAGTATAATTTCATATAAACCTTGTAGGCTCGCTAATATTCTACTTTTGACATTTTTTCAGAAATAGTGTGATATCTTTTTATTATACCCAACTTTCCTTTTTTAGGAGAGACAAGAGTTGAATTAATGGTAGCGGGGTTATATAATATCCAATTCAGTTTGATTTTAAAAGACTTGTTATCTGCCCATAACATTTTATTCTTTTAGTCCATCAAGACCGAAGTTAAGCATCCAGTTCAGTAATACAGTATTTGACTAATGTATTCCAAAGTCTTCACACCTTAGCAATATACTCTGACTAAAAAAAGTACAGGCAGTCCCCAAACTATGAACAAGATACGTTCTGTAAGCTTGTTCTTAAGTTGAATTTATTTATAAGTTGGAACAGGTACATTTTAAAGTGTCATTCTAGCCAAATATTTATATTTTTCAGCTTTGGATAGCATAGGGAAGGGTTAACATCCTTGTGGTGTTTGTTTTCCTTTCTGTGTCTTTGTTCAGAAGATTTCATCTGACTTTCTGTCCCTGTGATCGCTGGATTTTGAAAAAAATTGGCTTGTTGTGGAAACAAGGATTGGGGATAAAACTTCAGTGGAGACACATTTTCTTTCAGGAGTTAATTTCCTTTTCAAGGGGGTAGATTTGTCGTATATACTTGACTATAAGCCGGCCCAAATATAAGCCAAGGCACCTAATTTTACCACAAAAAACTGGGAAAACTTATTTACTCAAGTGTAAGTCGAGGGTGGGAAATGCAGCAGCTACTGGTAAATTTCAAGATAAAATAGGAACCAATAAAATTATATTAATTGATGCATCAGTAGGTTAAATATTTTTGAATATTTACATAAAACTGTAATTTAAGGTAAGAGTGTCCAACTCTGATTAAACCATTATTCTAACCTTCTTCATTGTAAATGTGCTTACGTATCCTTCCTGTAATAATCGTGTAAAATAATAAATGTAATAATAATAATAAATTAAGTAATGTAAATGTAGTAATAATAGAGTAAAATAATAAATTTAATAATAATAATGATAACAATAATAGAGTAAAGTAATGTAAATGTAATAATAATAGAGAAAATTAATAAATGTAATAAAAATAATAACAATAATAACCCAGTAAAATAATAAATAACTTTGACTCGAGGGGGGCTTTTTCAGCCTAAAAAAGGACTGAAAAACTCGCCTTATGCTCGAGTATATATGGTATCTCACTTCCTGTTCTCTCAGCCCCGCTCTTAACTGTGAGTCATTTGTAAGTTGGATGTTTGTAACTTGGGGATTGCCTGTATAGGAAACACACACACTTATAAAAGCTACATAGTATGATTAATGTAATTAAACTAAAATTCACAGTTAAATATATCAATATTATCATATTTGTTAAATATTCATGTTCACATATTTAATACTCTAATGGAAGATCAAGAAGCATTAGGAAGCACTAGGTTGCTACATATTGATACATTATTCTATACAGATCACTTGAATGATTTACTTCATCCTGTCAGTGATACCTTGATATCTATCATGACTATACAGATGATGGCAGTCATTAGTAAATAATGGGATATCAATGGCTAGATTCCATTAAATGAAAACATGGAGAAGAGGAGCAGGTATCACATGGCCTTCCAGATCTTGTTCCACTGCAAATTCTTCCAGTCAGAGACAACACAGTCAATAATAATAATTATTATTATTATTATTGCTGGGAGTCACAGTCACAACATGACTTGTGACTGCACATAACTACCAGTGCAGACGCAAATATATCGATTAACATGTCTTGTGCAAGTTGAACCAGAGCTTCAGAACCAAAGGAAAAGCTAGGGTTCCTAGTAAAGAGACAAGTATCCACTGTTTCATGTATCCACTTTCAACAAAATATATCTTCTTAGACATTTTCTGGGTCCTCCAACATGACTGTGATATTAATAGGGAGGTTAACATATCCATGTGAAATCCATGAACTCCTTATATAGCCATTGCCAAGAAAAGTTGCTCTTATTCAGACTCTTGCAGTCCTAAAAACTATTCCTTGAAGGGAACAGGCACTTTGGGATAAACACATACCATGCCAAGGTACATACGTAACATACATGCCTTTTCAAAACATGGCATTGAGAATACTAATGCTGATACAACCTAGGTTAATGTACATTTCCACTCACCAGGCCTTGACTGCTGCTAGCTTCAGACTGTTTTTCAGCTTCAATAGATTCAACTTGTGTCCGTAGAATACAGGAGCAGTCCTAGAAAAGCATAATGCTAGAGCATTAAGTGTGCATCCTATATGGTGGTTTAATAACTTTGGTGCTGGATCCTCAGTATCAAGTAGTAAAGAATCTAAGAAGACAAAACTGCCGCCACCACTACAACAGTAAACAACTTTATTTCTATCCAGCCCTATCTCCCCAAGGGGACTCAGGGCAGACCATGTCTATCTATACTAGATAAATGGGAGAATGAGCACAACTGACAATCTGGACTCATTAAATAATAAAAATATATAAATAATCTGTATTTTCTTAAAACTACAAAGTGAAGAAATACCCATACAGAGCTACACACGCTAGAAATCTTTGTATTTCTTCAATATAGAATGATATCCAGCAACTATACACTTTTAAACAGTTCCCCGATGTCATTCATCTTAGATTCACTGAAGCCTCATCCAACATGTCCCATTGCAAGGGATTCTGAAATATCAGGGCCCTTCTAGGCAGGCCCTATATCCCAGGATCTGATCCCAGGTTTTCTGTTTATCCCAGATTATCTGACAGTGGGGATTCAAATAATCCGGTTTAATGCAGAAAACTTGGGATCAGATCTTGGGATATAGGGCCTTTCTGGAAGGGCCCTGATATTTCAGAATCCCTTGCAGTTGGGACATGTTAGATGAGGCTTCAGTGAATCTGGAAGGGCCCTCGGGAAACCCAGAGAAATCCCTGCTCTGGAGATGAATAATTTATGCCAAATATAAAGGAAGCAAAGTAGTAAATTTGAAACTATTTTGTCAGATTATGTTTTAAAACAAACAAGTAAATCAGGTATCCTGCTTGAAAATCTAGTATGTGACTGTCTATCAAAGGTCAAAGATATGTTTTCCATCAGTTTTTATGGATGTTAACTGCAATTTTTTAATACTATTGATATTTAATTCTGTTTTAATGTTTGTATATTTGTAGATATTAAATTGTATTAAAAAGCTTTTAATGTAAGCCGCTTTGTGGAGGGAAAAAGCCGCTTTGTGGAGGGAAAAAGCAGGGAAAATAAACATAATAATAATAATAATAATAATAATAATAATAATAATAATATGCTTACCAAGCAAGACATGGAACTGCCTTAGTGAAGGAAAAACGTCAGGCAAACCCATTTACCCTGAAACAGAACATTAGAATAGAATCACAACCAGACTCAAATCTCAAACATCAGCTACTATTTTCCTAAACCAGAAACCGACAGATTGTTTCCCACGTAGCCAGCCTTAAATACTGCCACTCAGGTTAGAATTATTTTTTCTTGATACGTTGGATTCAAATATTACAAATTAAATAGAAGAATTAATAACATCACAACAGCGTTGCCATCGTCCCACTTAATTGGCCTATTGTGAGAAAAACAATAATAGGCCTATTGTGAGAAAACAAACACCACTGTATTCATGGCATCTCATTTCTCTATAATATTGTTCTGATAAATATAGCAATCAAACCAATGTGGAAATGTATCCAGTACATTACATACAGGTGTACAACTTTCTGACCAGGGCTAAGTTCAAACCAATTTTGCAAGTTTACCTAGTACACAATCTGTCACCCAATCCACCCTCAAGAATTTTTGCAACTCTTCTAAAGGAGTGACAAACTAATATACTTTGTTGTCATTGCTTGGTAAAAATATACCTGCAAGTACTCAAAATTAAGAACAATCTGTGACCCCTTCCACACAGCTGAAGAAAATCCTACCTTTTCTGCTTAGAACTGGGATATATGGCAGTGTGGACTCAGATAACCCAATTCCAAGCAGATATTGTGGGACTTTCTGCCTTGATATTCTGGGTTATACAGCTGTGTGGAAGGGCCCTGGGTTACCTGAATCCACACAGCTATATATTCCAGTTTGAAGCAGAAAATGTGGGCTTTTATTTAGCTGTGTGGAATGAGTATTTATCCACTGCAATCCATTTTAAAATGCTGTGATTGCCACCTGCAGAATTCTGGAGTTTGTAGTTTAGGGTGGGTCCTTTAAACTGCTCATCCTGGGCCTCCCTTCTATATTGCCATATACAATCCAGATGCTCTGCTTTGAACTGGATTATATGGCAGTGTGGACTCAGATAATCCAGTTTAAATATGTGTTTTGATAACCCCAGAAGATGCAAAGAGGAAGTCAGGATAGAGTTTTAGCCTTAGTGCCCTTCCATACAACCATATAGCCTGGAATATCAAGGCAGAAAATCGGCTTTGAACTGGGTTACCTAAGCCCACACTGCCTTATAACCCAGCTCAAAGCAGAAAATGTGGGATTTGATTCAGCTGTGTGGAAGGCTGTAAGTGTATTGTATTGTGGAAGGCTTTCATGGCCGGAATCACTGGGTTGTTGTCGGTTTTTTCGGGCTATGTAGCCATGTTCTAGAGGCATTTTCTCCTGACGTTTTGCCTGCATCTATGGCAAGCATCCTCAGAGTTAGTGAGGTCTATTGGAACTAGGAAAGTGAGTTTATATATCTGTGGAATGACCAGGGTGGGACAAACAACGCTTGTCTGCTGGAGCTAGGTATGAATGTTTCAACTGACCACCTTGATTAGCATTTGATGGCCTGGCAGTGCCTGGGTCAATCTTTTGTTGAGAGGTGATTAGCTGTCCCAGATTGTTTCCTCTCTGGAGTTTCCCTGTATTTGGGTGTTGTTTTGCTGTTGTAATTTTAGAGTTTTTTAATACTAGTAGCCAGATTTTGTTCAGTTTCATGGTTTCTTCCTTCCTGTTGAAATTGTCCACATGCTTGTGGATTTCAATGGCTTCTCTGTGTAGTCTGACATAGTGGTTGTTGGAGTGGTCCAGCATTTCTGTGTTCTCAAATAATATGCTGTGTCCAGGTTGGTTCATGAGGTGCTCTGCTATGGCTGACTTCTCTGGTTGAAGTAGTCTGCAGAGCCTTGATTCGTGTTTGGAGCCTCCGGTGGCGCAGTGGGTTAAACCCCTGTGCCAGCAGGACTGAAGACCGACAGGTCGATCCGGGGAGACGAGCTCCCTTCCCTATATCAGCTCCAGCTCCCAGTGTGGGGACATGAGAGAAGCCTCCCACAAGGGTGGTAAAACATCAAAACATCCGGGCGTCCCCTGGGTAACGTCCTTGCAGACGGCCAATTCTCTCACACCAGAAGCGACTTGCAGTTTCTCAAGTCACTCCTGATACGAAAAAAAAGCTGCATTTAGTGGTCCCTATGGAGACTTGTCCACAGCTGCATGCTATCAGTATTAAAAAACTCAAAAATTACAACAGCAAAACAACAGAGGGGAAACAATCAGGCACCTCTAATCACCTCTCAACAAAAGATTGCCCCAGGCACTGCCAGGCCATCAAATGCTAATCAAGGTGGTCAGTTGAAACATTCACACCTAGCTCCAACAGACAAGAGTCCTTTGTCCCACCCTGGTCATTCCACAGATATATAAACCCTTTTTCCTAGTTCCAACAGACCTCACTACCTCTGAGGATGCTTGCCATAGATGCAGGCGAAACGTCAGGAGAAAATGCCTTTGGAACATGGCCACATAGCCCGAAAAAACCTACAACAACCCTGTAAGTGTATTGTTTCTTATGAAAGTATTCAGATTGGTAGTCCATTAGGTGCCATTATTTCCGACGGCGCTTGCGAGCAGTCACAACTTGGCACGACCGAATAACAACAGTGTCAATAAGGAATTGTATTTGAATAGGCTGGATTTTCCCGCGCTCCTCCGAGGAGGCTCCTACCTCCCTCCGCCTGGGCCTGAGGCGCGCGACGGAAGCCAGTCCCATTGGGTTCTGCGGGACTCCCCGCGAGGACGAAGGAAGCGCGGTCAGCGGGCCAAAGGGAAAGGGGCGGGGCGCTTCCTCCTCCTCCACACACGCCCCGCCCCCTCCAACGCGGAGGGATTGGTAGGGCGCGCGCTCATGCTAAGGGAGAAATGCACGCGCCTTCTGGGAGACTACGAGCCCCAGAGTGCACCGCGGCCAGACTGTGCTGGACAAGCGCGCCTTGCCCGCCTGTTGCGCGTCGGGAGTTGTAGTTGGAGGGGAAACGCGGTCTCTTCACACCCTGGCTCCTCCCGCCGCCATCTTGGGCCCGAGCGTGGTCCCGCCCTCTCTTCTCCTCCCTTCAGAGGGTGGCAGTCGCCGCCGTCAAAGGAAGCTCAGCCGTGTTGCCGGTGAGTGCCTTCCTCCTCGCTCTCGCCTTGTTGCCCCTTCTCAGCCTCCTTCCTTCCTTCCTTCCTTCCTTCCTTCCTTCCTTCCTTCCTTCCTTCTTCCTTCCTTCCTTCCTTCCTTCCTTCCTTCCTTCCTTCCTTCCTTCTTCCTTCCTTCCTTCCTTCCATTTCTTCCCCTCCTGTCAGCCCTTCGCGGCGAGTGCAGTGCCTTCTTCCTCTCCTCAGGTGGAGCATCCCTTCCCTGAAAGACTTAGATTAAGAGCATCATTTTGCCTCCTGTTGGCTGGAGGCGGGGTACAGCAAACCCAAAAACAAATGAGCACAAAAATACAGTAACTTACATAGATACACTCAGACACACACACATATATATATAAGGTGGGTAGATGCTGGGAAAGCCGTGGATGTAGCGTTTCTGGATTTCAGTAAGGCCTTCCACAAGGTCCCCCATGACCTTCTGGAAAACAGACTAGTCCAATGTATTGTCAAGGTTTTCATGGCTGGAATCACTGGGTTGTTGTAGGTTTTTTTCGGGCTATATGCTGTGTCCAGGCTGGTTCATCAGGTGCTCTGCTATGGCTGACTTCTCTGGTTGAAGTAGTCTGCAGTGCCTTTCATGTTCCTTGATTCGTGTTTGGGCAATGCTGCGTTTGGTGGTCCCTATGTAGACTTGTCCACAGCTGCATGGTATACGGTAGACTCCTGCAGAGGTGAGAGGATCCCTCTTGTCCTTTGCTGAACGTAGCATTTGTTGGATTTTCTTGGTGGGTCTGTAGATTGTTTGTATGTTGTGTTTCCTCATCAGCTTCCCTATGCAGTCAGTGGTTCCCTTGATGTATGGAAAAGAACACTTTTCCTCTGGGTGGATCTACCAAGAAAATCCAACAAATGCTCCGTTCAGCAAAGGACAAGAGGGATCCTCTCACTTCTGCAGGAGTCTACCATATACCATGCAGCTGTGGACAAGTCTACATAGGGACCACCAAACGCAGCATTGCCCAAACACGAATCAAGGAACATGAAAGGCACTGCAAACTACTTCAACCAAAGAAGTCAGCCATAGCAGAGCACCTGATGAACCAACCTGGACACAGCATATTATTTGAGAACTCAGAAAAGCTGAACCCACTCTAACAACTATCATGTCCAAGTACACAGAGAAGCCATTGAAATCCACAAGCATGTGGACAATTTCAACAGAATGGAGTAAACCATGGACATAAACAAAATCTGGCTAGCAGTATTAAAAAACTCTAAAATTATAACAGCAAAACAACACCCAAATACAATTCTCTCACAACAGGCGTGGTTGCTCCTGACATGACCAAAAAAAGGGAAACTCCACAGAGGAAACAATCAAGGACAGCTAATTACCTCTCAACAAAAGATTCCCCCAGGTACTAACAAGCCACACCAAAAAACTGCCAGGCCATCAAATGCTAATCAGGGTGGTCAGTTGAAACATTCACACCTAGCTCCAACAGACAAAGTTTTTTCTCCCACCCTGGACATTCCACAGATATATAAACCCAATTTTCCTAGTTCCAACAGACCTCACTATCTCTGAGGATGCCTGTCATAGATGCAGGCGAAACGTCAGGAGAGAACATGGCCATATAGCCTACAACAACCCAAGCTAATCAAATGTAATCTAGACAAAACTACGGTTAGGTGTATCTGTAATTGGTTAAACGAACAAACCCAGAGGGTGCTCACCAATGCTTTCTTTTCAACCTGGAAATAACAACTTTATGAATGACTTAGATGAAGGGTTAGAAGACATGATCATCAAAATTGGATGACACCAAATTGGGAGGGATGGCCAATACCCCAGAAAACAGGAGCAGAATTCAAAATGATCTGAATGGATTAGAGAGATGAATGGCCAAAACTAGCAAAATGAAGTTCAACAGGGACAAATGCAAGATACTCCACTTAGGCAGAAATAATGAAATGCAAGGATACAGAATGGGGGACAATACCTGGCTCCACAGCAGTACTTGTGAAAAAGATCTTGGAGTCCTTGTAGAGAACAAGTTAAACATGAACCAATAATGTCATGCGGCAGCTAAAAAAGCCAGTGGGATTTTGGTCTGCATAAGTAGGAGCCTAGTGTCTAGGTGCAGGGAAGTTATGCTACCCCTCTTTTCTGCCTTGGTCAGACCACACCTGGAATCACACTGTATCCAATTCTGGGCACCGCAATTGAAGGGAGATGTTGACAAACTGAAATGTGTGTCCAGAGAAGGGCGACATTTTAGCTATCCATACAGATGGAAGGAAGACTCCAGCAATACATGGAGCGAGAGTTGCCAGATGTACAAACTGGGTTTAGAAAAAGCAGGGGAATGAGAAACCAAATTGCCAATATCCACTGGATAATGGAGAAAGGCAGGGAGTTTCAGAAAAACATCTATTTCTGTTTTATTAACTATTCTAAAGCCTTTGACTGTGTGGTGGGCATACCAAATCCCCTTGTCTCTCTCCTGGGGAATCTGTATAAGGACCAAGTAGCAACAGTAAGAACTGATCATGGAACAACAGACCGGTTCAAGATTGGGAAAGGCGTACGGCAGGGTTGTATACTCTTCCCCGACCTATTCAACTTGTATGCAGAACACATCATGCAATGTGCGGGGCTTGAGGAATGCAATGCTGGGGTAAAAATTGCTGGAAGAAACATTAACAACCTTAGATATGCAGATGATACCACTTTGATGGCTGAAAGTGAGGAGGAGCTGAAGAGCCTTCTAACCAAGGTGAAAGAAGAAAACACAAAACCTGGGTTGCAGTTAAACATAAAAAACCAAGATTATGGCAACAAGAATAATTGACAACTGGGAAATAGAGGGAGAAAACATGGAGGCAGTGACAGACTTTGTATTTCTAGGTGCAAATATTACTGCAGATGCAAACTGCAGCCAGGAAATCAGGAGACGCTTACTTCTTAGGAGGAGAGCAATGACCAATCTCGATAAAATAGTGAAGAGTAGAAACATCACACTGGCAACAAAGATCCATATAGTTAGAGCAATGGTATTCCCCGTAGTCACCTACGGATGTGAGAGCTGGACCTTAGGGAAGGCTGAGCGAAGGAAGATAGATGCTTTTGAACTGTGATATTGGAGGAAAGTTCTGAGAGTGCCTTGGACTGCGAGAAGATCCAACCAGTCCATACTTCAGGAAATAAAGCCCGACTGCTCATTGGAGGGAAGAATAGTAGAGGCCAAGATGAAGTACTTTGGCCACATCATGAGAAGAAAGGGAAGCTTAGAGAAGACAATGGTGCTGGGGAAAATGGAAGGAAAAAGGAAGAGGGGCCGACCAAGGGCAAGATGGATGGATGGCATCCTGGAAGTGACTGGATTGACCTTGAAGAAGCTGGGGGTGGTAATGGCTGACAGGGAGCTCTGGCGTGGGCTGGTCCATGAGGTCATGAAGAGTCGGAAACGACTGAACGAATGAACAACAACAACACAGTTGATTTAGGAATATATTGAATTTTTGGATAAGGGATACTCAACCTGTACTAGAAATGCATGTTCTGTTTTTTTCTGCCTCTTATTTAATATTCTCTCTCTCCCCCCCCCCTCCGAATATTTTTGTTTCTCATCTGAAAACATCTGTCAGTGAAGAAGATTATTTTCTTGCCTATTTTTCCCTTACTTCAAGGAGAAATTTCCAAAATTATACTGACACTGAGACATCAGAAACACAGTCCCACCCCCACCCCTTTTTTTAAATGCAGGTAATACTACCTTTCCTTAAACAACTGCAGGTGAAGCAGTGCTTCCACTTGTAAGAGGCACAAATCAGCAGTCCATGCTGTTGCTTTATTCTCTCACAAGGACTAGTCATTCCCTGGTGAGCTGGTTCCCACTTTTTCCTTCCTCTTCCCTGAAATAATAGGCTCTTTCTCTTTTCTCGGTGACATCAGTGGAAGCTGCAGTCATATGATGACAAATCATTATAGCCCCACAACCTGTTTTATCTGTTAATTTGGTTTTACTTTCTGTTGGGAAAGTCCACTGAAGTCCAGTGGGTGTCAGGCATTGTTTTGTGTTGCATCCTGTTGAATCCAGTGTTGTAACATTTTGCTGTCTGGCAAATTGAATGGTCCAAAACCAGTGCTTTGTGACAGGAATCCTAAGAATTGATGAAATTATATTGGTGATGTATTGTCAAAGGCTTTCATGGCCGGAATCACTGAGTTGTTGTAGGTTTTTTCGGGCTATATGGCTATGTTCTAAAGGCATTCTCTCCTGACTTTTCGCCTGCATCTATGGCAAGCATCCTCAGAGGTAGTGAGGTCATATTGGTGATATTGAGTTTTTTCTGTTTAAGTTTTATCAGCTTACGCTGCTGTTTCTGTATGTATTTTGCTCTGCAACACATGGCAAAGCAAATCAATTTGAACTTTTGAAATATTTTTCATTATCTCCCCCCCCCCTCCCCCCATAACAATATGCCTTGTCAAATATTGATTTTCCAGCTATTCAGACAGGGCTGTGATTGGGCTTGAGTGTGCATGGCTCAAGTCCAAACTCCAAATATGCTTCAAAATGCGTACTAGGTACTAATAGTAACATATAGAAGAAATGATATTTCATGAACGCTTGAGCCTTCACAAAGAAAGAGCAGACTCATGATACTTTAATCATAATTCTCCAGACACCGTTTGTCTTAGTAACTGAGCTCCATGGAGTGAACGCAAGATGAAATGTATTCTAAACAAACGTTAGTGTTATTCTGAATTTTCACCAGATGATGTAGGTGAAGTGCATCCCTGGAACAGATACAATTCAGCATACACTTTTTGTTTTAATCACTTGATATCTTTGAAACAATCTGCCATTACTTTGGCTTCATACATGCTCTCTGAACTCTTTAACAATATGTTGAAATATTTACTGAATAAAGTGTTTAACTAGAAGTCTGAACAAGGAATCTTAGGTAACATTTCCTTTTAGACTGCTATTTTGAAGTATTCAGTTTTGGCAATG